GCGAGTGACGCGTGGTGGACATTATGAGATATTTCTGACATAAGCGCTGAGTTGAGTAATGCTTTCATTTTATGTCGAATGCTTAATCTAATGCATATTTTTCTCGTGTTTCTTTCTCCACTTGACTGAGCGAGTCGGTTGGTTGGTGGTGGGCATAATATTAAAAAAGTTGGACATGCACCATTCCAGTAAAAGTTGGAGAATCACGCTAGACTCGCATTCGGAAGTGGGAAAAGGGTTGAAATCATTGGTCTGGGTCTCAGACTCCACGATAACATTACAAAACTAAAATAAAAAAGCCGTTCCTACATATTAAGGTTAATTACTAATGCGGTCGAGTATCGATACCCTACGAAATAAGTACAACTTACTCCAAGCGAGGTTATACAAACACAACTAAATCATACAATGAATGTGCACCCATGTAAGTACGAGCACTGTGTTCACTCGTTCTGCATATGTGCATACATACTTCTCCGTGATTTGTAGTCCATTTTTTTCGATTTAGTGACATTTAAAATCTCATTTGCTTGGTGGGGGGAGCTTGACTAAGTATTTCGCGGGCGAGACCCACGGTCAACGTGTCCTTCGAAAGGGCGAGAGGATAATTTAAGACAAGTAATTTTAAATTGGGGTGAAACACGATGAACCGAAATTAGAGGGGCTCGTAATAAAGTAAAGTACACCACCGTCAGCCTCATCAAGGTTGGAAATTAGTGGTGGTAAGACGTACGAACGTATGTATGTACGCGCAAAATTATGATGATTGCCTCTGGTGGATAATTATTGATGTTGATTAGTGGGAGTTGCACTCATTATTAAGGAAGGCTGCACACACGCGTCGACCACGGATTATGCATTTTATGGGAGTAAGGACAGTATCGTGTGTCTCATGGGCTGAACTTGGGCTGGCTGACTTTTGCATGAGAACAAGAACACGTCCGCCACCCGAGAATTTTTGCTGGATCGTTCGTGAAGAATTAGAAATTCCGTCCCACAATTACTTGAAAATAATTTATACATAAAATAATGAGCTCTTTCTCTTTCTTTCTCCACTTTCCCGACTCAAGTGCAGCCCTCTCTCGCTCCTTTCTTTATTATTTTTAAGTTGGAATTAAAATATGAATATCCACCTTTGGTCCCGTCCTCCCCGGTTGTTAGCCGGATTAAAATATGAAAGAAAAGTTAAATTTTTATTCTAATTTATCTTATCTTCCGGACGAGCAAAGTTAACCAAAGTATTCTGCGGATGAGAATAAATTGGTGGTAAAGCATGAGCCGCAGAAGACGAAGGAGCAGTCGGAGAAGAAAAGGTTCGTCGAGTAAATCAAGTCCTTTTAGTCTTTGCGTGCCTCCTTCGTGGTGGCTCTTCAATTAAAACATCCCTTTTTGGTGGCAAGGTTTTTGCATCCTGAACAAAAAAATGATTTCCTATTGCTCCGTCTTCTTACTCCTGGAGAAAACTCCTTGAACGCACAACACGAATAAAAGGTCGGGTTTTGTGAAGAGTTTTTTCTCCTCTCTCTCGAGTTGTAAAATGAATTATAAGTTGTCAATCGTCACTAAATGTATCTGTGAAGCAATCATTGCATACAATTTTCGAATCCGGGAGCACATACAGAATTTGGTATGAAACTGGCGTGTGATGATGCAATAGGACTGGATGGATGGGGTAATGGCAGCCGTGGTTGGTATTATTTTAGACTAGAGGAGCATTACTGATTTAATTATGATGGAAAGTCTTTGAAATTAAAAATGCGCGATATTTGCATAATAAAGAGAGCCTTCGTGCATTTGCATTTTTTAAGCTTTGTGATATTTGGAATTAAAATCAAGCTTACCGTTGTTCCTCATCCACCACTCCCTCCTTTCGCCTGCCTCGATCTCCTCTTACTTAACTCCCTTTGGATTTGTTGGATCGTTGTGTTGCAAGTGTTGCCCAAGGCAGCTTTAGGATTAGGCCGACTGAAATTCGGATGAAATTCGGTCCGATGATTGAATGCGCTTTGATTTGGACACATTTTTATTAAGAGCTCGCACGGATAATAATACGCCCCGCACAGAGTTTCATTTACTCCTTGAAATAATATTATTTACAACTGTGCTGCTTGTGTTTCGTGCATAATAAGATGCTGATTGAGCTCGATGCGACAAATTGCACAATAATTTTACAAGTCTCGAGAAGAGAGATAGTCGTTCGTCGTTGGGTGTGAAATGTAATGTAATCAGATCTACAAGAGTATTGTGACAGAAGGTGAAGTGGATGCCGTGTAGTTTTTGTCACTTTAAAATTGATTTTTAATACGCTGTTTGAGTTATTTGCTCCCTATGGAAGTAGATATGGGTGGAATTATGGAAATGCAAATTGCTCGCATCGGGCAGCGAGGAGAGCGTGGATTGAGGGGGAGAAAAGTCGTCGTCAGAGATGCATTTAGTTGTCAGTCGTGTTTATGAAATAAGTTTAAAATTGTGTTTATTCGGAAGCGTGTGTTGTACGGGTTGTGATGTGAGCGATGCATAATCATGTCCAGTTTCACTCTATTTCGGTGGATGGATGGATGGTGCGATTAGTAAATGAAGGAGGACTACTACCCAGCACAATAAGGGTGCTCTCTCACTCTCTGCATAAATTAGTACTTTTGCTTTACACCCTTCGCCGTCTCTTTTTATTCACACTCCCCACGCTCACCATTCTCCGAGTAATACGGGAAAATAAAGCAGATGACAAAAAGATGAAGGGGACAGTTGGGACATGTGATTTGTCAAGTGTGTCTCTGTGTCTCTTTATTTACTGATAATTTATTCCGATCCAATATGTGAGCGAGCGAAATAATTAATTTCCATTTGTGATGTAAAGAGGAGTGCACATCATCGGCACATGTGGCAAATGTTCCATTGTGGTTTGTAGTGTGTCGGAAAGTTGCGTCCAATAAATGTGCGAGACAGAGAGCGAATGTGTGACTGAACGAGCATGGCAACTACTTATGTGCAATTCAGGGCTTGATTGACCAGGTGAAGTTAAAAGTGGCGAAATTTACGACTGCATGTCCGTCCACTAGAAGATTTGGCATGTGACCCTTAAAAAGCGTCCTCCTTGATGTGGCAGGTCTGTGGCGTTACATGTACACACATCTCTGGCTGGGCTGTTGAGGGGCTCCGACCGTGTGGAGAGAGCCAGAGTGTGATTAGGGGATGGATGCCACTTCATTTATATGCTAATTTGAATTCAAATGAGCCCCATCTTGAAATATTAATGCGTCTTTTCAGTCTCCTATCAACCACCATCCACGAGAAGGAAAGTGCTTTCTCCCGAATCCTCCTCTCGCCTTCTTCCTCTTCTTCCCAGCTAGTTAGTTAGTTTAGGAGGAAGATTCGTCTGATTACATTATTTCGCATTAGAAGACATGCAGCATTCAAAAGAAGGGAGATGATGATGATGATGAGGCTTCTTACTCCAAACTTAATTCCAATTTCACCAACTAAACTATGTCCTTTCTCCTATTTGCATATAATTTGTCCGTCGGAGAATAGGAATCCAATCTTTTCTTCGACCTCACGCACTCCTCCGCCTGTCCGTTCTCAAAGTTGGATTTAATTTAGTCAGGAAAATGAGTAATTGTGCCCAATTCGATCTCCACTCACCATTTTTCCACGAGAGGAATTTTTAATTTTTACTAATAATCATGATAAATTATTTTACATGACTTATTGCATGCAAAAAAATGTCCCATTCACCCTTCCGAATTTCAAGTCGAGAAAGTCGAGAAAGATTTCTCACTCTGAGGAAATTATGCACAAGTTTATGTAATCATGACTCATCGACAACATAAAATTATGGCATTGTTACGAAAAAGTAGCCCCCTCTCTTTTTGTACTTTATAAGTAATTCAGCTGATAGGCGTCTGAAATAATTCAGTGTATCATTATTTCCTCACCATGCACCGTTTAACTTGGACGTCGCTATAAATAAGCAGGAATGGTGACGACTCTGTCGGTTTTTCTTTTATTTAAGTTTTATCAGAGTTTGATTGAACAGTGATTCATTTCATTCTCGGGCTCAATATTTGTATAATTTACAAAATTTACATGGAACAGGACATTATTACATTAGACCAACTGCTGTACAACTCAACCGACAACCAACTGTTCGGTTTCATCATCATTCCCTCTTCTCGGATTTTTTGGACCGGTCTCTCGTTCACATCTCATCAGCACCACCATCCCAACATTGAGCATCAATAAAATTCAATTTCCTCAACTCTCTCCTCTTTAATATTAATAACTGCACAATCACAGTGGTTTGATCTCGTGGAGCGTCCACAGACTGGATAAACGCGCTAAATGCATGCTTGTACCACTCCATAAAATGTCGTGTTTTATACGAAAATGAGACACAGTGCGACTATAATTCCACATCTTTTCTACTCGCGATCCTTTCATTATTCATTACATCAGCGATTGTAATTTAGTAATTTCGAAGGGAATGAAACCAGGCATGGTGGTGCTGGTCCTGGTCCTGGTGTCGAGAACGGAATTGATTGCGAAATTAACATACGAGACAAAGAACCGAAACCGAATTATGAATTAAGCTCCCTTCGTCTCTCTCTCTCTCTCTCTTGGCAAATGAGATGGTGGACGTACTCACTCTTCAGATGAGTCTGTCTGGACATGAAAGTTCCAAACTAAAGTGTTCACCACTAAACCCTTCGTCACCTCCACCAAAACTACTCTGTCAAGACATTTTTATTTCATCAATGAGCTACGTAGTATATGTCCAGAAGCTGCAATTTCATCATTACAACTACGTTACTTTAGTACTTGTGATGGTAATGAGGGCAGATTTTCCCTGCTTTCTCTCCGCATCGACGAGCCGTATATGTAGCCCCTTCCTCCAGTCTAATTTACTTTGCATACTTAATTTTTAATTTATTGGTACATAAATGAATAACGAGATGAATAACTGGATTTGTGACTGACGGATGTGTAAATTTTAATTGCAGAGACCTAGTTCTGGTGGCGGACAGAGTTCCCCCTCCTCGTCGTCCCCCTCGATGCCCGCCGGAATGAACGGGCATTCTCGCTCCCACGGAGGAGGAGGTCACCACCACCACCACCGGGACCACCACCACCGAGACCACACCCACCTGCACCAGCAGAGCAGCAGGCATGGCTACACGTCCCACCACCAGCCTCAAAGGCACCCACCATACCTCTCGGCCGAAGCAGCGGAAAACTTTATCAAGGCGGAGCGGAGATCTCATCCTTCGTCCCCCCTCGACAACTGTGATCGTGAGTCCATCTTTTCTTACGCATATTTGGCAGCCAACCCCACTTTTGAATGTGGCAATGTTGCTGGTGTTGTTGGTGCACGCGAGCAACCCCTGACTTTATAAAACAAGTTCAATAGCACGATTTAATATCCGTGTAATTCTATTTTAATCCGGAAAAAATTATTTCTTCCCCGCATGTGGAATCATATATAATAGCACACGGGTTTCATGATTAATGCGATGATACGAGTCCAAAAAATCGTTTTATTTAATGCTAAATATTAACTGAATTTTAATATTTAAACGAGTAAAATTAAGCCCGTGGTCCTCTTAAGCCTTGAATACGGAATATTTATAAACTGCGTAAACCTGCGCAGGAGCCCATTATTTTTGATTATCCAAAGCAATTTGGCCCAAGAATGTTTTATAATTTATTGAGCGGACTCAAAACAACAGTAATAAATTAATGTCGTATCACTCACGACGGAATTGCTGGGCGGTCAATGAGGAGAGTAATGCGGTACAATGATAATCATCAGGTCAGGTAAACAGGAGGAAATAAGTAAAGAAAAATATGTTTGGTGGAAATCCATAAAATTTAACAGCCATGAGCTGGACTAAATCTCCGAATCGCTATATGACAAATTTTCAGCGGATTGTACGCATTCGAAATTAAGTTCCATGAAGGCAACTTAAACTGAGGAATATTTGCATAATAAATGCGATGTGCGGTGATCCATGATTATCTTTATTTGGTCTTACCTGGAATGTGTGTTCATTTTAGCAGTGTCGTATTAGGGAACAATGATGTAATTTCGTGATGATGCTCGTCTTTGCAAATACGCTTCATGTTCATAGGAGGTAAATAAGCAAGGGCGAAGAACCACCACGAAGGAGCTACATAAGCGAAATCATAAAACAACAAAGTCACCGCACAACGAGAGGCAGGAACAAGAGGCATAACTGCCCAACAACGAGTACAACAAGTAATAATAATGGAAATGACTAATGAACTGCTCGTTGTTTGTAGTGGAGTTGGCAATGAATACGTAATGAATCGGCGATATATTAAAATTAAAATTTGCCATTTATTACCCCGTCGCACTTACGTACCCACATGCTCAATAAGTTGCTTTATTATGTGGTGCTGCTTCCGTGGAAAGAAAATTCCTCGGCTGCTGAGTGCATGCTCATACGTACCTTGGCTCATATCATAAATATTTTTTGGCAGCAATTAATTTAGAATGTCAAATACCAAATTAATGTTAGCATTAAATAGGAGAGGGGATAGATAAGTAAAAGCAAGTCCGCAAGCAGGATGGATGTGAAGAGGGGAGTAGCAGTTTAACGGCGAATTCAGAGTTTTTCATCTTAAACCCACCACCACCACCACCATATTGAATTATTGAGTAACGATTACAAATTAAATTGCTATCAGCAGTAGAGCCAACAACAAAGTTGGTCGCTAATGCTATATGCCTCTGCACATGTACAGACGCGGCGCTATGTATGCAGCTCACATTCAAGAATTAATGGGAAATACCTTAAAGGAGGATAATGAAGTGTTTATATTCATCAGGCTCATTAAATTAAAATTAAATCGGTGGTCGTCGGTGAGGTCAAAGGTAAAGAGTCAGGCGAATGGGAGCATCATCGGTATAATTACTTTTTATATCACAAGCAGCAGATTCGACCAAGTCAGTCAGAAACGGTCCCATCATCAAATATTACAATTGACTATTGAGTATGGAAATGAGGCATTAAGTTGGACTTATATATACTTGGTCCTATGATTCTGATGGATGAGCACACAGGTTGCGGGTGGAATGGCAAATTCGGAAATGCGACGCTTTCTCCGCCCTATTTACCAACGACGCTTCCAACACTCACATATCTGAGCATCCATCTCCACCGACGCTTCATTTGGTGACAATCAATGGTCCTCGTGAGGCTGAAAGGAAGAAAAACTCTTCTCACCATAATTTATCAACTTCATTAATAAACGGAGACTCGATTCTGTGCATGATTCTGTGTATGATTCTGTGTCCGTAAGCCGTTCGTGGGAATGTATTAGAAATTAGGAACTCAGAATGTAGATATGTGCATACGTATATTTCTACAAATTATAAAATTGTACGGACGGAGAGAGAATTTTCCCTCTTTTTCCGGTACAACTTTTTTTGTGAATGTTCCCCATAAAGCTGGATGTAGTTTAAATGAACTAATTTGAAGAGACATTATCCACTCATTCTTTATCCTGTCAATGAAATTAGAATTTTAAACAGTTTACGTGAATGGAATCAAACGATTTTCCCTTCATTTCGATTCTCAATAATATGTGTCCCCAGTAGAATACCAATGATTATGCACGTTCGGGACGTGAAAGGGAATTGCTTCGTCGTGTATAATGTGTCCCTCCTGCTATTATGCTTTTCAATGGTCAACTCGTCACAACAACAAAGAATCCATAAAGTGAGACGCACATTCTCATATTTCACCTCAACTGTCCAACATCAAAATATGTTCTTACTGTTTGTTCTGACAATCTGCATGCGAAAAAGTTGCAATGTTTAACGCACAAATGGACAACATGGTGCGGGGTTTGAGGTTCTTGTGGTATACTGAAGCACAAGATGACCAAAAAGGAGGAATAAGTAAGGCCACAAACGAACGACCAGAGTTTAATTATCTGAGCAAATTAGAATTAACTCATTGCGTATGCAGCCCTGTGCCCCACCTTCAGCAACCCTCTGCTCCATCCACTGTGTGCTACCACCTGAATTTATGTGCTCTTTTGAATGAATTAGCCTCTACATGCAATGTGCATAAGTTCCCCAGCACCAAACTTTTAGTACGTAAGAAGCTGCAGGATTTTTGATCAACCTTTTCTCAGATCATGAATACGTAATGGCTAATTTCAAGTGTGCTCTTCTTCACAACTATGTGATTCACATTTAGATTTCGATCTGAATTAGAATTAAAAGGTCGTTAAGAGAAAGAATATCGCATTTTCGAGATCCACTTGGGCATGCGGGCGTGGAGGTCAATGTTTCGATATATCAAATCACATCCCACTGTTTAATTGGATTTGAAATAATTAATATGCAGAGTTGAAAAACCTAACTAACTGCCATTCGCCATGTATTTACTGCTCCGGCTGCATACTCGCAGCAGAGTAATCACCTTTATCTCAAGTTGCAGTCAACAGTTGGTATTAACCAATTTTCACTTTTGCCGTGCAGCAGCTACATTACGTAATATTTTCTGGTGGATGGCTTGTGAGAACGAGGATTTTTATTATTTCGTGAATAATGAGATATTTTTGCTAAGCATCCATCAGGGCTGAGTTGAGATGTGGTTGTGACAATACAAATAGTCGGCATTGGGAACAAATGCAAATGCAGTTCCTTCACAATCAACAGTTTCAAAAAATACGTAGGTACCTTAGTTCATCTGTTTAAAGGCTGTAATAAAAACCCATGTGCTCCTGGGCTAAGTGCTCATTGAAGCAATTCATGAAAAATGGACCTTGTGCATAATAAGGGAGCTGGGATTGTTGGATTGAGTAATTGGGACCTGAGACACAATATGTAATTTTTCCATTAGGAAATGATAAGTAACCCTGCTCGGACTTAAACACAGGTTGTGCGATCCAGATCCGATGATGAGATTCCGGACTGACCACTTTACTCTCTTTCTTTTCTCTCTCTCTCCTGTTTCACTGCCATTGTGCAAGCAGAATGGAAAACTCATCCAGTAAAACCTCGCAGTGGTCCCAAAGTAGCCAGCCCTTGATTTATTAACGCAATAAAAATATTTGAAAAGTATGTCGTAACGAATACAAAATGTTTTGAAAGAATATTATTACTTCACAATTTGGTAGGCACACCATAATTTTTAAAACGGCTTCGTCCAGAATGCACCATTATGATCATCATTGAGTTGATCTCATTACGCGAGATGAGATAATGCTAAAGCCCTCTTTTTTAAATGTGTCGTTGCAGTCAAACCGGAAAGTCTGGCTGGTGGCGGAGGGGACGCTGGTGGAGTGAACGGCTTGGGAAATGCCCTCCTCATGTCCCTCGGAGGCCTCGCCGCCCTCCAACAATCCATCCCCAACTTCATGGCCACGATGGGTCACCACAACTCGGCCCCACTCAACCTCACCCATTCCAACGCCAGGGACCTCCTCCTCCCTCCACCTCCACACATGGCGTCGTCCCAGCCACAGAGTCGCAGCTCGCCCCACAGCAACGGGAGCAACAACCCTGCGACCATGTCCCCCAACTCCCTGATTGCCAGCGCCATCGCCAACATAACGGGTGGGAGTGGTCCCCAGCACCTTCATCACCAGCAGCAGGGCTCCATCCCACAACTTATCCTCGCCTCTGGTCAGATTTCGCAAGGAATTCAGGGTAAGATTTCATGCAGTTTTTATGGGTTCCAGAAAATAATAAAAGTGATATTTAATTACAATGTGGATACATAATATATTTGTGTTTACTTTGTTTTGCGTAGGTGCCCAGCTCCTCATTCCCACGTCCCAAGGTGAGAAAACTCATACATTGCATATGTAATTGTGCACCGCTTCGACAGGCTAAAAAACGAGTGTGTATGTGTGACAAGACAAGTTATGAATGAATATAATGGGCCAGAGAGCAAGGTTTGAGTTGGCAATAAATCAGCGAATGACACCCTCTCATCTAGTATTTAGTGGCAGCATTATCATTATATTTTTAAAGGCCTGCATTCCGCTAATGAATTTCATTTGATAACAAGCTCCCGAGAGGAAAGGAGTTTGACTTGAAGTATCATGAAATCTTTATCATGCACATTAAATCATGAATACATATATGTGGCTGATTACTATTCCTTTTCCTACTCGCATAGCTACAAAGCCAAAGTCAATCTTGTCCAAAATGTACAAATTTTGATCACAATTTACATTTGAGATTGCTCCTGTTAATAAATTAAAATCAAGGCATCAACATTCACCATCCAAATCAATAAATTATGTTCTAAGTGTCCTAATTCCCAAATGGTGGAAACCAGTGGAAAGGAGAGCATGGGAGAGTTGGGCTGGGGGAAAGAGATGCAAATTATAAGTTGTGTATGATTTATAGACGCTTTCTCAGATTAGATTAGCTCTCCTCATGATTCCAATAAATCCAGCCAGGCAGCAGAAGATCGAGTGAGTAAACTCGCAGTGTCGTAAAGTAACCAACAATAACTAATCAACCAATGAAATGAGTGAGCACTGGGTGAAAAACAACATGCATAACTTGTGAATAATATTGATTTAGATTAAAACAACAGCAGCACCAGGAGTGAGAAAGTCTCTTTTCACAGCTACATATTTGCTAGTAAATAGTGTTACATATTCAGGACTGGACTACATATGCACGCATACTGGAGCCCCCTCCATGATGGCTGTCTCAATAAATTTTGGCCAATGTCCAACATTATCCGCAATTATCAATTTGAAATAAATTAGAGGGAACACTGTCGTGTAATCACGAGCCCTTCCACAACAACAGCGTGCTCATGTACATATGACCATCTCCGCGTATACAGTGCATGAGCAGGGCGGTGATACGCCTGCATATCTGCGGGAGGGTAGCAGCTAGCATTAGTAATGTCTGTAATTATTATTATTAACAAAAGACATGCGGAAATGTTGGTTCATAATTGCAAACCATATTTTTGGAAGTGAAACATTTAATTGTAATTAATTGATGTGTCACTCACTCCATCGGTGGTGGTGGTGGTGGTGTGGTTGGAGGGGTGGTGGTAGTAGGCGCCTTCAAATTGGCTGTAATTATCAAAGCAATCAATAGAATATCGCCACACTGATAATAAAATAAGCCTAATGCTAAAGTAAAGTTGGCTAATAAATACTCAACTAATTTTCTCGGTGGCATTTCTCAAGTCCGTCGTCGCTCACTTCACCCCTGCCGAGAGAGACCGTATGGCTTCCCCTCCTCTGTCATGTCAATACTCAATAATTATGTCAACAGAATTCCGCTAATTTTGGGTAATTTCCACTCCCCAAAGTTTTCTCTGTAATTAGCAACGAATCATATTTTCTCCTTCTGCTCATAAATTGCGCAACTCTCGGAGATAAGTTGGTTGCCTGTTGGCATATGTCATGTAAGGATAAGTGACCAAGAAGAAGGGGGTCGCCAGGGACGTTACGTCAGTATTTGATAAGTTGATTTGATATTCGACACTACTAGCGTCACATGTAAGTAATTGTCGCCTGCCAGTGGTTACTGGTTGTACAAAATAACATATTATGTAACAGTGTTATTTTGGCGTGGGAGTCTAAATTTAAGTAATGAGCAAGTAGAAATCATCTTTTACGGGGCGAACGTTGAGTTACATGATTTAATCTTTTTAATTGCACGGAACACGTATTTATGAATTTATTGCAAACTTGGTGAAGAAAAGTATGAGATCAAACTTTTGAGATGAGTGAGAGGGGAAGGTTAGCTAACCTAAGGTGGGCTAGGTTTCGTACATGAAGGGCAATAAAATGTCTCCCTGCCTGTAAAACTGGGGAGACAAGGCAAGTGCTTCTAATTAATTCAGTGACTTGCCCAACAAACGCACCATTACGACTAATTTATATTATCTCTCGACTAGGAAATGTAAATTGTACACTTCATACAACACCGGCCATCGGCCAACTAGGGCAATAATTTAAATTGGCTTGATGAATTTGTATTTTGTACTCGAAGAATAAACGAGAATATGGATAGGTTTTAAACTTTGTGAGACAATGATGATACAGCCAGTACGATGCATATGCATAGATTAATTATTATATTTTTTCTTAGGAATTATGTCACAAACCGTGCTGACAATACCAATCAGCCAACCGGGCAGTCCTCCGACGTCTCTCAGTCCCTCAATCCCATCACAACTTCACCACCACGCGACTACCTCAGTTCATTTGCCCCAAAACCATGCAGGCAGCAAGCGACACAATCATCACAACCACCACCAGCAGCACCAATTGTCTGGACTTCCGGTCCTGGGCCCTCACCATCACCGCAGTCTCAACCACCCTCAGTCCCCCCCAATCGCATCCGCCCCCACAGCTGCACAACAACAAAGGAGCAGAGAAAGTGCTAGCCCTGACTTTCCACACGACCGGACCCGAAATCTCATGGGGTTGGGTTCCCATGTCGTGGGTCAAACTTTGGGAGGTCACATGCCCACTGTGAGTGCATTTTTTTTAAAACATTAGAGTAATTACGGCAGGGAACTGAGAGTCTGTCTTCTCCTGTTGCAGATTCCTGAGAAGGGGACGCTGGACCATCACGGCGGAGTTTTGAACGGGATTCGGAACATGCATGGGAAGAGGGAGAGGGTCGATGGTGGGAGCAGTGGGGGGCTAAACCTTGGGGGCAATTGTGGGTCTGGCTCTTTGTGTCCACCTAAATCCAGCCCGTGCAGTATCGGAGACTCCATTCACGACCATGACAGCGACAAATTCTCAGACACGGGTATGTTTCATCCTCCTGAACTTTTAATAATTGCGGACAATGTGTATTTATGTACGTGGACACTTCCGCATCAAGAGGGATTTAATTAGTCCAGGAGTAGATGCATGTCTACTCGACTAGAAATCTACAGTTAGTTAGCTGGAGGGGATTTAATTTCATTTTAATCAAGACTATGCGACTTGATGGGATTGTGGCCGCCGTCTCATTGTGTTTGTTTTTATGTGTCGATGAAATGCAACAAAGGACGTGTAATATTTTCTCCTTGTTCTCTCCCCCTTCTGCTTTCAGAGGATGACCAAATGGTGGACGGGATAAATTTGGACGAGATCAAAGAGTTCGCCAAGGCGTTTAAGCTACGAAGGCTTTCTCTCGGCCTCACCCAAACACAGGTCGGACAAGCCTTGTCCATCACCGAAGGGCCAGCCTACAGTCAGAGCGCAATTTGCAGGTATTTTCTTCACACATGTTGCTCATCATCTGCCCACAACTTACACCCTCCTATTTACATATACATAGCTCCTTCAAAATAGATGTCTGTGGTGTGGTGTGCCCTTAATTGTCAACCCGTTATACTTTCCCTTTGTCCACAAAGTCTCACTGCCTCGTGCATCAAATAAAGCCCAACATCTTACATTTGTCATTAAAAGCAATTCATTATACACATTTTTCTACGACGACGACGACGGATCGTAAGTTTCGCCGTCTTAAGTTTCCCCAAGCGAGTTTTTGACTTTCACCAGTTTCACCTCCGTGAAAACGAGTCGAGTAGTGCCCCCACCCACCCAAAAATAGTATTTCGTTGTTGCTGTTGAATCAGCGATGAACTGTAATTATGACCACACTTAATGACGACGATCACCAAAATACAACTACTGATTTTTCTTTGCTGATCCAATGTGTCATTATATTTTGTACAGTGCCCTGGCAAATTGGCAGCTGGCCCAGTCCCAGTCTTATCCTCCATCCATTCACCAGCAGTCAATGTACGTCTCCATTTTCATCTATTATTTTTATTTCAATCTTTCTCTCTCTCTCACGCACAACAATAATCTCTCTTTTTTCCTGCTGTGTAGACCTGTACGTAGCATATTCATTCGTAGTAGACAAAACTCAAAGTAATGATTCCGTTGAAAGTACAGTAGAGCAAAACTTTAATCTTTTTATAGAATTCCAAACTTAAATTCTACTGAATGCAGGCCAGAGCACTGTTCAAATTATTACTTCACATTTTGACATTTTTTATTTTGCATTTCTTATAAATATCACTTTCTCTCATTTGCGTCACAGTTTTCTTGCAACATTTTGTATATCTAACTTGAGAATGATAAGTGGCCCGCATAATAGAAACATGTGTACAATTCGCAATAGAACTGACGCCCCACTAACCACGAAACTTGTGTGTTTGGCAACAGGTTCGAGAAGCTGGACATCACTCCGAAGAGTGCTCAGAAGATCAAGCCCGTGTTGGAGAGGTGGATGAAGGAGGCGGAGGAGCGCTACAAAAATGGGCACCAAAACCTCAACGAGTTTGTGGGAATGGAGCCCTCCAAGAAACGGAAGCGGAGAACCTCCTTCACCCCACAAGCTCTGGAAATCCTCAACAACCACTTTGAGAGAAATACGCACCCTTCAGGTGGGTTCAGCTCCACAGTCTCACTCTCCCCCGAGAGTGAAAGTATCCTTTTTGCATGTGCCTAAATATTACATAGTAAAGGGGTTGTTTTTCTGATTTGTGCAGGTGCCGAGATCACCACACTCGCCCACCAACTCGGATATGAGAGGGAAGTAATCCGCATCTGGTTTTGCAACAAACGTCAGGCTCTGAAGAACACCGTCCGCATGATGTCAAAGAGCTCTTCACCCATGTAAACTGGAGAAAACACCCACAGAAGCTATTCCTACTTATACGACTACTACTTAAATTAGAGTCCGGCAGAATAAACCAAAACTGCGACCTTACGAGCATTGGGATTTGTACTTGTGCGTCTGCACCACTCAAATGACCAACCTTGCAGATCATGAACAAAATCAAACTTCAAACGGGAATCGAACATGAATCTCTCATCTCACATACTTATTATCAACATCAGCATCATGAGGAGCTCCCATATTCAATTACCTGAATGGCCACTCAGGATAATTATCCAGTTTCCACCAAACACAGCATATGTTGTGCACACATACATACGTCTGATTTAAATGCGTCTGGCCAGGAAATGTTGGAATTTGAACCTCTTCACATCATTCCCCACCACCAGCGTCCATTCCATATCCTTCTTTCATTACTTTCACTCTAGAAAATCCCATGTTGCTGTTGTTCTAATAATGAGTCCATTCTGCTGCTGCTCCTCTTCGAACGTAGAATAAGTATGAACCTCCTGGCTCTCCTGTTTCGAACCCACATCATAAAAAAAACTATTTTGACGAGTGGGAGAAAGAAAAACTGACCATGCAGGGACGGTAATTAGTGCTGATTATGTATGGCATGCATGCTCATCAAACCTCACCAAGGGCAAGTGTGTTGGACTTGTAATGATTTGCTGGTTCAAATGCGAAAGGACTTGAAGAGCGTCTACATTACATGCACACACTCTCGAGTAAAGATTTCTCTCGTGCTTACGGCTACATAATCGTAAGCCAATTTGGGGGAGAAATCAAGTAAGTGTACAAGTTCCTGGCTTTCCCAAATAATATGCAGCTCCATTGTGTCCGATACCTTTATACTACTGCTAAGTATCTCTAATTACTATCTTATTCATAATCTACTTACGTACTTCTAGTGATACACATATGCGCACCTGCTTTACATATTTATGTACGTTTAAGCTAATCACAGCACTCAACCGTATACGCTATTTCTTTTTTTTACTTACATCATAAGGAAATAGGTACAGATCAGTGAATAAAACTGTAAATAGTTTGCGCGAGAGTTTTCAGTCAACAATTTCAAATAATTTATTTACTTTGTATCACAGATATTATTGTTATTATTTAAGCTTTAGATCAAATGTGAGCTTTAAATTTACCGAGCTTTTATAAATCAGAGTGGTACATACATACATAAATAGAAGGATAATATTGTAAAATATGTGTAGTACAGTTGTAGTTCAAATATTTGCAGGTAGAGCAAGGAGCACTGCGGACACGCAGTAGTAACTCGTAGTCATAAATTGATGATATTATCCAAAGAAGTAATCGTAAATTACAATCGTATTGTTAGAACCGTAGAATATGATAAGAAATTAAGATCACAAAGTTGGTAAGAATTACGTAAATGGTTAAAAGGTATTACTTACATATATTCTAGCTATTCAAGAAACTAGATAAGTTACAAATTACTTGCGATTATGAAAATGTCACAAGCTGAAACTGGAGAGTAATGTTAAGTAATAAAATAAAAATAACCTGTGTTTGCCCATACCCAAACCTACATCTTGCTGAATTTAGAAAGTAGTAAGGACGAAAGGTCCGAAAATACTGATTTCATACGTAACAAAGTGAAATGATGCAGATACATAAAGATATGAATTTAGATTACTTTGCAGCATTATTTTTGCGTCACAGCGATTGATCCACCATCGGCTTCTGAGAGTCCAAAATTAACTTCGCGAGTGAAGCTTTTGAACCCCACTTTCGCCTCAAACAATCACGATTTTCTTGAGAACAATTTGAGTACAGATTGTCGTCAAATCTAATAATCAAAGTGGGTTCAGGGGCACGCAAAAAGTGAAGTTGAGAATTTTGAGATCCATCGAGAAATAGGCGAGACAACTGGAGAATACCGTTTGTACTGGGTTGAGAAGCCCTGCTATGACTTGGTTGTGGTCTGGACTGCTTCCGAGCTGCAATAGCCAATGATGAAAAATATATTATTAAATATATTATACCATTAAAAATGGGGGGGGAGAGGGTAAAACATATAAATGCATACTTTACATACCCGTCAAATAGTCTCCAATGAAGAAACTGATAAAGTTGAACGAGTCCGGATCAAAATATCCTGTCGACTTGTGAATTTCCAACTTTACTGGCTTGCTGCTATTGCTGACCCTGCTCCCACTTACTTTGGGATCATACTCTATGAAGGGCATTGGACTAAATATCTGGCTATTTAAAATAGTGTTAATTCTGCAACGGTTGAGAAATTCCTCCTTTATCTCCACAAACACATCAAGAGCCAGAACTAGAGTATTTGAGCTCAGAATCTGATTTGACAACATGTCAAACACTGACAATGTGTAATGACGAGATGATGATTTAAACAACTGTCTTGGATTTACGATAACATGACCTGCTCGAATTGTTGATGGTTTGACGACATCAGAGTCGTTTTTGCTGTTATGCTTCGTATTGTGGAGTGCTATCATTCTTTTATAATTTTGTAACTTAACCAAATCGGAGGGTGACAAAGTCCCATCCGCCATCATAACTATTGCTATCACCACAACGCTATTTGAATTTTTATCCACGGCGTTAAAATAGTTGGTAAGAAATGCGTCAGTCTCATTGTACTGTAAATCTTGGGAAGTGACTGGCACCACAATTGTGACCCTTCTGTTCTCGGTAACAAAGGGCATGGGCACGATTTCAACTTTGCTTATTGGTCGCAAACTTTCAGTCCTGCAATTAAATAGTTAAATCCATCTTTAACTTTTAACGCCTGTATATAAACAAATAAATAACATTGTGTAATACCTGATCAGTGTTCCAGTTGAGTCTAAGAAATCAAGAATATATTCCATACCTCGTGTTTCATCCAATCGTCTGTAGCCTATAAATAATAATATTCCCCATTAAATAAATGTGAATTTTAACTGTTATTAAATTTACCAAGCTTTTGTCCAGCCTGAAAATTTATCTATGTGATTGAGTTGAGAAGCATGAGAATAATTATTACCGTATTGGAAAGAGAATGATTCCGCCCTTTGATGTCGTATTCTACTCAAATGAAGGGCAGAGTTGTTGATTACGAGCGATACGTCCATCTTGTCGACTCCTTTCAAAGACACATCCGTTATGTGATCGTCTTGCGGGTAAAGGTTGGTGGACGTGAAAAATTTCCATTTCAAAACGTCAAATCGACTTTGTGGTCGGTGCGGGTTTGGAATCCCGGGAGGCCAACTATTAGTTGTTTGATAGCCCTCAGGGACTTGTAAATTCATTCTATTCAATATTGCAGACAAATTCGTAATCTTCTCGTCAATTTTCTCATCTCTATTCTGAAATATTTACGCATGGCAAACTTTTACATAAACTCTCTCTTAAATTTGAATGCTCAAAGAGTGGTACAAAAAATGCCGTACGGTACATATTACGGTTCGTTAAGCTACGTATTTGTATATAAGAATTTCTAAACTATTTTATCAATTTTGGCCAAGACCTTTGAAATTATGAGGTGAATCCAGTACATTTCGCTGGAACTGCTCACAGGTCCGATGGATATGGCTGAAGAGAATTTGTCCACATCCGTTGTGGACACGGTCACGAATTTCTGCGCCTAAAAATTGATGGAGCACAAAACATGTTGTACATAATACACAGAGACAACTTGAACAAAATACTATTCAAAACTGTTTAACGGAATCATCAGAATCTTCAGAAAAGTAACACCAAACAAACAAACCTGCAGAGTTTCTGAACATTGCAGAGATCCAAATGTGTACTGGTAACAATTTTTCAGACTGTCTTTCGCCTTAAGCATAGTGCTCACGAAACAACGATCCAACCTCACGGATAGCTTGCGCAAAATGGAGCGGCTGTAAACCAATCCTTTCTCTGCAACCATAAATAAATGATCAATAAAATATTACACGAAAAATAAAATTGTATACATGGGTAAGTAAGATAAAGTGAATTTTATTTTAAAACAGTGAACCTAAACTACAGGCCGTTTCCTCACTGGAATCACCCCAGAAGACATCCTGACTAATGGTAAACTGGTTTACGGCCTTCTGAAGATTTCTCCCATTGACATGAATGAAGTCGAGACCGAGGAAAAAGAAATCATAATGATCCGTGAGTTTCTCCCCCAGGTATTTGATGGCCATAAGTCCAACATGGTTGTAATGCGACACTCCCAATTTAGACGAACCAATGAGGCTAATGAAATCGCCATTTTGCTTAAATGTTAGTGTGACCACTCCACCAAGCCCTAGACTTTTCGCTCTCTGAGACGCTTCTTGACCCACCACAAAGAACAAGAGCTGATTCACAAAGGGGGCTAAAGTTTTGTTGATTGCAACTAGATTTTCTTGCTGTGCGTAATCTGTGACTATAATTCCTGCCACGAGTTTCTTGCGAAGGCCCAATTCCGTGCTATAGAATCGTGGCCTTAACATTTTTGCACTGGGGAAGGATTCGGCTGAAGAAGACTTTTGACGAGACTCTGCACTGAATCCATTTCTTGTCTGGATAACGTGATTGTCAAGTTCCGTTGAAACTGGAGAATCGCAATCCGATTCAAGGAGAGGAATTAAGGCTATTCCGAACGTTATACCCAGACACAGACCTAACAATAAGACTTGTATCGAGTTAGAACTCACATGCACTCCATTTCCTGCTTTGGGCACAATTAAAAATAGGTGTGTTGAGGTTTGGGCATAATATTTACGCTTATCAACAATGAATGACGGAAATAGATTCATAATAATTGCGTAATGTACACATGAAGCAGTATTCTGACAATAATGTATATAATTTTAATGTTTCTCTGAGACTCTGACAGAGCGAGATACTCTGAACCAGAAGCAAACCTTGAACGAAAATTTGGCTGATTTCTTAGAATTCGTTTCCCGTAATTTCTTAAGGGGCCGTACATAAAGCATGTGACCGATGTTCAGAGAATGTGACCCCTACCCCCTTAGTGTGACCTGTGTTATAATTACATGGAACGAATAGGATGCCTTGACCCCTACCTCCCCCTCAAATCGATCACACGGACAGTGCACAGTGCCCAGTCCCTAAGCTCTACCATCTTAAGTCTTAACCCTTCCTTGCTTACACTATAGCTTGCGTATATCAAGTCTCTATAGGATACATTTCTTAAGAATGTGCAGGATGCACAACATTATCCATAAATGCTCATGCATTTGCTGCACCATTATTTCAGTAGCAACTCCAACGTATAGTTTCTTCATCAATCAAATCCATGCAGTGAAATGCAATTATCAACATGTAATAAATATTATAATAACAGCGTGGTAAGTATTAAAATCCACTGTAAACTTTATTTCACGTAGATATTTGGCAGGACTACAGATTCTTTAAACATATGTAAGATTAAAAATCCAAACTTTTCTCAAATTGAAACAAAAACTGCATAATATTACTAAGCCAAACAATGGAATGGAATGACAATTAAATGAAAATCAAAAGAAGTATATCTACACATATGCATTTGTGTGCATATATATGCAGTTGTTCAATACTACTTAAACAACCAGTTTAAAACATTTGTAAAGAATGTACCCTCCTTGGAGTGATTTCGAGAAGAAGCTTTCTTGCCGTTCGACACTGACTGAGGCATCGGTTCACGAGATTTTTTAGATCCATCTCCTAACCATAGAATCAGATTTTCATCAATCGTTGTTAAATGAGGTGTTGACTCTGAAACTTTGAGTTAAATTTAGTTAAGGTTTTGGGACCCATGTACAAAACAAAACTACCTATGATATGCAACATACAATACAAACAACAGCGCAAAATACCTCTAATCATGTCGACAAGACCCAACGCTGAGATTTCGTTGGCCATCGTTCCATTTGATTTTTTATGCTGGTGGGGTTCAACAAAAGCTCTCGGAATCGTCTGTCCAAGGAATATGTATAAATACAAAGTCAATGTTAAACATTACTCTTAGCAAAAAACATGTATATATCTAAATAATATCTCATCACTCACATTAATGTGACTTGGTAATTCATGTCTATGGCGGCTTTGACTCCCACGAATACTGGTAGCAACGTCATTTCTCGCCGGTCTTCCTGAAGAGGATTCAGTATCAAAATTGCTTCTCTGAGTGACAATGCCAGTAAAAGTACTTGGTGTGCGATAACGACTGATGCGAGACTGCGTATCTGAAAATTTCGATGGGGAATTTCTCGAAAATGAATTTGTAAAGATAGGCGAAAATCGACGAGGTCGAGATGGTCCTATATAACTGCGGTTTGATTTTAGTGATACTTGTTCTTGTGGTAACCGAGAAGGTGTCGACATACGATTGATTCCATGTTTTGATGGAAAATTATTTGCTTGAATGGATTGAGGGGGTGTAATTTCATCGTATGGACAAATAAATTCGTCATTGATTGGAGATGGTCGTTGAAATTCATATTCTTTGGCGACAGTTCGGAGTTGTTTGGATTGACAAGTCAGAATATTCATTAAAAGTCTGGAATGATCAAAAATCATTATACAGTATACAACTATGCATTCATTTATACATAGAAGTGTAGATGCATACTTCTATAATGAATTGTTCTCATCTAAATTGATTTATAAGGATTTTCTCACCCCAAGGATTGTTTAACTGGTGCAGGGTGATGGCTGGCACCTTGGATTTTGAGAATCACCTGGCTCCCTTTGCAGTTGTTGAATTGAAGCACATTGTCAAGATTGCGAGAAAATATGCTTGCCAAAAATAGGATGGTCCCAATGCTTTGTGGGTTTTCCATATCCTCAGTTTTATCCAAAAATGAACAACATGGTTCAACCAAGGAGCTCAATTTGCAATCAATCTTCAATTTTTCCATAAAAGAATCATCAGTCGTCGATCCTTTCTTTATCAATGCATCATTTTCATACTGAAAGATCAAGCTCAATACCCATGCCATCAAATCAACAGATTTCCCTGGCCAAAGCAAAATTATAACATTAAAATTCTCACAAGATAAACAATCCAGACATGCATACACATTATTTTTTATATATTTATTTTATATGTATTACACATGACTGGATCCAGACGGTTCATTTCCAATCGTAGTCGAAAGCTTTCAAGTAGACAATCAACCAAGCCAGTACGAGAACTCAAGATTTCAAGTGTTGTCGAATTATCCACAATTAAAGCCTTGAGAAGTTGTATGATTGTGACTACATAAGCTTCAGTTTGAATTTCGAAAGACTGGGCAGAGTTTTCGACAAATTCCATAATCTAGAGATCAGTGCATTATGGCACCATTTATCAACAGTTTTATGAAAATTTAAAAATATAAGGAGGTCAATATTTAGCTACATAATACCTTATCAAGTTTGTAAAGAAGTTTTCCAAACACAAATTTTTGGTTCCTTTCGTTTGTTGGATTATCCACACAATTCCACAGAGCTGAACATATCTGGCTCCAGCACTTTGTCAGTTTCTCATATCTTAACGGGCTCACTTGATCCTCCTTCAGAAAGAAAAAGCACAAACATAAAAATTTAGGTTCCATTTACAATTACAAAGTCACAAATAATTTATACCAAATGAGACTCGAAAATAGCCACTAAACTCTCCACCAAGCTAGCTACAACTCCATTGTCTTTCAACATATTTTGCGATGCAGCACGGTTTTTGTCGTCGCAAAAAACTTGAATAAACTGAGCAGCATCACACAAAGATGAGTATAACCTCGGATCTCCAATCCGGTAGCGATCAAACGTCTTCAACTTTTCATTCAATACAACAAACATATTTTCTGGTGATGTACATCGGCTCATCGCGTCCTCAAATGATTCCGTGGTCTTATCAACAAAGTATATTGGCCTCTCTCTAACAATATTCCCTCCAGTAGTTCCCCAATTGTTGTTCTTTCCACCAATACTGCTAGTGGAGGCTTCTGGCTGCTCAACATTTCGATTTTGACGGTCGTCATCTTGATTATCCAATAACTGAACAACCGATGCTGTTCTTCCACGTGAATGCATTCCAGTGCTGCTACAACCACGATTCATTTTCCTACAAATTAGAGAAAAAAACGATGAAATAAGTGAAATTATCAGTTAAAAGTTGGTGGTGTACAATTATCGGTCCACCTTTCAGAGAAAATAAGGTAGAGTAAAGCTGACGACGTTAAATTACTATTTCAAACACAATATTTTATCATTGGACTCAAAAAAATGACAAATTAACGCCAAAAAACGGAGACTATTTGTTTCCAACGCTATTGCTGACTAAAAACCCTGCGAGTTGTGCTTGACTCCTGAGAGGTCAAAAACCTCGAAAAAATCTCAACTTGACCCACATTTTCCTCTCCTCCAGCCCCATTCCAAGCAGTAAGACAGCAATCAGAGATAATAATATAAATAAAATACGCACTTATCAAAACCCGGAAGAAGAAGAGGCGAGAAGAATAAACGAACCGGATGGAAACTGGAAAGTGTGAAACATGAGACGACTGAAATAAGCGATGAAGCGAGTTTCGAGACGATGAGAACAAAGTGACGTGCGCCATCTGGTATTCCAACAGGTTCACAGTTATCTCTCTGCATATGAAATGATCCAAGCGGCTGGACGACACGCAGCAGTTGAAGTTGTACAGTCAGAAAAGGAGGAAATAATAAAGAAAGAAACTCCTTTCAGCTTCAGCACTAAAACTCTCCAATTGTTTTGTTATTCCTTGTTTCGTTCTTTTTAATTAAGCAAAAATATTTGCGTGATGTGATGTGAAGTAAAATATGATGAGGCAAATCTGATTGAGGTAAAAACAAGTATCCAGTTTTTCTACTTCATCGCTTCTTGTATAATACCTTAATAAATATAATTGATAAATAAGTATATAATAAATATGATAAATTTAGTAAATATACATCTTCCGCTGCTGCTGTCAAGACAAAAATAACCAGCAAGATGACCATGGAGTCGGACGGAGGGGGGTCACCTTCCTCCTCCGCCTCCTCCTCTTCCTCCCAACCATACGATGCTGGTGCCGTCGATTTTGTTCTAAAGCATGGAATTGGAGTTTGTGCCTCTGTGGAGGAGATTCGACCAGCTTTCATGTCCATGGGACTCCAAAAGTTGACGCCACCAGCGGTCGCCAGGATAATCAACGGCTTTTGGAAAGCATACGATCTCACACAAACATCGAGTGATGGGACCACCTGGGGAGATGGAGGAGGCAACAAAGATAAGACAGATTCTGTTAATTGGAGTTTGAAACCATTTGTGCAAGCCACGATAGAACTTGTGCCAAGTCTGTCGTGGAAGGACGTTATTCGAGAACTAGATTTCTCAGGGTTGTACATTCGAGATGGGAAGGGATTCAGGGCATTTATGGAAGGACTCAAATATGGGATACAAGTCCAATCCCAGTCTAGAAACGATCAATTCCCTATTGAACTATTCTACAGAAGGTGGGTGAATGCTGGTGTAGATGCACAAATCTACTTCTTTAAAGCCGCCCTAAACCCCAATAATTTCGACTCGTTCTATCTGCTCGACCACCCTCATCATGCTGTGCCCACGGAAATGCTAAAAACGAGTGGAGACAAGAGCTACGATGTCAAGGAAATTGCGATATGGAAATCAATCGAATTGCTTGACATCCTCCTCAGCCTCTCGGACGCTGGAAGTTACCCAATTATTCAAGATTTGTTCCAGTTTCCAATTATACATTGTCCCGATCTCCTCCTCCTGGGTCTAGCTCAAATGTCGTCTCCCGTCAACGTCCTGCGCCAGGAGATGATTGCAGCATTGTTACCAATTTTCTTTGGGAACCATATCAATTCTGGTGTTATTCTGCAGTATATTTGGCACAATGGGTCTAGCTCGCTTAGAACAATTATGATCCATTCGATGGCCGAATGGTATCTTCGTGGCGAAAACGACCAAACTAAGCTCTCCAGAATATTGGACATTGCTCAAGATTTGAAAGCTTTACAACTGCTTCTTAACGCCTCCTCCCACGTATTCATAATAGATTTAGCATGCTTAGCATCCCGTCGAGAGTTCCTAAAGCTAGATAAGTGGCTTTCGGACAATGTTAGAGAACACGGTGAACCATTTGTGGCATCAATTGTGAAAGTGTTGAAACGCAGAGTGCCCTTTATTCTCGGGAAAGAAGATAACATTCCCAAAACTGCGCAACTCCCTCCTGAAACTATTGGTGTTGTAATGCAGTGTTTAAATCAGTGTGTTGGAAAAGTTAATCAAGAACTCAGTGATACGATCCTAGCAATTGGTAATAGTTATTCGAACCTCATTGGTAGATCGAGACCCCCATCTGGGCCTCCTCCCCCTCCCGGAGTGTTGCGACCACCCCATCGAAACATTAATAACCCAGACTCGGCATTTAATCCTTCATCCGCACCTGGCCAGTTATTTCCGTCAAGTGATCCATTGTCATCCGGATTTGGAGGACTTAATATATCTGGGAATGCAGCAGCAAGTGGTGGGGGTGGAGGAGGAGCAAATTTTGGTTTCAATCCACTCGGAGGAGGACAGACTCCTGGCTCCCCATCAAGATTACTCGGACCTGGATTCAACTCTCAAAATCCGGCCGCATCAGCGTCTTATCCAATTCTATCAAGCCTCCAACTCGGTCCAAACACAGGCGCTCCGAACGTTGCTGCAGTCTCTGCTGCCCTGATGAGTGGGATTAACAATTCAATGGGCATGGGAATGCTTGGTGGTCGACTGGGTCAAAATCTACAAGGACCTGCGGGCGGTGGAGGATCTAATGCAATTGGCAACAATGGTGCGTCCATCGATAAGAGAAGTGGGCTTCCCGACGCGACACTCTTGTTCACCGAGATGCAAGGAGAAATCTCCAAGGAGGCAGAAGACGAGGCAAACAATTACTTTCATAGAATTTATAGTAAACCTCCAGTAAGTAAAAAAAAGTCAACCTCTTTCGTTTTTAGCATTTATTATGTGTGTTACCTTTTTCATTGTATTTACATTCCAAACTTTTATGTATAAACTTCACCAGTTCACGTCCGGCGAGAAGAGACTCACGCTAATTATTTATTATTATTATTTTATTTTAAATAACTGATTGTTCTTTCTAAAAACCTACAAAGAAAAAGTTCATCATCATTATCAATTATCAATTATAGGTTTACTATAAGAAATGTTATTACTTTTCCAACAGGATCCTACAATGACGATTAATGAAGTTCTCGACCTGCTTAAACGTTTTCAAGAGTCGAGTGTTCGCAAAGAGCGAGAAGTATTTACCTGCATGCTCCGGAACCTTTTCGAAGAGTACAAATTCTTTCCACAATATCCAGACAAGGAACTCCACACAACTGCACAATTATTTGGGGGAATTATTGAACACGGTTTGGTAACGACATATTTGCAACTTGGTGTAGCACTCCGATTTGTCGTTGATGCACTCAAGAAGCCTCCTGGTAGCAAAATGTATTTTTTCGGTCTCGCTGCTCTGGAAAGATTCAAAAACAGACTGAAAGAGTATCCCCAGTATTGTCAACATTTATCTAGCATCCCCCACTTTCAAGAATTCCCTCCTCATCTCATTGATTATGTTGATTCTGGAACAAGATCTCAAGAGCCGCCACGTCCTCGGACAGCATCAGGTGGTGGTCCTCTTCAGCCTCCAGTAACAACTACGTCATCATCATCGTCATCATCTGCACAACATCCCCCTGGAACAAATGCCGCTGGTGTTGGAAGCAAGGGAATGTCAAACTCGGGTCCTGGTGTGATTGCGCCAAAGTCAGGAAGTACTACTGCTTCCTCTGTTTCATCTGCTGCAGCTGCCAGTGCTCCAGGCCCAGGACCTTCAATCGCAGGACGACCATCGATTGCAAACGCTACCAATATATCCACTTTGCTGGTAGCAACAGAAAAGGACGAGAAAATAACCCCACCACCTGAAGTGATACAAGATAAAACTGCCTTCATTTTCAACAACTTGAATCAAATGAACTTGCCTCAAAAATCTGAAGAATTGAAGGAAGTTGTGGGGACAGATTACTGGCCGTGGATATCTCAGTACCTCGTCATGAAGCGTGCAAGCATAGAACTCAACTTTCACAACCTGTACAGCAACTTGTTGGACACTCTTAAAGCCAAAGAGTTGACCATCCACGTTCTGAAGGAGACTCATCGGAATATAAAAATTTTGCTAAAAACAGACAAGTCTGCTGGCAACTTTTCAGATCGAGCCTTATTAAAGAATCTTGGGCACTGGCTGGGCATGATTACACTGCTCCGAAATAAACCCATCATTTTAGACGATTTGGATATCAAGAGTTTGATAATTGAGTCTTATCGAAAAGGATTACAAGATCTGCTCTATGTCGTTCCATTCGCAGCCAAGGTAATACAATATTTCTTTTTTATACGTGTAAAAATAAATTGAATAGAATAGAATAGAATAAAATAAGGTTGAACATGCATTTATTTCTTGCAAGATTATGGAAAGCTGTGCCAGAAGCAAAGTCTTTTGTCCGCCATGTCCATGGACGATGGGAATTCTCAACGTACTGGCCGAATTACATCAGGAGCCCGATATGAAACTTAACTTAAAGTTTGAAATCGAAGTTCTCTGCAAATCTTTAGGCATTGAAATTAGAGACTTGAAACCAAATGGGATATTGAAGGATGAAAATATCTTCAAGATTGATATATATCAGTTGAGCTACCAAACATCTTCCGACAAACGTAACATTGCGGCTTCTCTTCCAATAGAGCAGTCCAGTCAGGTAAGCTATCGTTGTTTACTGATTTTCCTTCTAATAATCGATTTCTTCATTTTTATGTCTTATTAGAAATTTTATTTACATTGATGATGCTAATTGTCGCGCTTTTATTTATTGTACAGGCAAAACCATTGAACGACATGAGTCAAAGCCAAACACACCACCATCTTCCCAACGCCCCGACACCACAAAATATGGAAGACATTTCATCAATCCTATCCACATCCCCACATCATCTTCAACCGGTGATGATGACGGGATTATCGTCCACGCCCACTCTTCCCACTAATGCTCCAGAGCCCAAGTTTGCATTCATGGACATCGATACCGCGAATTTGCCTGCTCTCTTGGCTAATGTTGTCATAAATGCTCAGATCCCACTTTTACAAACTAATCCACAGTTGAAGCAATCAATACGGACTTCCATTGAAAAGGCCATCCAAGATCTTGTTGCTCCTGTCGTAGATCGATCCATCAAGTACACAATCAATGCGTGTGAACAGGTCATCAAAAAGGACTTTGCCTTGGACTATGAAGAGGGCAGAATGCGAGCAGCAGCACATCATATGATGCGTTATCTCACGGCTGGGATGGCTATGATTACATCACGAGATCACATTTTCGTTGGAATAACAAACAATCTCAAGAGTTCCTTCACAACTCAGTTGACTGCTGCTGTTGCTGATCGACAACCCATGAAGGACATGATTGAACAAGCATCTTCATTGATCGCTGGCGATAATATGGAAATTGCATGCGTAAGTAAAAAGCTCATGCTTATTGTACACCTTTAACTGCTGAATGTTTTGATGTGTTATAACTAAAGCTGAAAACATTATTAAAAATTCGATAAGTTTAAATTTCACTTATTTTACATGACGTGTAGGTGTTCATTCAAAAGGCCGCAGTGGAGAAAGGTCTGGTCGAGATTGATAAGAAGTTATCATCCGAGTATGAAATTAGAAAACAAGCAAAACTTGAAAACAGGAGATATTACGACTCCAATATGATGAACTTTCAAGTGGAAAGAATACCAGAACAAATTCGGGTTAAACCACCGCAGGTACAAACCATTTGTGTGTTTATAACTTGGGGAATCATCTCAAAATATTGAATTTTTATTTTTCATTACCATTCATTCGTTAATGTTGTAGCCCGGTGGACCTGTTAGTCAACAATTGGCAGTATATGAAGATTTCTCGAGAAACATCCCTGGATTCATTCCACCTGCAGAAGGAGATGCGCCTTTCTTAAATCCCAGATTTTCAGGAGGTATGCCTCCCACTGGTAGTGCTGGAGCACTTCAGCCAGCCAATACGTCTGGAGGCGCTGCTCAGAACCCACCAGGCACTGGAGAAGACTTGATGTCCATCTACGAAAAATTGGTCACCGAAATGGAGAACTACTTACAAGGATTGGCATTGTCACATTCCCCTGCGAGCCCACAATTGGTACATATTTATAATAGAACTACTACACTACATGAGTCGCTAATATTGTTTGCCGTTATACTGTTATTTCTTGTTGAATGTGTGTTAAATTTTGCATTCACCTTCTGTAGGCCCAAGGAGTAAAAAACTTGATGGACGCAATTTGCCTAGTTCGACAATCTCAGAGCGTGGTTGCTGCCATCACTTTACTGCAAAAGTCTGTCGAAGGACTATTGGAAGGCTTAACTGCTTTTCCTAACGATCCAGAAATTATCAGATATCGAGATGCTCATTTGATGGTCCTCAAAGGTCTCCAGGATGAACGTGGCTTTGGACAAACTTGGGTCAATCGACAAGTTACCAAGTAATATCCTACACAAATAACATACAGTGTCATTTCTTCGTAATTTATTTTGATATCATATTGGATTTTATTACAAACATCATTATTTGTGCATAGATGCGTGATTGAAAGTCGTCCAGAAATCAAGTACAATGTTGATGCTGTGGACACATTGATTCGAGCCAATTTGGTGAATATGATTCAGTTTGATGCTCATCTGGTAAGTATTTATTATTTGTGCATAACTCTATTTACGATTTTATGGATTATTCACTCACGTACAAATTCCAAGTCTGAATGATGGTTAAAAATGTTGTTATCTGTCTTTAGTCCAATGCTATGGATAAAGGCACCAACGTCTTGGCTGTCAACTTTGCGATGCAACTAGTTCAAATGTACCTCGTCGATGAGAGATATAACACCGTGGTCACCGTCACCGAAAGCGACTTGTATCACACTGTAAGCTCGATTACTCTCTTTATGAAATCTACTATTCTATATTCGGCTGCAATAATCTGAATTTCAAAAACTTGTTAAAAATGCAAGCTAAGTAAACGACTCACTTAAGTTTAAACTTTTTCCTGATTGATTGGTTTCTTTAGGTCGACATGCTGTCCCGCGTGGCTACCGTTAATCGCCAGCATCCTGAGGGTCTAATCCATTTGATTGAGGTTTTGAGGAACCATGAAGCACCCAACTTTGTAGGTGGAGGTCAAGTTGCACTTCAAACTCCCTCAAACCTGCATGTGGCACCGGTAAATGCAACTAGAGAATTTGACGATTCACAAGGTATGTTAACCAATATTATAACTGTAATACTTTTAATTATGTATGACTATTATTGTGATTACTATTATCAGGGTTGGTAGAAAAATCGGAAATGTTGTTCCGAGAGTGGATTCGTCTATATGTCACACAAGGCTCGCCCAGGGATTCAAATAAAGCGTTTGCATCGTTCATTCATGATCTTAATGCTTCTGGAATCTTAAAATCGGACGATATAATCACCCGTTTCTTCCGAGTGTGTATTCAGTTTTGTGTGAGCCAAGTGTACCAAGGTCTTCAAGCTGCAAAGGTAAGTCGATCAACTGATACACACAAATTGGATACCTTCATTCAACTGGCGTTAATTTATAGTTTTTTTGTTTATTTTTTTATTGCTAGGCATCTTTACCTTCAACGCCCCTTGTTAGGACGAAGTGTTATCAATCTGTGGATGCATTAGTGCGCCTAGTTGCTTTATTAATCAGACATATTGGTGATAACTCTACCACACAACCCAAAATTAATCTATTGAACAAGTTTTTGGGGATCGTAGCCGGATTGCTGATTCAAGATCACGATATTCAAAAGCAGGATTTTCAACAACTCCCGTTTCATCGTCTCTTTATAATGTTATTTCAAGACTTGAACCAATCTGACCCTGTATTTGACACTATTGGAACGCAGGTAATGAAAGCTTTTCCTATTTTTGTGTGATATTCTGGTTTTATCAATAATTGTTAATAGCATAAAGTTTTTTTTACACCCTTTCACCTTTACTGAAACTGAAACAATAATTTGTATCCATTAAAAATATTTGCAGATTCTTGCTGGTTTCAGTAACATCCTTCATATTCTCAGTCCACTCAAAGTGTCTGGATTTGTATATGCCTGGCTGGAAATTATTGGAAACCGAACTTTTATCGCAAGAATGCTTGCCCTTGCTGCTGATCATAAATGCTGGGCAATGTACTGCCAACTCCTTCTCGATCTTTTCAAATTTCTTCAACCGTATTTGAGAAATGCAGATTTGGCAAAGCCAGTCGCCACATTGTACAGAGGAACGCTGAGAGTTTTGCTCGTGATTTTACATGACTTTCCTGATTTCTTATGCGACTATTGTTACCACTTCTTGGATGCCATTCCTCCAAACTGTATCCAAATGAGAAACCTGGTCTTATCTGCCTTCCCCAGAAATATGAGGCTTCCTGACCCATTCACAGCAAATTTGAAATTTGAAATGTTAGCAGATACTGCAGTTGCACCTCGAGTGCTTCTTAATGTCGGCGGAATGATTCAACCAGCAAAATTCAAGGCGGATTTGGAATCCTACTTAAGAACAAGGGCTCCTGTGACATTCCTTTCCGAATTGCGAACAAATTTGCAGGTAAGTACGTTCAAAAGATTGTTGCACATAAAAATAGTACGTAGGTAGTTGATTTGTGTTGTTATTATATTATGCGGTGATGGTCAGACTAGAGTTTCTGAACTGTATGGTGTCGATAAATTTTTGCTGAGCATAATATATTTTATTAATTTTTACTCGCGTTATTTCATTACTGTGCTTTACTTATTACTTTTATCAAAGTTTTCTGAGTAAATTGTAACAATTGTATTGCAAATTATTTGCAGGTGTCGAACGAACATGGCACGAGATATAATATCCCACTCCTGAATGCTCTAGTATTGTTCGTGGGCACACAACACATCAATGCTATTCGAACAAGGGGTCAAACTCCAAGCATGTCCACAATTGCGCACACCTCACACATGGACATTTTCCAAAATTTGGCTGTGGATTTGGACACTGAAGGCCGATATCTGTTCCTGAATGCATTAGCCAACCAGCTGAGATATCCTTCCAGCCACACCCACTACTTTAGTCTCGTAATCCTGTACCTGTTTGCCCACTCCAACACCGAAGTTGTCCAAGTGAGTATACATGCAAAAGTGTTTGATTGTGCTAGTATTGTAACATGATGGTTTTAGACTAGAGTTTCTGATATTTTTAATATGATTTTGAACTTTCCTGAGAAAATAATACCTACACACAAATATTTTGATCCTAACTATTTATTTAGATAACAAAGTGGTTGGATATAGTACATATTGGAAATACTTAATTTATATTTGCTACTTTTTTCTAGGAGCAAATCACAAGGGTGTTGCTTGAGCGACTGGTGGTGAATCGTCCACATCCTTGGGGACTTTTAGTAACCTTCATTGAGCTCATCAAGAACGGGGCTTATAAATTTTGGGCCCATGAGTTTGTTCACTGTGCACCAGAAGTTATCAAGCTTTTTGAAAGCGTGGCCAGGTCCTGCATGGTCACTAAGAACACCCCAGTCCCAGTTGGGTCGTCAGGACAGCCTGTCCTAAATTTGTCGACCAATCCACCACCCATTTCTACAAGTCTAATGTCGATGGATTCCGTAGATATTCTAAGCCTAGAATAAAAATGTAAAAGTACCCAAATAATTATGTTCAAAGTTTAAAGTAGTGAACGTTCAATGTTCATAGTGATGATATTTAATAATGACCATTATTATTATACTAATTACTCTCTTGTCCCGGTTACTACTATTGTAAGTGTAGTGAGTTTTAACTTAACCACTAGAATTTTTAAATGCGCTGACTGATGCATTACACGTTGGCCGTGCTTATTCTTTTGTTAACTAGCTAATTAGAAATTGAAGATTGATTGATTAATGTAGTAAGACGAATTTAAGTCGAGTCTTTGTTAGGATAAAAGTATTTCTGTTGTTGGCAGACTGACCTATGACTGACGGATAAAGCAGACATTTTGTTGTAGATGAATAAAATATGTATTTAAGACTCGTTCGATACTCAACAAAGAAGTAAGATTTGAATATTTTGGCAGCCACACACATAGCATATTGTAATTATAATCAGGGTTGATGAATGAATGAATTGTATTGAGTTGAGTTGAGAGTCATAATAATTTAAAATTTACTTATTAGAGTTGCATGCCTTAATTATTAGTGTAAAAATGTAAATATGTATGTTGGTCGAGCTATATGGACTGGTTAATAATAATGAATGATGGTCGATTGTTTACCTGGCATAGAAAATGTCCAATTTATTTTAAAAAACGCAAATTCACAAGAATTGTGGAACTCACAAAAACCAATAACGTAAAGTTTGTAGTTATTATATGATCAAATATAGTCACACACGACGCATTGTTATCCAATTCTGTAAAGAAGAATTTGGAACACATTTTCGACGGCTACTTAATAAATCAATAATCATAATGCGTGCAATTATTCTTCTTCGTCGACAGCATAATTATGACATGCTCAGATTTATGTATGTAGTTATGTATGAAAATGTGAGAAAATGTATATTGTATATATGTGTGTACTTATGTATGTACAACTTTATAATAGTTCTTATCATGAATGGATAGTCCATTAATTAATTAAGTAATAATAAATTTCTTTAAATTCTTGCAGAAATTGTGATTTTCTAATTGTTCGACTTTATTTATTCATTATTTTTTTCATGCACCAACGGGATACACATTTATTTCATCAAGGTACATTGTTGATTGCGTGCTACACACTACATACATATGTGACTGTCTCCATGAAAAGGGACCTTATTCATCAAATATCTACTTTAGCGACTTTAATTTGTTAGGAAGGTTCTTGCCTTATACTTTAATTTGCCATTTATTTCAGCTCAATCTGTCAAATGCAAGTAAAGTTATTTAAATTCAAAGTGCTGCATCGACAATATGGCAAAACGACCTTTTGGCGAAAATTTTCATACTGATTAAATTTAGAACAATGTTTTAAAATTTAATATTGTAGCTCATATGGCGCTAATATTAGATTTGCACAGGCCAATACAAGCCTGAATGACCTTAAGTTTTATTAAGTGTCTAGGTCACGTTAAGGTCCTGGAAAAGGTCAAGGCGCAAATTTTTTATTTTTATTAGGTAAAGCAAGCCTGTACAACCGTAAGTTTTAAATTTGAGGTGGAATGCTTAACATTAATGTTTATTTCGCCAATTCAGCTTTTTGACGAAATGGGTTTCGCTGAAAGTGTTCTGTTTTGGTATTTTGCCGCTTGTACAAAATGAGAAAAGTATGAATAAGGTCCCTTTTCATGGAGACAGCCACATATGCTAAAATTGATCGTTGATAAAATACTAATTTGAGAAAGTATTATTGTCCATTTAGTTAAAAGGATATAGTGCATACTTTGCAGCTCGTCTATATACTATAACATATTCCACACGAAACAAATTGATTTGAGAAGAGGACAAATGAACCCTCATAAAAACCGAACAAGTAACAAAGTCAAACTTTTAAAGCACAATTCCAAACGAAGCGAAGCGAAGGATTTAATAAAAACGAGAAAAAAACTTTTGGATTGCATATCATATCATATGCGAAATAAGATCTGGTGAGCATTAGTTACAAACAATGTGGATCACAAGTAAAATTAAAATTGGACACGACATACGAACTTTCTTTTTTGACTCGTGTTGGTCACATTCTGTTACATTATATTATACAATACAGTAAACATCACACTATGATTTCGATCACTCGGTAATTTCCGATCCGTGTTTCAAGTTTCAAACGATTGCTTCAAATTTAACTATTCATGTATGAATATGTCCACTCCTTTGTCTGGACATACGTTTCTTTGATGGTAATTGGAGAAGACCATTTGAGAATGTTGTGTGGCCCACCAGCTTTATCGTTCGTTCCTAAAAACACAACATTTTGTTATATGCAACACTGGTACTATGATGTATTTGTTAATTAGCAAACTTGGAATAAGTTAAGTGAATGCTGATTGAAGTGAAAAGTTGATGGATAGGATAATACCTGACATACGACCTCCTCCGAATGGCTGTTGACCAACTACAGAGCCAGTTGATCGATCGTTGAGATACATATTTCCAGTGGAATACTTCAAATACTCTTTAGCATGAGTTAAAAATGCCCTGCAAGTCGAAATCCCGTATAAATGTATGAACATGAATTACATATTTATGAATGAGGAACTTACTCATCCAAGCTAAAAATGGCTCCTGTCAGGGCGTAAGGAGTAGAAGTATCGACAAGATGGAGCGATTTTTCAACTTCTGCATCAGGATAGGCATAAACTGCCAACACTGGTCCAAATATCTCCTCCCTCATAATCTTGTCTTGTGGTCGAGTACCCGAAAAAAATACAAATAAATTGAATGTTTATTGGTTTGGGGCGAGATGAGACGTGACAGGGTGCCAAAACCGGCACACATCCATCATTCCAGCTATTCGAGCCAACAGAAAACGACGAATAATAATTTCGCTCCGTCTGATTTAATATTTGCTAATTTAATTATTCAAATTCCATTTATTGAAATAACACTAATAGTATTATTTTATTACTATTTCAAATATGTCGAAGTGGTGCTGGACGGCACCTTGGTTTTTCGCTGACGGAGTCCATATTTATAAATGGTCCATTGGTGGGAGTATTTTTGAAGAAAAAGAAGCAGCTAGGATTCATTTTAACTCGCAATCATCAAATCACGAAAATGGGATAGCAGCTTGTGCCGACATGTGAGGCACCCTGTTTTTATATTTATGTATTTTTTACATTATTTTTTACTTATTTCAGGAATCTGAAAGATATGGGATTTCTCTTTCATCCCCAACTTGCAATACGCATCCCTGGTACAGAGACTTTTTCTGACCAGGATGCGACCGATATGAAGGGGTTTTGCAGGGTGTATTTGACGGGTTAATTAGTTAAATATTATTTCTTAAAATAATTATTAATTAACGATAATATCATTATATTGATCCATTACATCGGCATCAGAGGACATTTTAACTTGAAGTATTTATTGTTGCAAGCTTTCGATATTCATACAGAATTTCTTCATCAGGCAAAAATATATTTGTAAACTAAAATTCATGTGTACGTTTCCTCCTCCACGTCAAGTTTTGTTTGATATCAAATAATTACATGGTTACATTTATAAATTTTTACGTGGACTTTGAGGGCTATTGTGTATATGTTAAAAAGTTTGTTAGTGTACTTGACCAGATAGGGCTGACTGCGACTCCTCTCGAAATATTCATCTTGTTAGTGGTACTTTTGATGAACAGTGCTTCTTTAAATTTTCGAAAATATCTTCTAGGTTCTTTTAGAATTAATTTATACGAATTTGGGTCCAAATTGTGTTCATGTTCATGCATGTGTAGAGCAACAGGAGATAATCTTACATTTCCACTTCTAATGGCATGAATGTGTTCCTGAATTCTTGTAGTATAATCACGTCCTGTTTCTCCAATATACTTTGCTGGACAATTACTGCATTGAATTGAATAAATCCCACAATTTATTGTTCTCGGTTTCTCTTTAGTGTTGGTTAGCATTCTGGATAACTTCGGGCCAGGAATGTAACCTATTTTCATTTCTAGTTTTCTTTCTAGAAATCGTGCAATTTTTGTGGTGGTTTCACCTGCCCACGGTAAAATAATTCTTTTGACTGGTTCGTCTAGTGAGTTGTTGTTATTGTTATACTGCATTTTGTTTTTGACTTTCTTCAGTCTGTATTCAATCATTTTTCGTGGGTAATTATTTTCTTCCAAGATTTTGATTGTGTATTTGATTTCATTCTCTAAATGGTCTTCATCTGACAGTCTTAAAACTCTTGTCAGCAGGGTATCCGTTACGCCAATTTTGTGTGCCGGGGGATGAAAAGAGTGATAATTCAGGTACAAGTTTGTATGCGTAGGCTTCCTGTAAATTTGATGACCAATCGAGTTGTCCGGTTTCTTGTACAGCATGAGATCCAGGAAAGGTAATTGTCCCTGTTGTTCATCCTTAAATGTGAATTGAATGGATTCATGGAACGAATTGATTAGACTTAAAATGTGGCTTTTCCTTCGAATCCTTATTATGGCAAAGACGTCATCCACAAATCTACGCCAGTAGATAATGTTGCGATTGTTTTTGACAAGCTTTTTTTCCAATTCTTGCATAAATATTTCTGCGACTATTGGTGAGATGGGGGATCCCATAGCGGTACCTTCAGTTTGGTGATAAAATTTGCTATTGTATTTAAAATAGGTGGATTTTAAGCAAATTTTAATCAGCTCCATTAGATCATTGATTGAGAGTTTTGTCAGTTCATTTAGGTTATCATAATCTTGAAGTCTTTTTTTGATGATTTTCAGGGTCTCTTTTATGGGAACTTTTGTGAAAAGTTAATATAAGTTATATAATAAGTTATTATCACTTTTGTGATAATATCATTCTAATAATTATGACAGATACTGTTGGACACTTGGCGAATTCGCAGGGATATTCTGGGCGACTTGAGGGAAGAAAGTTGAACTTATTGGCGGGGTTCCGTACTGTTCCAGAACTGGCATATCGTGTCGTGGATGCTCCCGAATGGCACACCACGGCCAAAAAGAAGATAATGGAGAATGGTGAGTCGTTATAACCATAAATAACAATAAATCACACTAAATCACAAAAACTCCCACTTGTGTTTTTTGCATAGATCTCCCAGCTGATCATTATGGAGTGATCCTGACCTTCACAAAGGGGTTACACAATGCTTCATACAACAAGGGTAAAGTACCGTGGACCCCGGATGACCTTTCAAAAGCTCTAAATGCGTATTCATTGCCACATGTCACTCTCGCTGATGTCCTGAAGGAGCATAAAATAAACAAATCAACTATCAATAGAGCATCAAGTACAATAGTCGGATGGGAGAAAGGACGAGACAACTCAGCAGAGATTCATGCATATATAATGAAAAAGTATTGCCACACGGCACCCTGTGCAACCATCACCAACCAAGCTGCCTCAACATCATCATCGTCACTACAACATCAAGAGGAAGAACAAGAAGAGGAAATAATTCTGGAGGAATCAGAGAAAGAGAAAAAATTGAAACAAGAAGTGATCGAATTGAAGCATGAGATCACCCGTCTCAATAACTTGATTGAAAAGTTGGAGATCGAGAACGCATCGTTTTCCTGTGTTTGTGATGGATGTTTTTGATTAACTAAGTTAGAGACTTACCCATGGGATCCTTAGTTTCGATTAAGGTTGGCTTAATGAAGTAGCCGTCCCTGTATAAGTAAGTCGTACATACATATGCAATCCTTCACTTTTGTAATCATTACTGTCCAAAGATCATGAAAAACTTACGACTTGTCGTATTCACCACCTTGCAAGATGGTCAGATTCTTTTTGGCATGGTCAATGTAGCCGGAAATTCTATCAAAGGCTCGCTCGTCAATTACTGCTGATGTAAATACTGAGAAGTCATTCACAGGCCCTATTTTCAGCTTCTTCATATTTTCAACCAGTCCTTCTTTCACCTGTACCAGATGTGGTTATACCTTTAGCGTGGCGACATATGCATGAGTGTACTGAGAAACAAATACCTTAGGCCAAATAGACTGGGGAACATACATCCTAGAAATTGAAATGTATTGTTTTTGTCAACTAATTTTATATTGAGCTCGTATGAGCTATGAAATGGTTAATCGATACCTGCTACATGCTGAACACTTTTGACCAGAATACTCGAAAGCGGAACGAATAGTGGCCATTACGACACTGTAATAAATGCAAGTAAACTTTCTAAGTAACAAACAAAACCATACAAGTGTATAAAGGTTTAGGTTATAAGTTTAATTAACTATGTGAGCATTCGAAAATAACTTCTTCTTACCTTGTTACGTCAGCACTAGGATGAACAAAGTGAAAATTCTTGCCACCACATTCCCCAATAAGCCTTGGAAAATTTTTATATTTTGAGAGATTGTTCCCAACCTGACTCCATAATCTTGAAAAGGTTCTGCCATACAGAGAAATATACTTTTAGATTAAAAACTATACCGTAGCAAAAAAAAATTATTTAAATCTCAGCCTTACGGAACAGATCCAGTGAAATTAATCCCAGCCAAATCAGGAGATGCTGTTATAGCGTCACCAAAAACGGGACCATCGCTTGGAACAAAGTTGACTACACCAGATGGAACACCAACTTCCTTCATAATTTGAAATATGACATAGTTGGATAGCACTGCAGTGTCTGAGGGCTTGAGTAACACTCCATTTCCCATCAGAGCTGGAGTATATGCAAGATTTCCTCCTGCAAAAAAGCGAAGCGTAAAAACAATGGTTCCCCCAAAAAAACATGGACAAAGTTGAAAAAATCTTCTGTTTTTGCATGGTTTCGTGTTTACCAATAGCTGTAAAATTGAATGGAGCTACCGCAGCAACAAACCCTTCAAGCCCTCTCAGTTTAAGATGATTTCTGTACACCTCCGGACTAGGACTGAGAGGTTGGTACTTTAGCACCTCTTTTGCAAAAAATGCATTCATCCTTATGAAATCGATCAGTTCCGCAGCTGCAAAAACAAAATATTCATTTCAGACAGATTATCATACAAAATCATAGAGTTACGATCCAAGATTTACGCAGCGAGTTTTGAAAGCACAAAGAGAACCGGTGGTTTTTTTAGAAATATATTTATTGATTTACTATTTCTGAACAATGAGTTCCAAAAAGAAGGGGGCAGCCACACCCACCAGCAGTACGAAGTCAAAGAGACAGATAAACTAATTCTTTAAAAAAAAACTTAGGTGAGGCTTGCTTAAAAGGGAGAAACAAGAGGTTCTCATCGTGTAATAAAATAATATGCTACATCAATGTTCATCTCATGATTTATAATTTTAGGTGAATACAACAACAAATTATATGCGTTTCGGACCATTTGCCTCGCCGTGGGCCTGATTAATTGTTCCATACAAATACATATATGTATATATATAGTATGTGCAACCATATTGATGGTTGTACCTAAATATACATAAGTTGCAATCTTCGTTACTATTCGATTCTGCTTATACTGATGGCCTACATGAATATATTTTAAAGATAGGTCGAAGTTTTTAAAATTTAGTGTTCTGAAATATAATATTACAAACTAACTCAAGCTTCGTACATTACATCACCAATAGATTATGGATAACGAAATTATCTAACTAAATCCTGTATCGTTTCATATGAATTATTACTGCATATGTGTATCAAATGCACTGAGCGCTAATAAATTTTCAAGTTATTTTAATTATTTGAATCATAAAATGGCCCACGGCGAGGCAAATGGTCCGAAACGCATATAATTTGTTGTTGTATTCACCTAAAATTATAAATCATGAGATGAACATTGATGTAGCATATTATTTTATTACACGATGAGAACCTCTTGTTTCTCCCTTTTAAGCAAGCCTCACCTAAGTTTTTTTTAAAGAATTAGTTTATTTTTTTGTTTTTAAGTCTCTTTAAGTTGTCATCAATAATAGATACCAAATTAAATCTCATTAGCCTGGATGCGTTACATAATATGCAATTAATTCTCCAGTGGGTGTGAATGCGTGGAACACCAAATTAAATTCCCCTATCACCCGTGGACTAAAGGGCAAGAAATGCATCAACATCATACATACATGTATTTTGTATATACACACACTTAGAAATCTGGTATAATTGAAATCTCAGTGGTTCCTATTGCTTGCAATACGATGACGCCAGCGGTCTAGCTCCGATTTTGACGAAAACACGATAATTATGTATCCTTAGATAAATGATTAAACACGTGTTTCAGGATTTTTCGTAATGCTCATCCTTAGTTTAAACAAAGTTATGATGGAAAACGTGAAAGAGAATTTGCATTTTCACCGTGAAATTTTTCTCACATGGGAGAAAACGAAACATGATTACGTCAGAGCATTAGTTATGAATACCATTTTTGTAGTCATTTCTGAATACCGCTTGGTACTATTTTAATACTGGATTTCTAAAAGTGCATACATGTACATACATATTTACATGTTTAGATATTTGCATATGTAAGTGCAGAGCTTACATGTTTCTATTGTGCTGGTTGCTAATAGAAACGAGTATTTGTTATAAGTAATGAAGAAACATTACAAGCAACGTAACTGGCTGCAGATGCTACCAAGAAAACTTTTTCATTTCTTGTCCGATTTCGCTCGGGTTTGTTTTAAATGACGCGTTATAGATTTCCGCACATTAAAACATGGACGAGTCACAACCTTTGCATGGGAAAAGTGAATTTGCCAGTCGTTTGAAAGTTTAAAATCGATTTAAAATGGGTTAAAATAAGATTGTCAAGTCTCTAGACCTGACGGGCATCATCTACCCAGCAAGGTCTACACGATTGCCTTTTACACCATTTTGATACGATTAGCCGTTTTGCCACAATCTTGAGTGGAATTTTGGGAGGGGGGGTCTGTTTGCATACTTAGGCTTCGCCGTAACCATGCATTTTTTCAAGAGGTCATGGTTACTATGCCTCACCTAAGAAAAAGAGATGAAATTGATGAGGTAACTATTAACAATATTTTATGGTATTATTTGATGATTTGTTTCTATTGCAATAATTAATATTAATTTTCGGGTGGTTTTTCCTTTACTCCCCAAGCCAACTACTGTTCATTCAAGATTAATATGCAGTAAAAAGTCTGAAAGGTTATTTGGCGGATGATTGGTTTCCATTGATTGAGTTTGTTTATATTTTCCAAATTTCACCTAATATTCATTGAAAAAGTAGACAAAATGTACCTAATTAAATCGTTGTCAATGTCAACCAGCAACTTCGACCATTTGACTTTTTACAAAATTTTGAGGACTTTACTGCATATTAATTTTGAACGAACAGTAAGTGTATTTCATATTTTATCAATGTTTTATGTTAATAAACGGACATAGATATTTATAAAAAAAAATATTAATTTATATTATATTAATTTATATTAACTGCAATGCAGATGGAAATGGAACAGGATGAAGAGAAAGTCTTCCGCTTTTGTAAACCAGATTCGGATGAGGATGATGATGATGACACGTCGACAAGACGAGAGTGGAGGATGGTGGAGAGCAAGGAACGATATTCAAAGCCTCCTCCCACAAATCCAACCCACAGATATGTAAATAGGACAATTCAGACAAGGGAATTTGATAATAATGGGTAAGAAAGAACGGTGAAATTGTGAAATAATGCAGTAAAATGATTACAGATTAAATTTTGTAAATTTTTAGTGATCCTAAGCCAGTCCCATCATGGTGGAAGATAACAAAGGTGTTGAGGACCGAGAAAAAGATGTCAAGAAAGTCTGAGGGTGAGAAATGTTGTTCCATTTAAGTCCGGCAACAATCTAATATGCCTTATGACACTATTTCAGATAAAGGTGATAACAAGTTGTGGCAACTTTATTGCAAGTTAGCCCGAGAGGAGAAGGAACAACCGATGGATGTTGGCTCACAAACTTCAGATAAGTCGGATAAATTGACACCCCTCACCCCAGAAGTAATCACTACCACACACGGCCCACTTACTGCGGCAGAACGGACAAAAGCAGAGGATAAGATAAAAGCTGCTGGGAAAGAAGGGTTGGAGGTCCCAGGGACAAAGAACAGAGTGGTTTATAAACCACCAGACACCCGTCCACAAAGTTTGCGACCCTGGGGATTATTCGCCATTTTGCCTAGTGGTCATTGGATTTGTTCAGCTGACCCCAGTAAGATTTTGTCTATTTAATTCCTGCTAAATTACATAGTTGTACAATGAAATCGTTACCATTTATGTTGCAGATTGTGTGAATTACAACAAAATTACGATGGAGGCCTCTCCGAAATGTAATATCCACAAAGGAGTAGATGTTGGATTTGTTTTGGGACAATTTACAGATGCAAAGAACAAGAAAAATGAAGTTATCCTTCATGTCATCGCGTCGTTTATTTTTACTGCTGGGGATGAACAGGGAAAGGAAAGTATTGCAACAGACGCCTTGAAAACACAGAATGCCAGCACACCGATCGGGGATGGTCGATATATAAAACCGAAAGGGCTGATTTAAACAAACCAACCCCAGAATTGACGGAGATAAAAGAAAGACGTCGCTACTTCTCAGATGAAAATGAATTGATGAAGGTTTACACTGCTAGACAAGTAGTTCCAGATTCTCTTTTTTAATGCATAAGTTCAACCATAATTAATTAATTTGTAATCTATTCTAGACTACAACACTCTTTAAGATGCTTTTGTGGCCCGACACAACTATTAAAGTAATCTGTCTGAATATGATGATAAACCTACCCAATACTGCCTACAAAGAGTTTCGTGAAGAGATGAATTTTCAAGGAATGGAATTAAGAGTTCATGACAAGATTAAGTCAAAAGATGCAGGGATGGAAGCTGGGATGGAAATACCATTTATCCTTAAAGCAAATGCTGGAGAAAGTCTTGGATCTCTTCTAGAAAGGGGGAACAAGGTTAAAGGTGGGGCAGATAACAACAAACCCAAGAAAAGTTTAAAACAAGAAGAAAAAGTCGCAGCATTATATTTTGTGTCCAGCCCATTCGTAATTTATGCTGGCCAAGCTCTTAAATTAGATGTGCATCAGAGGACAGACGCCGCAGCCGACCCAGTGGTGGACTATAAAAACAACAAAGGGGATCATCCCGATCCTCAAATTGTCCCTATCGGAATAGTTCCTACAGAAGAGAGATATCGTTGGGAGTTCCACCTCCACATTTGTTCATTATTGGCGTCTCTTTTCCAGCTACCAAATTGTATTAATGCAAGCGAGTACACTGCTCAAGCTCATCCTCTCTCTCTGAATAAGCAAACTAATTCTACATTTATTGATAAAAAGTCATGGGACATCATCAATGCCTACATGATGAAGAATTTCAAGATGGATGTGTATTTGGGACCGAAGGGCGTCAATTAATTAATAAGCACAGGCATTTTATTGTCATTTATAAAAGTTGTAATAAAATCATCCGAATCAATTCCAGTTTTCTTACCAGCGTCAATCTCGGCCTGGATAACGGTTTTGCCTTGACCCAACATGGTTGTAGCATTCAGTCGTGGTCTCCAAGGACCAGCCATCATATCTGCTGCCTTCAACAGTGAAACAACAAATAAATCTCATGCAATAAGGATTCATTTCAGCAGATTTGATACTCTTGCCCAATAAGTAATTAACTAATTTATATAACCCTTCATTTACATACACGAGCATTTGTAATATAAAATACTTGCCTTTAACCACATTTTGAACTTATCGTTGAAAGGAACTCTATCCCATTCCTTTTGTGCTTTTACAGCCGTTGTCATTGCCAAGTTGAGCAAATCCGGCGTTGCATAGTAAAACTTTGCTAACTTTTTCTTGTGATTATGGGGCTAAAATTTTGCAAATAGATGTTTGGTTAAAATTTAACAATCAATTGTCGCAGCAGCAGCATGTAAAAACCAACCATGACTTGATATCTGACATTGTCTGTCTTGTACTCCTTGTCTCCAATTACGATGGGAACTTCCATTGTTTCCGATGAATATTTTTCCAATGCAGACTCTAGCACCCTCCGTTCCTTTGTACCCTTGTCATACCCCAAAATTGGTTCGTTGGCGACTTTGAAATCTTCAAATTCATTTGGAGGGACGACGGATTTCGTTAACTGGGTCAATGATCTTTGCCTACAAACAAGTGAAAAAGTTTTAAAGATGAGATTGGTCATAGAACAAGGGTAATGATAACACATGTGATGCACAAAATTATGTATTACGGTTGAAGTAGTTGTATCCTTGCAGTAGTGATGATACTGCGGGGATGTGTCAGAACTCGGTAACTTATCATCTTGCAATCAGGATTGGTGGTATCTGTTGAAACAAAAACACATGTCTTTCGGATGTCTGAAAATTTGTCATACTAAAAGAATTATACCGTTTGGTCTTTTTAATAAAATGAGTCAGAGAATTTTAGAACTAGTAGAGCTTGAAAAAAGTTGGAGATGAACGAGTGGTTGAAAGTTGATAGCGAAGCGTGTCAAGTTCACTGGAAGACTCGAAAATTGGCCAGGGAGATTTACTGGCGAATCCTGAAAGAAGAAAGAGTCCAAGAAAACAAGTATGGTGAATTTTATATGGTCGAATCTTCATCAAATACAAGTTAGTACAAATATGTAGCTCGATCTGTTGTACCACACAACCTGTGGATTTAGTAGCTTTTCACCTGTATTTTGTCCTTCCAGTTTGCTAATTAACTGGACAATTAGTGGATGACCTTGAACTTGAACTTGAACAACAAAACAGGTTAAAGACAATAATATGAGCGAAGTAGTGAATGTAAATCATATAAATGCAAACTGATGTCTGAAAGGCACGCTGATCAGTGTACTGTTGGCATTAATGAAAATAACTTCAAATTTCGATTGAAAAAAATCTTTCAAACTGCGAATTTAAAAATGTGTACGCTACAAATTTTGTACTACTACAAACAAAATACGAAACCATCATATTTTTTCCGGTTGATTAATTTTGTTTTGCCCTACCTTTCACCTTTATCTTTTGCTTATGAACCTCGTCGATTGTGCAGGCACATTGGCGACGACAGGAAACAATGAGGAGAAGGACTGGCTGACGACGAGACGACGACTATGGCGAGAGACTGGCTGGACGACTGGATTTGGCGAAAATCCGTGAGAATTTCTCGCGGGATGTGAAACCAACCCGAATCAGCAGCAGGACCGAATAGTCAGTCAGTTTGAATTGGATCATGATTGGTTATGCGGTGACACTTGGTGACAAAAAGACAACAGGAAACCGGAAACGGAAATACGAAAGACTTGTGCATTGTGACCTTTTCAACCTGTCGTGGACCAAGTGGGATTTTTCAGGCTGATTAGGAGGAGGATCATGAAATCACTGAAGAAAGTGTCAGGGGTTAAAAAAACGTACAAAACAAGAACAATAGGAACGAGACGAAGGACGTCCGCTAATTAAATTAATTTTCTTTAATTTATAGGCATACATCCCCGACATTCCCCAATCTCGGTTTTGCAGGACTTTAGAGTCGATACCGGAAACCAACATTTTGTGTTCTAATAAATGGACTTGATCAACCTGCTGGGTTGGGTAATTCATTTTACCATAGACAATAGACTTAGGATTAGTAAGCTTTCTGTTCTACTTATGCACTTTGGAACAGCAAATTGATAAAATTAATTAATTTCATATTAATGTAAATATCTTGTGCGAACAACCATGAGCATGAGTGTACTGAGGCCCTCAGTACACTCATGCTCATGGTTGTTCGCACAAGATATTTATATCCCCTCAGTCTGAGGGGATATCTTATATAACGCCTCAGCTCTAATGTGGTTGAGCCCATGAATTAAATTACGGGTTTTATATTCAAAATATGTAATAGTGGTTTAAGTTTTAAGACGAGTTGTATTTATATTGGTCATCCTAAACAATTAGTGAATGGTCTGGATTCCAGACTCTGGAAATAGTTCAAGTTCCTTTTTAATTCGTTATTTATTGCACAGCATTGACGAATGAAAGAGTGTATCTATCTGTTAGGCATACGAGTTAATTTGAGTATATGTATATATCAACGTTATCGATAATATTTATCTCGCTTCATTCACTCGCATCATCATGCAAGATCATATGAAACAGTTATGTTTCGTAGTTAGTTCCAATTATCCATCTGTAATCACCAGAAGAACACTCGCAGCTTATTTGAGTACAATCTACTAAATTTTCAATTAATTACACATATTCACTATCAATAAATGGAAAATCAAAATTTCTATTAAATTTTCCAGATCTACATTTATCCAGTTCCACACATCGACCCATGTAGATAGACTCGCTACAGACGAGCTCCAAACAAGTGAGTTTTTTATTATGATCGAGCGATCGAAATATTTTACCAAATTTAATAGCTTATTGAGTAAACAAGTATTAAATCGCAACGTGTTTTCAATATATAGGAATCTATAATGTCAATGAGAGACTTTCTTGATGGAGAATGCGGACAAAATCCCGTTCTCAAAGTTGCAACACATTTTACCCGAGATTCTTTGAGTTCTGATCTTGGTCAATCGTCGAGGCATGCATTTGTAAGTTCCACTGTTGTTACTATTTCAAAGTCACAAGTTTTGTTCATATGACTGAATTATATATTATTTTTTATTAGTTTGACGCTGCACATAATGTATCTCAATTGCCTCCGACGACATTCCAAATGGACAACTTGCTTAAAGAAATTCATGCAATGGGACAAACCTCTAAGCCACCTGTTCAAGCACCAACTACTTTGGCAGAATTGGCAGCAAATCCCGCCTGGGCAGAGGAATTCATAGGGAACGAACAAAGATTAATGGTAAGTTGATTAATCAGCAAATAATTAGTTGAATATGAATATTGTGCTGTTGTTTTTAAACGGTTAGGAGCCTAGGACTGGCCAAGAATCTTGGATTCAAGATTACTTGGCGTCAAAGGATTCAGAGTTGGACAACGTTTGGGACCATCATGCTCATCATCTCGATACTCATCACAGGACACCACACTTGCATCCCGGTCCAATTCATGCTATTCATCACCCTGATGTTCATGTTGGACAGGCAAGTGCCAGAGACCTTCTGGATGACTCCAGATGGCTATCACAATACGAGTCAGATAACAATCTTAACACCAATGAGTTAGAAAAAACCGAACTTATGATTACTGCCGAAGAATTTATAAAATCAGTCTCAGATCCCAAGATTAAAGCAACTGAGTTTATGAACTTTGTCGAAAAGCTGAGTACAGGGGAAATTGGGGCCGATGGTCAACACGCGGATGCAAGGTCTCAACAGTGGGCATCAGAGTATGAAAATGAAGTATCTGACGCAGAGATGCAAGCTAGGCGCAACGGAGACTGGGCTGATGAGTACGTCACGGGCAATGGAGGAACAGCAGGGTCGGCAGCATCTGATGCCAAACAAGAGTTTTGGCACAAATTGAACGACGAATGGGAAAAATTGGCTCGTGATGATTCAGCGAACCATCCTTGGCTAGTTGAACCCTCAGCATCCAAAGTGAATGAGGTAGTTTATAGTACTTAATAATTCGGTTAAATTTTTCCTAGTGACAAATTGAAATATTTGTATTAGCCGTACCAATTCTCAGAGGATAATGCTTTCAAAGAGAGTGAAGATCCATTTGAAGAAGGAAAACGAAAACTATTGGCTGGTGACATTCCTTCCGCCGCTCTTCTTTTTGAAGCTGCTGTACTCAAACATCCTGACCATGCCGAATCTTGGATGTTTCTTGGAACAACACAAGCCCTGAATGAACAAGATCTTCTCTCCATTTCTGCCCTTAACAAATGCTTACAACTGAGCTCAGGAAATTTAACTGCTCTAATGTCGCTCGCTACTTCGTTAACGAATGAGTCATTTCACTTGCAGGCGTGCAATGCACTCAAGGTGAGTTCTTTTTGTGTTAATTTATATTAATTCGTACCTATATTATGTTCATGTGAACATTATGTTACGCAGAGATGGCTCAAACATAATGACAGATACTCGTACATTGTCAGTGAAGAACTTGGTGACATGCTGCCACAAACGACATCACTTTTACCGTCGTAAGTTAAGCTACAAACAACGTATGGGATTTTATTATTCATTGCCGATGCACACCGAGGTTATTTATTTCGAAGTTTGTATATCTTGTTTAAGAGAGGAATTACAAGAAGTTCAGCGAATGTTTATGCAAGCTGCCAGAATTAATCCAACCGAAGGTGTAGATCCAGATGTCCAATGTGGATTGGGGATTTTGTTTAGTTTGGGGACCGACTTTGATAAAGCTGCAGACTGCTTCCAATCTGCTTTGGGCGCTAACCCTGAAGTAAGTATTGCCGTTAAAAGCTTTGTACTTGCATTTTATTAATTTCATCGTTAATTATATCTTAAATTATAGAATCCTTTGCTGTGGAATCGACTAGGAGCCACATTGGTATGTTATATTTTTACTCCCAAAGCAATTGTTCCAATTTCCATTCACCTGTTGGACATCTAGGTCAAGTTTTTTTACAACAAATTAGTTGACATTTAAATTAAAATGCATAGAATAAAGGAAAATCGATTTTCACCTTTTTCGGCTTGTCTTTCGACCGAATAGGACAAGAAGCGGACAAAATTAGTACTGATTGATTAGCAATGTTATTAGTTTGTCGTTTTCTTTTTTTAGGCTAACGGTGGTAAATCGTCCGAAGCAATTGGGGCATATAGACGAGCATTAGAATTGTCTCCTGGATATGTTCGAACTCGGTATAACTTGGGGATCGCTTGCGTGAACTTGGGAGCTTATAGGTAATTCATCTGTAGCGAAAACCATAACCTTAAAAAAACATATTAACCCACAACTGTTATTTATAGGGAGGCCTCTGAACATTTTCTGACTGCTCTGAACATGCAATCCAACGGGAAATCTCAGAGTACAGAAACGGGAAGGTCGGCCCAGAAACAATCAATTATGTCTGATTCTATTTGGGCCTCATTGAGAACAAGTCTACACTTATCAGACTTGAGTCATTTATCAAAATTTATTGATAGCAGGTAAATACAGAAATTCATGAAAATTCAATTAGTTAGATGTATCTAACTAATTGAACTTTCATGAATTTCTGTATTTACCTGACAGCATGAAGTTAACCATATAATGTTATACAGGGATCTGGATGGTCTAAACCGGGAGTTGGCTTCGTAATTAATTTAGTGAGTGCAAGCTTAGGATATATTGCACTTGAATGTCACTCTGTGTGTTTAGAATAGTTTAGATGCCAAAGATTTCTCATTATTCAGGTTCTAATTTCAATGTGAACAGTTATATATGCCTTTATACTTTAATTAAAAATGTGTTCCTTTCCATTACCAGACGAATTGATGTATAAAATAATGTCAAATTTATATGAAATATAGGTTTAGTAATGGTCTATCTCGTTGTCAATTGCTATCCTCCTCGTATAATTTAACAATCATCATCATCATGATATGCACTTTGTAGACGCCATCATCATCAAGAAACAATGACAAGAATATTTTGTGAACCGAGAGACATTTGCGACCAATGTGGTAGGCAGTACCGTGAATTATCTTTATTCTTTGATTGAATGCATGCACCTAAAGAACTACCATTGTTATCCTGCAATTAAAATTGCTTCCAACAAAATATTCTACTTGGTACTACTTTGTAATTATATAACTACAGCTATTTAGTTTAGTCAGTGCATATGCACATTACTTGTGGATTTATGATGGGTTAGGGGGTGGAAAAAGCCAAGGCTGTCTCTGTTCTGTCTTGTATATATGCAATACAAAAGTTCTTTGTTCCATTCACTCAACTAACATAACGCAGCCGCATCGTATCCACGTCCAATTTTGCAAACCATGCAACGTTTATATATGTTAGTCATTGTCACAAGCTCCAAATGACCATTCATCAATAATGTGGCAATATAATCGTCTAAAATGATGCCAATAAATACGTTTAATCTTAAACCTCTGTTTCGCGTTTTTATTTTTATTTGCGCCTCATAAAATATGCAATGAGCTAAAAATAGGTGCTTGGGTCGTGATGGGTGGGTGTGCCGAAAGAGAGTGCATAGCTTCGTCCTCCATGTTGCTATTACGCAGAATGGGCAGCACAGCATCACAAACAAACAAAACAAGACGAGCACAGCAACACAAAGTGTAGCAATCGTACTCGCAATTCAGAGAGAGCAGCAACAAAATCACAGGAAGAACCAGCTGAGCAATAGCAAAAAAGGAGGACGAACCCAAGGAATTAATTTGCAAATTGTCAGATTTCCAAAAGGAAAGAACAAAATGAAGTTCCAATACAAGGAGGACTATCCCTTCGAAAAGAGGAAGGCTGAGGGTGAGAAAATCCGAAGGAAGTATCCCGATCGTGTCCCCGTAAGTTTCAGTAAATTTATATTCCTGATCAACCACGCCTATCATCATTATTAACGAAACTATTAAGATCGGGTGGGGAACGAAGAGGAAAAGAACGAAAAATCTATTAAAAGGAGGGCACATATATAGAAAGTACCTGTAAAGAGAAAGTACTCGAGCACTAAATTGCATTGTTTTGGCGCAAGTTGTACCATTGAGAATTTTAAACCAGAGATGGACATCTTATTTATTTATTTCCTGTTTATCTTTTCCCCTGCAGCAACCACCAATGCTACCATCTTTTCTTTTAGCCTTCGTTAGAAATTAACGGATTCACCTTTGCACTTTACTGACCCCTGTTTAGATATTTTGTTTGTTGTTTGATTGCATTATTCCACTACATACTTCACAATGCCCGTTATTATTTAACTAATATTAACAAGTCTGACTTTTGGTCATGTAATTCAGTTTAATGGGCAGCTGGCTATGGTTCATGTGTGGTTAGTCGTTCATTGATATTGGTGGCTAAAAGTTCACCTCTGTCATCCTTCCCCAAAGATAAGCGTCAAAAGCTGACGATGTCTATTTGTTATTTAGGCTGGTTCAGCTGACGTTTTATAAAGTATTAATAATAAATAAAACGCATGTTAGACAAGCTCCACAATAAATGTACAAACTATAGTATGCAACACAATATACATATGCAAAGTTGCATCAGTTTACGTTTTTGATGTCACAACCTAAATAATATTGTTTTAAGTATTCACACATGCACTCAACTAATTTTATAATTAATTATTTTAATTATAATTATATTGCGTTGCTTTATATATTAAAATTAAATGTCCTAGGTCATCGTGGAGAAAGCACCAAAGGCGAAGATTGGGGATCTGGACAAAAAGAAATACTTGGTTCCCTCAGATTTGACTGTTGGCCAATTTTACTTTCTCATTCGAAAGGTAAATTACTTATCCGAAAAATTGTGCAATTGTCTTGATAATTTGTTCGATTTATTTATTTGATGATTTATATTTCTTTTGTACATGTTTATTTCTCGTTTTCAGAGAATTCATCTGCGACCAGAGGAAGCCCTATTCTTTTTCGTGAACAATGCCATTCCCCCGACTTCTGCGACTATGGGCTCCATTTATCAAGAGCATCACGAGGATGACTTTTTCCTCTACATTGCCTATTCGGATGAAAGCGTTTACGGAGCATAATGGTTCAATTTAACACGCTGTGATCATTTCAACTCTGGAAAATATATATACCACAAAATTTCTTTATCCGTTTTTTAGCGAAATTCCACTTAAATCAATCCATTGTTATCCCAATTATGAATTAGAATTGTCGTCAACATCGCCGTCGCAGAACCTTTTCTCAGTGTTCCTTTAGTATCCGATTGAAGTGTAAACGTATAAAAAACGAAGAAATCCTGTTAAATAATTAATCAATATGGTATTTGTATCAGTAATTAAATCCCACAAAAAAACTAAACACTGAGCAAATAAGTCACTCTCGCTACTTGTTATTTTGTCAGTGTCAGTACATTCTTTGTTTGGCATCAACTTGATTGAGTTATTATATACATAAATTACGAAAATATTTACCCTGCAGAAGAATGATAATTGGTGAAGTTTCTAATAATTAAACTGAAATTCAAATCCAGATCTGTTTCCTAATGTTGAATAAGATAGGGTAAGAAAGTAGTAGATGAGAGCTCATTGCATATATTAAATAGAAGGTTAATTAATATTAATAGTATTGGTTTGGTATTCGAATGACTTGTTTAACTTTAATTTACCTCGTGTAGAAATAACTTGATTGATTACTTCAAATTTTAATATAGATATACATGTATTCTAATGCACTAATTCTTCAAAGTTACATATTTTTCGGAAATCGCAATTTATTTAATTACATTTGTTTCTCTTTACAATTATCGCGTTAAAATTTTTGTTGTAATAACTTTGACTGTACTGTTGTTTTATTGTAAAAGATAAAAATATAATAATTGAATAAAATCCACAAAAAAACGCCAACTTTCGTCTCAAGTCTATTTTTATTGATATTCTTACAGCATTTGCGAAACGAGAATATAGGGGTTTTTTTATAAAAAAGTGTAATGTAGCTAAAAGTTTAGCTGATTGGCAGATGTAATAGAAGAAGAGCATCCTGGACAACAATGAAGAGTTTCATGTAAAAATAAATCACAGTCACTGCAAACTCGACGGTTGCATTGCTTACAACGATATATCTGTAAGGAAAAATAGAATTAATCGTACTTTGACTGAACCCCAAAAGTACCGATATCGGTACTATGCTTTTTTATGACTACAACATTACATGCTTATGGTTATCTGGTAAAGATTTGTGACATCCGAAGCAAATGCAATCTACCGGATCGATCTCATCAAAAGGTTCCAATGGGAAAATATGGAGAAAGGATCTTGCCAAATGCGGAGCTGAAACTAAGGTCAGCCCACAGACTTTGCATTCCACAGGAAGTTCACAGTACTTGCTTTTACACTGGGGACAAATATATCCCCCTGTTGATAATTTGCACGCACTCGTGTCTTCCAAGTGGCAGAGACACATTGATGGATCATCAGATTGATTCTTTTGAGGAAATCCCATTTTGACAAGGGACGACTCGGTCAACCCTGCCATGGGTGGAGGTTCGACGTGTTCATGAACGAGATCTTGAAAATGAGTATCATCCAAAATAACATTAAAGTTCCCTCCAGTTGACCTGCTAAGGGCTTTACATGCTCTAACTTCTGCTGCAAGTGATATTACAGAACAGCGGACGTTCTGGCTCTTTAGTTCCTAATGATTAATATATCGATTAATTAGAGTATTTAAAATAATATTATAAATCACTGTTAAAGGAATAGATGATGAACTTACTTGTATTGTATTATTGATATCGCCAGGATCGCACGTAGTCAAACTACCATGAATGAGTATCACTTCTCTCGATGTATGGCTCGGCATGTGCTTTAACGAGCTCAAAGCCAATTCTAAGGCATTTTGAAAAGAGGGTTCTCCTCCACAAGGATATTTGTCAGTGATTGACCTCACTACTTCTAAATGTTTCCTCGGGTTTCCACTGAGTTCGGCTAATTTCTCAGATTTTTTGTTCCTTGTACCAATCCAACCCAACTGGCTCATTGGGTTTCCGTCAAAAAATTCGTCAACAAACTTTTCCAAAATCTATAAATATACATACAAGACAACTAACATTTGCACCGATTAATTACGCCGCGGACATTGCCACACTTGGTAATTATCCATTAGTTTATTAGTTTGACAACTTAAATTAGTACACATACCTTCTTTGTGCATAAAATCCTATTTGGTTTGAGATCCTGGTCCATCATAGAGTTTGATAGGTCAAGGATAATGTACAAGTGACGCATAATTCCGAGACGTACATGGCCAGCTGCTCGTCGCTCCTCAAGTCGTTTTCTTCTGCCCTTCTCTATAATTTCTGCAATCGCCGTGTCCAGTAAACCGTCCGCATCCTCCTCAATGGCTTCCCTGTGACAAGTAATTAAATGCTTAAAAAGAAGGAGCAAGAAATGAGTAGTTAAAAACGTTGCCTTTTGTGCTCACCACGTCTTTTCATAACCAGTCTCCCACCGATATTCCTTGTCGTCCAGGTCGTCGCCCATTGTTTTGCTATTCGCTCAGCACACGTAAGGTAGTAGTCTAGAAAAAAAAGATAGTAAACCACGGCTCGGCCTTTCATCATCTTCAGGACAAAATGTCATGTTACTCATTTAAAATGAAATAGTGCACTTACCTTGATACGCACTATGCTAGTTTGTACATTACCTTCTTTTCGAAGAAGCCAGAAACTATAAAATTTCGCAAATTTAAGTACAAAATTTAAGAAAACGAACGGATGCGAGAGATCACATCTGACATCACAGTCAGAGCGAAGAAGCCGACTGACTGAGGTTTTAGCAATCTCAAACTGGATGGTTAGCTATCTTCTTTCTATGCTCAACGTTTACGCTACGCTACTTTTACGTTTATGAAGAATTATGACAATAAAAAATGAGGCGGTCGTCAAAACATATAAGAAAAATGTTAAAGCAAATATCGGAACTATTTAATCCAAAGCACGAGAGAACAAAAAATTCCTAGTTCGGGTTATATGAGGCTGTCCTGTAGGTTGTTGGATTGGTGTATTTGTTTTTGGGAAATTTGAGATTTTGTGTGTTAAAGATTTTGTCGATATAGGATTGCTAACTATCCGCATTATTATGATTTTTGGAGGCGGAGGCAATCTGAGATGAGAAATTTGCAGTCCTTTGCACTTCGCGTCTCACCTTTTTCTCATAAAATGCAAGTAAAATGTTACTTTTTTGTCAGTCATCATTACTAATCTTTGAATATTATAGAAATCTCCCGTTCACCTTCAAATTTTTAAAATTTATTGCTTAATCTGGAAAGTAAATCAACACTATTAGAACGTCATAATTTTGCAGATATTACATCGTTTCAATTTTATAACCTGTCCTTTAATAAATGTCTTGAGAAAACAGAAGCCATAATAATATTGTGCACAGTTGAAGTGTTTGTATTGGGTATGGAAATATGTGTCTACTTGCATATGGACGAATTATTTGATGCATTTAGATTGTTTATTGTGTGTGCCAATTTGTCTGTCTAAACCATAATTTATGTATTGCAACTAGAGTACATGCCGTGTAACAATATATGTATTACGGTGTGTGCATTATGATGACTGGACCTTTCAATGTAAAAGTATATCGAGATGAGAAACTCTTCATGCTAATTTTGTTTCACACACCTGCAATTCTGGCATTTCATAAAGATTTGGATGATGAGAACATTTCTCAAAGCATAATATTATTGGGGGGGCTACACACAGATGGGTGGTGTTGAGTGTATCAATAGGGAGATATATTCGTAAATCTTACTAAAAAGAAGCTACGCAGCCACGAATGGTGCCAAAAGTGTATGAGATATTGTATCGCATTATTAATGGGCCGAGGTGTTGGGTTCCTTGGCAGGATTGAAGTCGACAAAGGGAGAGAAAGCAGGGAGAAAGCAGGAAGGGATTGATCGACCACCGGAATTTGTTGTTTGATTGGATTGTCCCATTGACTTACTTTCTTCTTCCAACATATTCACACCTCAACCCACTTCTTATCTCAGTCAGTTCATACGGTGTCTCAGAGCTATCCCTCCTCGCTCGGCATCACTCATCTAGACTCTGGATTCCAGTGTAGAAGTTATCATTCTACTCAACGAGTTAGTCGCAGACACGCTGAATCACCCAGCACATTGGTTGTATTGAAAGCGCTTCCCATTGCCCCTGTTTAATTCCACTAATTCACATTTCGCATAGGTCAGCGTGACCTTAATGATGGCAATTGTCGTCGAACAAGTCATCATCGACCAAGGTCCGCGTATCGTATACGTATGTATCTACTTATTAATGGAAATCCATAATTGTACAGGAGACCAGAAGGCATATTAGTTCACTTCCTGTTGGATGTTTCGACCATTTACTTCCAATCACCCGTTCATCAAAGATTCAGGAAGCGAGTGGGTAAATTGAGTGAGCCGACAAAAGCAAATAAAAACACAAACGACCATCTAATTGGATTTATTGGTGGTTTATTATCGTTTATATGGTAGTGCATATAATATCATGGTTCTGGCTGGAAAAATATTCTGTTTTTGGTCTACTAAAGTAAAAATGTGAAATCTGATTGAACATAGGAGGTGGCTACCACCACATTACGCACTCGTAAAATAATAATTCGGAGGGATAAACTTGAAACCAGAAGAGGATAGGTCGCCAAAGTACAAATGTAAATGTACCCCAGTAATCAAGGTAATGCAACTTCCTCCAATTTTTCCATCCATAAGGAATTCATGGTTTTTGGTCACGTCATGCAATGGCAAGTACCCATTTAGTATGTGGACCGACCGCTGGTGGGGTGTGTATTGACGAAACAGAGAGAAGAGAAAGGAACTGTGTGAGGCAAATCGAACTGCCGTCTTGTTTTGTCTATCAAATGATACTCACAACTCGATACTTGTCAGATTCGAGGACACATAATATTGCAAATTGTCGGTCGAAGACCTCATGGCGCATAATTAATGTCTAACCTGTATGGTTTAGTTACTGTATAAAAATGTTGCAATAATTGTTGTCATTTAATAATTATTGAGAATTTAGCCTTGGATGCTCACTAATTTTGTTTTTTGTGACCCCCAGATAATTTTAATTTTTTAATTTCCAAATAATTTTAGGGTGCATCGGCTTTAACGATATAGAATTAAATGCAATTATTGGAAAAAGCAGTTCGAGGTAAATGTGCACTATATACATATTTAGGTGTGTGGCAAAACTATTAAACCGAATTCACACCATGCCCCCAATCTAGACCGACGTAAGCCATTCACGATTTTGTGTAGTTATTATAAATGCATAAGATTACCGTTCTGTGCCATCGTGGTAATAATGACGCATATGGCATTGACTATTTGCAAGTACATATATACTTTTTGTATTCAATTGGTTTATGCAATCCATAGTTGTCACAGAATGTCAATACCCAACCATATCATACTCATTACACACACGTAGGCACCACCTACCTCACAATTTTCCCTCACAACTTTCGTCGACAAGCATAAATGTGGCACTGAAACTTTCCCCCAAACTTTTCTTGTGGGAATTACACGGGTAATGTCAATACTTTGCAGGTTTACCGTTGATTTTGTCCACATGCAGTCATACATAGTCATTCGAACGACTGCAAGGTTAGCTGTGTAGTAAAATAACATGTGAGGACTTTTTTTTGCTACGGACCCCCTTAAACATTTTTATTAAAATTTTGATAAATTGCAATATTTGCTACTGAGGTACGTCCAAACAATGAAAAAAATGCGTTTTAAAAAAATCTACATGTCAAGGGTACCTCTGAGGGACTCATTACATCTTTTACGCATATCCCTTCATTGTGGGCCAACCAGAAGTCGTAAAAATATGGGGTTTGGATATTTTTTATCTAAATACGATTGTCTAAAACGAACTTCAGTAAGGAGCTGCTACGTGACCTTTTTGACCTAAAGTTTGACCTCTACAAAAATTAAGTTTTACAGATTATTTGCATGCCAATTTTATCGCAATACATGTAAATTTAAAAGGTCAAACTTTAGGTAAAAAGGTCACGTAGCAGCTCCTTACTGAAGTTCGTTTTAGACAATCGTATTTAGATAAAAAATATCCAAACCCCATATTTTTACGACTTCTGGTTGGCCCACAATGAAGGGATATGTGTAAAAGATGTAATGAGTCCCTCAGAGGTACCCTTGACATGTAGATTTTTTTAAAACGCATTTTTTTCATTGTTTGGACGTACCTCACTAGCAAATATTGCAATTTATCAAAATTTTAATAAAAATGTTTAAGGGGGTCCGTAGCAAAAAAAAGTCCTCATGTTTGGTTATTTCTCTGCTGCGATACCATCTTCAACTTGATAGATAAGCGGGGTTGTGGATGCAAATTGGATAATACGACATAATAATATACGACGAGGGCAAGAAGAGAGCTCTGTTTTTTTTCTTGCAAAGTTGATTATAACATTTTAAAGTATTGATTTGTTATTGATTTACCCGAACCTTTTGCTGCTTAATTTTCGGTGAATTATTTCTACAGAGTAATAAAACAAGGCTGCCCAGAGGAGAAATAAAAATGTATTCCAAATCGCAGAGGTCAGTCTTGCCTGTGAACACAAAGTACACACAATACGTGGAGAAATTGAATGACCACCACATAAAACAAGTAATAAACCCTTCCGATTCTAACCTCAACTCTTCTACCTCTACAAATATTACTAGTATTCCCGTCATTGTGGATTACGAACACTTAGTAGAAACTTCCAAGCATAGTAAACCTGACCCGCACGTTTCTAGAAATCAAAGTAAATCCAAATCTACGATGAGTATTTCTAAAACTACTACCAAAACTAACCGTGCCACTAATAATAGCAGTAGTGAGGCAACAATGGTTACTTCGGCCACATCCGGTGCTGGGGGATTCAACAATAAAAACAAGACGACAAAGTTTGCAGAGTTGTTTTCCCCCGAAGAAAGTAACGCCTTGAAACTCTACATTTTGCAAAAGGCTGCATCGGCGCCCAATATGAACGAGGTGATCACTTCGGAGGAGGACGAAGAGGGAATGTTTGGTGGGGGTGGTCTCAGTGTCGGCAGGAGAGGAGATGCCCTACACCTCATCAACAAGTCCCCAAGCAGCAAACGACGTCGTTCTGCTGATAATTCACAACCCCCAGCAGCAGAAGTCCCACTGACGGACATGCTGCATACCGAACCCCTTCCACAACTTGATCCTGAGCACGCAGATTACGATGACGACGTGGACGCTGGGAATGACCCATTCGGCAACAAGTTGAGGACGAGCAGTGAGTCCATAGCCAACATTGTCTACTCGAGCATAAGACCAGGGCTGGAGGGGGGAGGAGGAAACGCTGAATTTGACACGAACCTGCCCACGGGGTCAGATTCCAAACAGGTGACCACTGACTTTTTTCTAGTTTTACTTTGAACTATATGTATTTTTTTCTATTCAGGACTACGACCCTCATGAACCACTCCCTAACGTTGATCAGATGGCGTTGAGACACGAGTTGCTCAACAACATTCGAGCAATCAGTCGAGCCACGTATTTTGAGGACCTGTACAGTGGAAAAGTAATTCAAAACGATGGACCACCAGAAGCTGAGATTCTAGAAATTTTACAAAACTCGGATGGTCGATTGTCCCAGGATGAGAGGGAAAGAGTCGAAGATTGGGTGCGAGACTCGATTCACAACAGTGCCAACATCGAGATGGATGTGGACCCAGCAGGCGACGACGACACGCTTCCTCCTCCTCCTTCTCCCCCACAACAACAAGCTCAACCTCTCCTCCACCATTGGAAACCTACTACAACGAGCCCTGGCGATACTTTGAGGTCAGAGTTGGTGGTGGTAGGCGACGACGACGACGATGCTCATGAAACTGGTGAGACTGGCGACAGTGTGAATAAAAAGGGAAGCTATCGATCATTTCGTAACTCCCAACAGCCAGAAGTTGACCAGGTTCCTCCACTACTTCCAGAAATTATTAACCCACCACTAACCCGTCTAACAACAAGGGACAAGCGACCCTACAGTTTTAGCCAACATGACAGCGGTGCCACTACGACCGTAATTACTAAACCCATTCCTACTCACATTAGTCCAACAGGCCTCTCCAAAACTACTAATAATCATACTAACGTTAATAATAAGGGGGGAATAGGACCCCCTCCTCCTCCTCCTTACGCAAGCATTACCCAGAGTACAGTGTCCAACTTTTCTCGCCACTTTCCCAGTAACAATAATGCCACAGCTACTACTACTACTACTTCCGGTGTTGAACAGGTCCAACGACTGCAACGACTTGGCCAAATTCAGCAGCCAATTGTCATCCCAATGCCGCAAGGAGGTCGTAACCGTCCACCAACCTACCCGGTAAGGAAGCCAAACGTTGTGGCTCACCATCCTCAGAATTTTAGCAATAGTAGTAGCGTCGTGAGTATACCCGCATCCCTTCCCACTAACAGCAATTCCAATGCCAACAATAATAAGGGGAGGAACCATAAAGGGCCCCATTACAAAGGTGAAAGTGGGAGTAACAATAGTTTTCCGGGCAAATATACAAAGATTCCAAGGATCTACCAGCGGCAGAACATGAACCAATGGGTGGCCAAAAAGGTGTGGTTCTACATGAACGGAGACGACCGCTTTCCACGGATCGAGTACCGCTTCCGACCTCGCGACCTACAGACCATGGACAATCTTTTGAATCTATTAAATAAGAAAATGCCCCAGTTGCCGCAGGGGGCGAGGTACGTCTTCACTCTCGACGGTCGTCTCATCGAGTCCGTTGACGAGTTAAAGAACGAGCAGGCCTATGTCGTATCGAGCATTCGAAAGTTCAAGGTAAGGTAAGTATACTTTTCACGTATCATATTCTTGACTCAAGAGCTTTATAGTACTTCGTATGTACGACATTGGAGCAGGATTATCATCGTTTTTATTACTGCGACACACACATTTGTATAGGTACAAGAACCAGAGTACATAAATTGTTTGTCGTACATATGCAAGAATGACTTGCTGACAGCAGATGCTACTTATAACAATAGTGGGTATACACTTTTTTTCTATATATTTGCTGTAATTCAAGGTGGACAGCATAGCATATTATTTGTAGATAGTTACACTTTGATGGATGTTCAATTTCTATATTGAGATCCTTATTAGATAAGGTTCCAGTTAAACTGTTTAACTGGATCATTTTAAAACGATAACGATGCAGTCTTGACAAAATTGTTTTATAAATGTTTAACTTGAAATGTCGTATGCGAACAAGGGCATTAAATCAATATTAGCAGAGAACTTGTTGACCATCTTCATGGCTTTGTAAAAGTGAATGTGGCCGGATAGTCAAAGAAAGCGTCTGCTAGAATGCAATACCTCCTTAGTTCTTGGTCATGCAAGAAAGATTTGCGTGACGTCGGTTTCTCAGGACCAAGAAGTGGTTTCGCTGTAAATTAGTTAAGGAGGATTCTCTTCTACTTTCAGAGAAGGAATTACACCATACGTACTTACATTCTTAATTCTTTGATTGACGAGCTTCAGTCGTGAGGGGTGAAGATATCCCATCTTCACCTTCGTGGTCAATGATCATTATTACTCAATTAATCTTACTCCTAATCACCTGCTGGCAATATGAACCACCATGCTTATTTTTAATTTATTTCTTTATTATTAAAAGTTAGAAGCGGACTCTGTCCATGACTCGAGCTAAATGAATTCTACGGTTTTTTGTCATATTGTAATTCAATGACGTCAATGTCGCTAACTTGTAAAACGAGTGCGTGGGATGTACAGTTGTGTTGAATGAACGATAGAAATGATAGAAAACAGTGGAACAATTTTTGGACGATGCGAATATGTTGATATGAAATAGAAGTTATGATCCACAACTGGGTCGTCATCAGAACTTTTACTTTACTACGAAACATGCGTAGTAAAATCTGTTACATTTCTCATCAAAACGATGCCATTCATTCATTAATTAACGTGTTTCTTGTGACTTATTGATGATCACTTACCCCTTGCACACCAGTTTCCTACTTACATATGTTATGTAACAAATTTATATAATGATCCAACCTGGAATTTATTATCTTGGTGTGGAGTTAAATTTACATAAATAGTTGTTCGTGCTGAAGTTATCTAGTTGAACAAGATAAAAGAATGAACATGGTTGTTATACAAGATTACAGAATTGTATCAAGTTACTTTTTATCTGTTGAGTCAACACAGCAAAACGTGACATTAAAAAAAGTTAATTTATGTATAAATCTCATCTTGGCTCATTCGCATTCTGTTCATTATTCATTCCAACTTTAGCATATTTGCAAAAAATGGATGAGTATCTCCCTCAGAAAGATTACGTTCATGTCGAGTCGTACGAGTTTCAAGTTATTCGCATTGTCATGCATCCCATACATATTGCACGGTAATACTTGTTGTAGATGAGCCTAAAGACAACAACTTTTTGCTACCACCATACCACCTTCAAGATCCTGCAACAAAACAAGCACAAAATAAAATGGACAGTAAGTACACAGTAGTCTGTATGGTTTACATACTTCAGACGAACACCATGCACCTTAGATAGAATACTTTAGTCTGAAATAGCTTTTTCTCTGCAATGATCAATTGAGCCCTTTTTGTTCTGTTTAGACAAATATAAAATGAAAGACATGTGAAATATTGTAATCAGAAAGTATTAAAAAATAACACAGTGCTGTGTTCTTTTGTGTGACAGTTCCAAACTAACCGGCAGTCTGTGACCTAACATCGTCTAACATCTAACCAATCTCGACAAACTGGAAACCTAATCGACCTACTAAACTAACCTGCTCTTTGGCATAATGATGGGCCGGATGATGAAATTGTTGAGAAGTTTTCCGCAATTTTTCCAGCCTCTCAACTACGCCATCAGGAGAAAATTGACAACAAGAAAGCGGAGCACGGACGACGAACATTCCCCTCGTGCCACCCCCACTTTCCAAAATCTCCCTCCAATAGTTTCTAGATCAAAGTCGACTGGTTTGAATCTCAACTACGGTAAAAATCCACCCTTGATTCGAATAAGAAGAGCTCGGTCGCAAAAATCCTATGAAAACAGTACCAAGAGTTCTTCCATGAAAATGATTTCCTCCAGTGAAACCAACCTAAGCAGTAAATTGTATGGCGATGCGACTCTGAACAGTCTCGGCTATATCAGCAAGAACAAAAGCATAAGCGTTTCCTCCAATAACTTGAACATTACAAATAACAACAACAACAGTATTAAACCCACCAAAAGTAGTTATAATAAAAGTAATTACAATAGTCAACCAACGGATGGGGAAAGGCGGCGGCGGAAAAGTTTCAATGATAATAGTCATGGGAAAAGTGGTGAGGGTCAGTCAAAATCAGATATTCCACGAATCGTAGCAGAAGTCATTGGTGAAGCCTCGAGTCATGGGACGAACGGGCGAATTCGCTTGGAAAGACAAATGGTGAGGGTTATCAACGGTGCGGACCCTTCCGTGCAAAGCCAAGTACTGCTGAACACCAAGACATCTCAACCTTTCGAGGACTTGGTTCGCGATCTGGGGTTGGCCGTGAAACTCCCGCACAGCCGGAAAGTGGGCAACCGCTTAGAAACCTTGTACGGAAGACAGGTAAGACGATACCTCATAATTAATTGTATGTCGCGTTAACTGCACTTCGAACTATTTGCGTCAATAGAGTAGCAAAATTTTCCACATGAACAATTTTATATCCCGTAGATTGAGGATAAGATTGGTCCTGAGATAAGATTCCAAGATTTACTGTGTACGCACGGAGACTAATTTTTTCATGAATTGGCATTGATGGATTTACGAATCAATCAGAAAGCAACGGAGTTGTGTAAGCAGCTTCTGTCAATACCTGTTGCAAAAGCGTAAAAATCGATGACCACTCCAAGTATTCACTGGTAGTCGGTAGTTAACCAATAACTGAATTCAGTTACCCTGAAATGTAGGTGCATGTACGTAAATGCGAGTTTGAATGCAATGGGATTCCATTCTATTTTTTTGTTGAGTACAACTAGTCCGAGTTTTCATGAACAATAAAATCCAATATAAAAATCTACAGAGGCACGCAAAGGGGAAATGTTACGAAAAACTTGTCAATCACACAAGTACACAAGCATGAACCTTGGATAAACGTCACTGAAGCTGGCATAAAATTATAATTATGGGGTTCGAGTCTTATAAATGAATTATGCGAGAAAAGCAATGAAAAGAAATTTTCACGATTCTCTTCTAACCATTCACTACATTTGTAGCAGTCGTGTCATTCGTCAGTGTAATCATTAATCAATAACAATTGTGTTGTTTGTGTATTAACTCTCAGGTTCGGAGCTACTCTCAACTACGGAGCGAGTTGAAAGTTGGAAACAACACGTTTTATATTTATGTCGACATGGACGACGAGGACGAGGATTACCACAGTTCATTGCTCCCAAACATACAACGCCAACGGTTATCCATCATCACACCACCCCCTGATCCACATCGAGTCAAGAGGTCCACCAGCAACGTGTCGGATCGTTCCATCCTACGACCGAAAATCTCACTGACCAAAACACTCTCAAACTCATCCTCTGAGTTGTCCACCACCTTCACATCCACGAGATATTTGGACGCTGGATCGTATCATGAGTACAACAACAATGTCGGGCAAAGATCTGGAAGCCAACGACGGCGCCATAGACGCAGGTCCCAAGCTAATTCCCTCACGGCGTCCCCATCTGCGTCTACCTTTCACTTGCCACCTATTGTTGGGGACAAGGCCAACGTTAAGACGACGAGGAAGCGCTCCGTGTCTCCCATTATGTTTCCTTCCCCCCATCTTCACTACCCAATGAACGCAGCCCGCACGGTCCACTTCCAGACCTAACACTAACAGCTATATTCTGCATAATACTGAACTCTTGAATACACTATGCCATATTTATCCAATTTTCATAACAAGTTGACTGCAAGGAAAATAAAGTACCTGGAATGCACATATTTATAACCCGTGTGTGTGTGTGTGCGATAATTAGCCAGATTTTTAATGAAAAATAGAGAATGAGGGTACATATTCAATTTCTGCAATATTTGTATTATTATTAATTGATAATAAAGAAACATACGATTATTACATTCGGGTTGGTTATTGACTATATAAATATATCTGAATTATATTATACGCTTGCAAAAGATCAGTAAAAGCACTTCAAGTTATCTTAATTCTATAAAATATAGAATATGTATGTATATCTAATTATCATACCCCGGAAAAATATTTTTTTATCCTACCCTACTCATGTTGAGCTCAACACGAGTAGGGTAGGATAAAAAAATATTTGTCCGGGGTATGCTAATTATGTCTATATATGTCGGAATATGAATTCTACAAGTTGCTGACTTGTAAACTAGGTTATTGAAAAATCTGGATATCGTCGGAGTACATACGACAGATTAGAATCCAAGTACATAGGTAGGTTTGGGTGGGAAGCATTAATCATTTATTGAGTTTGTTTGTTGCATAGATCACTTTTGGTCAGGGGAGCGTGTTATTCGTCAATTACCTGTAGATATGTACAACAAGAAGATGCATATTAGCCATGCATTTTAATTAGCACACATTATCATAGCTCATTTAAATTATAATCTTACCTGACGAACTTGAGACCACCATACTTTCAACTTTCGTCTCTGTGTCACCCTTTTCGGAGGGATGCGATTCCAAAGGAGATTTTGAACTCGACGACTGGCAATCGCCACCAGGAGTAAATGAAGACTCCTGGTCACATTCTTGTGAGATGGAGTCATGTGTTACGGTACATGGCGTATCTTCATTTTTCAGACTTGTGGGTATTGCAAGGTTACTTTGTCCCGTGGCAGCTTTGCTCTTCACAAATACAAGAAGTGGTCTCTGGAATCCTTTGGAATTGTGCACCGGTGTTCCTAAACATTCTGACGTCGCAAATCCGACCTCATTCAATAAATATTCTTCAAACTGTTCAGGGAAGAAGTTAATCTTTTGAAACATCTGGTGGACTTTTTCCTATAATACAAAACAAAAACAATTAAGAGAATTATAGTTAATTTTTTGCAATGTTACATATAATACGTACGGTAAGTTTCTTTTTCTTGACATAAGAAGACCAGGGCTGCGGCTCTAGAACCAAAATTCCTTCATCGTGAAGGTGTAGAAAAATACGTTTAAAAAATCTCTTTAATCCATCATCTCCAAAATTCAAATGAATCCATTTGGTGACACTAAAACAGATAATGACATTGTACTGAGGTTTCACACCGTCCAACTGGTTGTCTGACGTCAAAACGTAGTTTTCCTGCAAAACAAAAAGAAGTATTTTTTACAAATGTTTACAACTAATCCTAAATCTAATCATTTAGTACTATGTAATTGGATAATGTAGTGAAACCCTTTGTCATGCTTACGTGAGCAAAGGAGACGTTGTATGGAAATACATTTGAAGTCTTTTCCCCTGGTGCTGGCGGAGGCTGCATTGCCCCATAAATCAAAGGCAAACTTCTTGGAAATACAATGTCCTTATTGTCTGGATCTCGAATCATGTAGTGTTTAATATTTTTCCGAGCCGCAACAATCAGTGAGTAATCAATGTCAATTCCATGAATCCTTCTCGGCTCAAAGTCTCTTGCAATTGAAAGTGTCACATGTCCTGAATTACACCCAATGTCAAGGACTTCTTTCCCCTGTAAATACTCTTTTTTCAGAGCCCAAAGCCTAGGGTCCCCTTGTTCCGCCGTTCGGTATCCATAATAATTGGTGTAGTTGCCAAACTGGAAAATCTTCTTGTCTTTTGATCGGTCAGATGATTTTTTATTGTTTCCTGTGCCACCAGGTCCTGAAGCGTCAGTAGTGATGGAGCCCGTTGAAGTGGCCCCTCTTTGTAACTGTTGCGAAGTTTCACCACCACTCGTGTTTGCCTTATCTCCTCCTGGTTTCTTGTTGTTATTGTGAAAATGATGGCCACGACGTCGTTGACTCCCCGGTTGTGGAATGACGGGGCTTACAATCGGATCAGCCTTATTCTTGGCACCACGTCTAAAAGGAAAGGGTCTAAAAGGACGATGGAAAACTGCCCTTTGCAATGACAAGTGCTGAGGTCGTGTCGCAAATACTTGCATTCTTCTTTGGAAAGGTGGAAGCTCTGGAAGTGGAGGAGGAGAAAAGGGTTGCAAATGGTGAGTAGGAGTATAAGCGAAATGTGAAAAGGGGGATTCGTACGGAGGGGCTTCAAGGAAATACTCTGTGCTGTCGAATGCAAATGGGGATGGAGCATATGTACTGCTGGATCTCGAGTTGTTGTAATCGCTAGAAGACCTATTATATGGTCCAGTGGTATTAGTCCCGTAATAATGTCTGTTTTCGTCGTCTGGAACAAAATCTTGAAATTCGTACTCGTACTCATCTACACCACCACCACCACGACCCGCATTGTGACTATCGTGTGATCTTTCCACAACTGATGTTGCTGATGTGCTTGTTGCGGCTGCACTAGTAGACGCAGTAGTGGATTGTGTTGTAATGTCGGGTGGCGACAACGTAGTGTTTGTGGATTCTGCATTAAAGCTGTCGGATACATTATTGGCGTTGACGTTTTCATCGGTAGCAGCAGTAGGAGCCGGAGAAACCAAAATTTCAGAATTAACTATTAAAGCGGTATTTCTTGTAGTAGTTGTGGAAGTTGAGGATTTCGTATTCACTATTTTTGGAAGGGATTCTTCTGGTTCCGATTTTGCAATCACTATAACGTCCTTGAATTCTTTTTGTACTTTAGCTGCTTCTGCTTCATCTTTGTCACCTCGTCTAACTTTGTGTTCAAGCTGTTGGCCTTTTGATAACTCCTCAGCATCGTCATTGACGGACAACGATGGATCTTCAATGATGACGTGACTTTCATTTGCAGGTTCGGTTCCAATGCTGCACTCACTGTCCGTCCTCTTCCTTCCAGGTCTTTTGCGATGGCGATGCTTGCGGCTGCAAGAATTTTTCCTTACGCCTGCTACAATATCTTGAACATTTTCAGGCGTTTTTGTTGTGAGGCCGAGTGGATCTTGCGGATTTTTTGGAATAAACACGGGCACCTCGCCTGAAAGACATCTATTATTTAAGAAATCCTGACCTGTTAATACATTGAATTTAAAAAACGCTGTCTTAATTTTCTTAATTACCTTGAACTGGAAGTGGTGATGACTGTGGTGTAGCCTTATTTAACTCGGCACTTATCCTTGCGTCGGACAAGCTCGCCAAATTCAGCGGATCTCTGATATTTCCTCCCAACAAGAATTTGGAAGGAAGAACGGATGGAAGGTGTCGAAACCGATTCTTTTTGTAGGGTGGAACATAGGCGGCGTCCGTAGAGTGAGCTGACTTTATTCTTTTCCGATGATGTAACTGAGCTCGCTTTTTGACACTTTCAATAATAATCTCCTTTTCACGATCATGTCCAGACAGCAGCACATTTCTGCTCTCCATGTCCTCGTCCCCTTTTAAAAAAAGTAGAACAACAAATGTTAAATTTCCACCAAAAAATTAACTACCCATAATGTATATAATTTATTTGATAAATTGGCTAATTGGATTGCATTGTCTCAGACATAGTTTTAATCACGTATGGAGCATGGCTGTCAACAGTCCAGCTTCTAAAAAGAAACCTTCCAACCTTCTCCTTCGAAACATACATTTTGCACATTGCGTTATTTGGCTAAAACCAAGTTAAAGAATACGTTTTCGAGTCTAGAGTGCATCATCGACAAATCCATCAAAACTTGTAGGTTATGGTAATGTCCAGAATTAAAAATAAATTAGAAACTGGCTCACCTTCTGGGTTATCATTCTCGATGGGTGGGTCCGAATCGTTGCCTCCATGATGTCCCCCCGTTCGTCCTCCCCCTCCGTCCGCCTCATCGCCGGACGGTGGATCGACGACGATGCTGAGAACGTTGGGTTGTTGCTGGTGGTCTCCTTCGCTGCCGCCGGGGTTCAAACTCTCCCGCAAGGAGAGCCCCGTGATCTCCAGGGAGGGGCCAGCTCCTTCTCGTGTTCCGAGCCCCTTCATCCCCACGGGGAGCGCTGAAAGTGGGTGTGGTTGGTAGCGGGCGAGAGTGCGCCTGCGTCTGAGGTGGGTGTGACTGACCGGATGGGTCGCAGTGGGCGTGGAACTGGCAGATCACCACAATGTTACTCTTCCAATGCTCAAGCCATTGTGGGACTCGGCCCTACATTTTCCTTCCTTTTCTTCGCCACCACCACCACCAACACAACATAATATTCAGAGGAGCGTCCAGTACTTTTGTACGCATTATTATCATTTTTCGTGTCTATTCGCGATAATCACGGTTAAGAAATAGGTTTGGTTAACTTGATTTTGCACGAGCCCTCAATGAACCCCAGCAGCGAAGGTGGTGGTGGCACTGAAAGCACCACCACCACCTTTGTGCATATAATAATGATGCCAAGTAAAACGTTCTGCACTACTCGCTGATGCTGAAGAAATTACAATATGAGAAATATGAGACTGATGAAATGTGAAAAACACGTTCAGTTCAAGAAGATTTTACTCTTGAATTTGGAACGTACAAAAAAGCAGGATATTATTTCTTATCAATTGTCTCCACGATGCGTTTGAGGACTTTGACTTGTTCTGAAGGTTCGATGAGTCGGGCGTCGGTGTCATCCGAAATGGATTTGTTCATGACGAAGAAGATAATGAGACGCCCGTTGGTGGGGTTCTTGCCGATGATGTCCTTCTCGAGGCGACCTCCTTTCGCCTTGGAGATTTCCAACACGGACACGATCACTTTCCCAATCTCCTAAAAACATCGGAAACTTGTATAAATATTCCATATATCTATTATGCAAGGTTTCCAGTCTCATCTCACCTCTCGTCCCTGCTTCACGACGAATCGGAGTTTCTGCAAGAGAAAACAACGTTTTTATCGTATCAATCAACGATTTTATGCATATTAGAATTATTTTCCTACTTGCTGATGTCCTTCAAAGAAAGTAATTTGGAATACATCAGGCCATTCCGGGTTAAAACCTTTAAAATTTCAAGTTTGTTTTGAGAAACATTTAGTTTATGGACAAGACATGACTGATATAATAAGTTGAAATTTTGCAATACTTTCTTCAGATTTCCTCGTCTTGTTGGTATAATAATCTGGAGGCTGATCCGGACTTCTAAAGTAGGTCACTTCCACTTCCGCTTCTGGTTTCTTGGAAAATAAAAGCTCGGGTAGCTCCCTATTATATAATCTCGGATTATTTTAAGATAATATCTAAACGTATTCTTGTAAATAGTTAGCAATAAGATTACCTGGCTGAGAGGACAAAGGTGATTTCCACCCCCTTGTTGCTATCCCCCGCCGGCACCACCCCTCCTCCCAGCGCTTCATGAGGCAGTAAGCAGAAGCAGATGAGCCCCAAAAAATATGCTCGAATAAATAATGATTCGGTAAGTTTCATATTCAATCAGTCAGTTTTAAAATGTCGAATTAATTACAAAGGTTGGGCAGCTAATAATCAATTTAATTTTCAGTATCGTCAACTACAAAATACTGTCAATTAAATATTTCGTACGAATAGTTTCAATCCCGCAAGGCGCAAACTAATTCATGGAAGAAAAAATTATATTGTACTTATGTTCTCGCATGCAGAAAAGTAGAACAATATTCTTCTTTCTGCATCATATTATGATGTCATTGGCAAAGAACAATGTTAAACGCCAAAGGAAATATTTTGAATGCTTTAGAATTCATGGAATAATGAATCGTAAAAATAAGTAATTTAAAGGTCAATTATATACAACTGCTCCATGTTTTATTCCATTCATAAAAATATATTAATCATGACTAACTATGTTTTTTTAAACTACGTAACTTTTCAATCCTCGTCGTCTTCTGCGGCCTTTTTGTTCTTCTTGTTCTTCTTGCTTTTCCGCGTGTCCTTTGGATTTTTTTCGAGGTCTATGACGATGTCCTTGGCCTTGGAGGTGCTGGCTAGTCGTTCGACCGTTGCGTCGTTGGGCGTCTTGTTGATAAGCGTGTTGATGATGAGGCGACCATTCTTCTGACTCGGTCCCACCAACTCCACCTCTAACGCGTTGTCCGTCCCATTCACTATGCTCTTCAGACTGACAGAACAGTGAGAAATTTCCTTGTCCTTCGCATTAGATTTCAAAATCAGATCAATTCTCACTTGCTCTAAATATACGGATATTACTTACCGAACTCCCTTCCATTACAGCAAATTTTATCCGCTGTTAAGTGTGGAAAAGATAAATTATGGAAAGTCGAATGTAAAGTAATGATAATTGAGAAAGAGCACCTGTCCCTGGCCATTGTGAAATTTGACATGAACAATGTCCGGCCATTCAGGGTTTGCAGTTGAAGGTACCGTTGATGTCAAGTACACTTTGCTTTCTCCTCCCGTCATTTTCTCAAAGTATTCAAGCTCAACGTACGAGTCTGAAATTTAAAGCCGTATCATCTAAACAATTATTGATCATTTTTATACGAATAACAATTTACCCGGCCTGTTTGTTTGACCCAGAATGCCTTTCTTGGTTGGCAACTCTCTGCAGAATTTGCATCAATTAAATCACATTACCAGAGATTGTGATAGTTAGTTTTATGTTAGTTTTACCTCGCACTGATCACAAATTGGACATCGATGACAGAAGTATCGTTTTCTGCTGGTTTATCCTCGACATCTTTGCTAGCGTGAGTGGAATAGACCGTAACAGATACCAGTGCCAAAACTGAAAGCACTCTCCTCGGTGATGATAAAAATCCACGCGTCATTTCGATAATTAAGGACCGTGTGGTATTCTCCAGTAGCTAAAATAGGATACAGCAAAAAATAAGTTGGAATGGATATTCTGAAATTGCTGAATTTTATATCGTACGTATGCATGTAAAACCATAAAAGCATATTAATGACACATTGTTGCATCTTAAAAGTCGAACAATGCCTATATGCATATCACCACAACACATGCAAGTAGGTATGTATACATTCATACATTCATATGTACTGTACATAAATGTGTAGATTTGAATGGAATGAAAAAATTAGCAGGTAGTGAATTCTGTGGGGAAGTGAAGTGTGCAAAAATCCTATAGAGTGAAAGTGTGGCTACATAGCTGTCACAAATTGAGACTCACAATAGCGCATGCATACTTATTAATTACTGCCTCCTAAGCCTCGCTGCATGGCTGTCAATGATGCCAGATATGGGGAGACAATGAGTGTCACACGGTAATATGTATGCATGTCCGGGAGTGTATTCGGTGGAGGAGGAGACGACGACTCCAGCAGAATTTTTGTGTCGGATCTTGCTTGCTCGGAGAGAAAGTGGACTTTCTCTCCAAATTATTCGTCTCTCTCCTGTCATCCAAGTCGCAAACAGACACAGTTTCCTTTCTCCTTTCTCCGAACAACAAGATCACCTGCTCTCGCAAAAGGGACAGGCCACATTTCTCCACATTTCTCCGATTTACTACTTCCTTCCGTATCGCCATGTAATTGAATATAGCGTCCATCTACACATACATATGCAACATGGAAAAGTTTAGGAGCAGATTCGCCTGCAAATTTGCAGTCGTGGTGGAAATGGTAAGACCCTCAAGCTTTATAATACATACATATAATACATGGCCTAAATATGTGCAATATCGTTTAAAATTGGGTTCGGCTCAACAGATCTTGGCTGGATTATCAATTTTCCTGGCGGTGGGCTTCTTCTTTGCTCGAATAGCGGAACCTGGGAGTGACGACGAAGATGGTTACCTTCATTGTAAATACATAATTTTCTGCACTTTCTAAAAACTAGTGTGTAAACTGACCTATACTCGCATTAAATTAACGATCTGCTTATATTTGTGTAGCAATGAGACCAACGGCTAGACCACCTCCAACCTCCAGCGCGTTGTTTTACGTTGTGCAAATACTGGAATTGGTACATTTTGTACTCTTGGTGCTCGTATTCTTTGCCGGCCAAAGGGTTCTCTCAGAAGCATGTTCCATATCTCCACAAGTACGTCATTGCCTCAATTTTCTATTTGATAGCAATTAAGTTCACAGTTATGTAATGGTTGTTGTATGCATATGAGCCATGCCATGCAGAGAATTAGAGAAGCTATTGCTCTCGATTGCATGTGCTGATATTGAATATTTACGCATAGGTGATGGACTACACTAAGGTTACCTCGGGGGAAACGGCTTGCGAGTTTTTCTGCGTTCTAGAACTCTTGAGGATTATTCTCGTTCTTGTCGCATTTTTTGGACAGCTTTTACTTCTCAACGTGGCCGTGGCTTTGCAACTGATTGGAGTCGTGGTGAACTTGCCAGTCATTTTTGGTTGGTTTTTCACCAGTGAATTTGGTAAGGAGTTGAAGAATCACGGTGACGAGTTGGCCAGTGCCAGGGACATGTACACACTGCCCCCATCAGTGTCGTTCTCCCACTGGCAGCGACAACAGCAGCTTCTCAACTCCAGTGGGACCAGCGACTACACGGACAGAAGTGAAAATCAGGACACTTCCGAGGCCATGATGTACTCGGCCCCCTCCATCGCGTACTGTCTCAACAATCTCATGCGATAGCTGTGCTGTGTCCCCGTCATCGAGGCAGATATTTTATCAATGTTCAAATTATATGAAATATATTCGTGTCAAAAAAGCATGCCGTACAAATATTTAGACGACTGCAATAGCATAGACTGATTGTCACATACATTCATGTACATGAATTTTCAAGTGAATTTGTATTAGCAAGTCATAAACTAAGAATAAGAATAAATAATATTGCTGCCAAACATTATTATTGAAAATCAACTGCGTTCTTGCTCTGAACTTTGCAATTCGATAAAAATGCAGAACCAAAATATTCTTGATGCACCAATATGAAATCTTCGTCTTGACTTGGAGTCGTTTCTTTTTTGCACACTGCCAGATTTAGCTGGTACTAAAAATAGACAGACCAATGCTTCTGCATACAGAATGATCGTTTAAAGAACATCACTGAATCCTTGTCTTTGTTGCCAAACAGATGCATGGACGCTACTTTGGCACACGAAACTTCGAATATAGGGCCCCAAATATTTGACTAGATTCTCAATTTCCAGTCGTAATCGTATCAAGTCTTGCTCCCATCACCCGTTCAATGTCTGGTCTTTTATGTACATTGATCATGCCTCCTATGCCAATAGTTATAGTGTTGCAGTACTCTTAAAATACGCTCATGTGTGCATGCCATGTAAAAATCACGGATTTTTAGGATTATCTCAATCCGATCATTATTTAAAGGGATGCAAAGTCTGGTTCAGGCACAGTCGCAATTTTGTCTGCTGCGATCCGAGTTCGTCCCCAGCCGAAAGATATTATTTACTTAACAATGTCCGCGCAGTGTGGTGGTGATACAAAGTTCAAGGACATACCCTGCGAGGTACATAGCTAAACTGCATTTTCAAGTTTCATGTACTCTGGACAATTTAAATTCAGTATATACAATTTCAGGTAATTGTCTCAAAAATATTTGCCTACTTCCCACCTCGAGAACGACAACTACTTCGTGCCGTCTCCACAACATGGAAGTCCATCATCGACGATTTTTTCGGCCAGACGGTGCACATTACCAACAAAAATTGGGATTCGATGATGTCAAGTCGAGACATTTTTTACGCCAGATTCGTAAATTGGACGCGAGATCTGGGCAATCATATCGAGCCCAGCGACTTTACTGTAAGAATCAAAACTTTGGAGCTCTCGAGTCCACGGGCGCCAGTGCATTACTTCGGCATCCTCCCACTTCTCAAATCATGTGTCAATCTGTCGACCCTGTCCATTGGCAACGTTATTGGAGCATATGTCAAAGACTTTGACACTGACATGGACACAAGTTTGGATTCATGGATGGCCACCTACGATCAGGGCAACCCAGTTTGGTTCCCCAACCTGGAGACGTTCAAGTTCATTGACAACTGGGCTGTGCCGTCGGCTAGCGTGGGGAGCTATGCACAAGGATGCTGCCAACGGAAGAGCGAATTTATTGCATTTCTATTTAAAAAGCTGTCCTTAACGAAACTGAAGCGACTGCAGGTTGAATTCCACAATTCATTTTGGTGGATTTCCCTTCGTGACTTATTCACATTGGTCGAGCCCCATCAGTTTGAGACTATTGGGCAATCGATCAATGGTGACGAAAATGGTGACCCGCAAATTTTTAGCAAAGAGTCCCGATACAAGACACTTGTCCAGTTGCCACTACGTCTTCTGGGCAAAACTTTGGCAACAACGTTAAACTTTGTGGAAATTCAGTATCATACGATCCTCACCGTTCAATGTCAATTTCACACGGGGAATTTTGCAATCAATGGAATTCGGCAGCTGAGTCGTTTCAAAAGCTTCATTTCGAAGGACGCTAGCGAAGGCAAGTGTGGTCGTTTGAATTACCTGCAAGCCCAAGAAATTCATAACTTGTGGGCCGATGTCCTCAATAATTCGCAATTCTCGTTGAAAGAGTTTGACGGCGAGCAGACGTTTGACACTCCGGACCATCTCCTCCCCATCTTGACAAACAATGTGTGTACTCTGCAAAATACGCGAATCCTCACAACTCTGAGCTCCCCACAACTTGATGAAGACGACGATGTTGTCGCCGACGAAGACGCACTTTGGGATCAAATTGACTTTCGTAGATTTCAAAAACAACAAAAATTGACTCATTTGTCATTCATCGTGGACAAGATTAGCCCATCAAACGTAGAGCTTTGTGATGCTCATCCCTTTTTCAGACACATAAAAGATCTTCCCGATTCCTTGGTCTATTTGGAAATGAGCTGCCCCATTCACCTCACAATTAAGGACGAGGGGGACAATGGTTCTCTGGGATTTTGCGACTGTCTCGGACATTTGAAAAACTTGAAAGAGCTGATTTTATGGAACACAAGTTATTCTTCAGAGTTGAATTCCCCCTGGTTTGTAGTAAATAATTCAAAGCAGGTGACCATGATCAAACCCTCCCACATTGAAGCTTTCATTATAAACTTTCCCAATTTGGTCTCCCTTCATTTCAACTGGACTTGTACTCAGGAGAGCAAAAATTGTTGCGAGTGCAGCTGTGACCTTTGCACCACGGTCCAGCTGCAGGAAGAAGAAGAGGGCAGTAGCGGCAGCAAAAATATTTGTGACGCAGTTTTCGACAAAGAAATATTTAAAATGGAGCATGTAAAATATTATGATCCCAGCATTCAAACTCAGGTTATCAAAAGGGTAAAAATTTCTGATGGCAAATGTGTGAAAAATGCCAAAACTATTGTACCGACACGTTTGTGTGTCAACATTATTACTTCATAAATCGACGAAAACTGTGTAATACACTTATTACTTAAGTTGTCCACATTAATTAATTTGTAAACATTTAGTTTTTACTATTACTTACAATATTGTTTTTTTTTCTACAAATAAATTCAGGCTGCACAAAGGCATATTGCATAATGTTAAATATATATCTACAACATAAGTATGCACAATGCATTGTGGTTAAAAATCACGACTCTGCATACAACGGCATGTAATAGTAGCTGATAATAATTCTACCAGAACTAGGTCGAGTTCATACGGTTAATTGAGCCTGCATAGCAAATTAAATGGTGGGCAGTGTACACATGCAACGCGTTAAACCATCGCATAAAAAATAACAGTCAGCTTGAATAGTAAATAAAAGTATGTGAAAAATGGACAAATTGAATCCGGTTGATCAAAAGTTCTTTTAGCAAAGATTAATTATCAAACTCGGGACAGAGCACGAGACTGCATATACACACAATTCGGGGACTGCCGAAGAAGAAGACCCGGGCAATGCACCTCAGGTGTGTACCACACACGATCACACCTCACAAGTTCTCCGAAGTACATCAACGTGTTCAGTGTGGATCTCTGTAGAAGTAGTAACTAACTAACTAAATAGACATAAATGGACATAATTACGACTGTCAAGTTCTTTGTTTCACTACCATGTTTATTTTGACGAAATGGGAACGACGTGAATAATCTCGCCTTCTACACTTGTTATCTGGTCATGGAGGAATTAGTGTCAATAAGCTAGCCAAAATTCTACATAGCTCATGTTCCATCATGTTCGGCATGCAAAGCAACCCTTCTTGGGGGTCGCAACATATTTTTCAAAGAGCAAAAACTGAGGACCTTAAGCACATATTTTATAAGGTATTTACACAAATTGAATGCCTAATATTTGTCCAACCTTGCATGTCATAATAATTGGCTGCTTTATTTTAACGTACTTTCTGTAGTATGCATCTACAAAAGTTGATGACGAGTGGTTCATGTCATCGGAGGATTTTATTAGGAAATTCCTCGGGCTCTACAATACTGAAGATTATGCCCCCGACTCCCTTAAAATCCTGGTTGGAATCATCGACACATCGAAAGATGGGCTCATCTCGTTTAAAGAGTTTCAAGCCTTTGAAGCCCTTCTTTGCGTCCCGGACGCCTTGTACAGTGAGTGAAAATATCTCCATAAGCATAAATATCTGCAATTATTAAAATGATCCCCATTTTCAAGAATCACATGAATTCTCTTAGACACGGCATTTCGACTTTTCGACAAAAATGGGAACGGACTCGTGAGTTGCGATGAGTTTGAGCACATCATAGGGCAAACGACGCTTCAAAAGGAAATACCATTCGACCTCAACGGCCACTTTGTCAGGTGAGGATCTAAATTTTCGCTTTTTGACTCAACAAAGGAAAAGGTTAGATTTTCATGCTACAGTTTATGAGATGATATTGATGAGCTGGATGGATAAATGATTCCGATGGTGGAACTAAAGAAAACATTTTTTGTTTGTTTTTTTTTCGAAATAATTAGTTTCTTTATTGGTATATTCACATATAATTAAAATAATTAAACTATGCATTCTTCTAATTCTGCTTCCTGGACTTGACTGAGACCACACCCAGACGACAACATTCCTTCCATAAAACGCTTTGTGGAATTCCATAAGGTGCCAAAGCCTTTCTGTAGGATGCCCCTTCTCTCACTGCTTCGACGGCTGCAGCCAATTGTTGTGATGTGTAGCGAGTCGATGGTTGACACCCAGGTCGAAATTGGGACTTGACTCCAACAATCTTCATCTTCTTCTGCAAAGTAACCCTCGGAACTCCCATTTTTGCTGCAGCATCACGTTGTGACATGCCTCCTTTAACTAATTCGACAGCTTGTGCGACTTTGTCTTTCATCTCCACCGTCTGACTCGAGACCCAGAAAGCATTTACGGCTGGGCGAGCTCGTAGTTGGGCTGCAAAAAAATTTAATTATAAATAAAAATGTCAAACATCACCCCTTTGACATAATAATTTATAAAATTGTACATTTGTCTAATAAGGCTGCAGCCGACTCCTTGCAGGCATCCATTTCATCTACCAAATCCATGGCATTTTCATCGCGGATGAGAAACTTCTTCATTTTTCTGAAGGTTGACATTGGGACTGAAATGAAGTTCTGAGGATTGGGATGTGGGAGCTGCATCTCCATTGCATACAAGTTCCAATGACTGATCATGGGGCCATCTTTCCACGACTCCATGTATTTTACCGTTGAAGAAGGCAAGAATTGTCGCTGCTGCAGCAGGTGATCCTTCAGAATGTCTTCAAAACTTGCCAACGTCACCAGACACTCTGATGGTTTGACAGATGAGATGGGATTCATGAAAATCCTGCAAAAACTTTTCAAAAGGGCAGCAAGGTCGTCCTCATCCGTAGCGAGTTTTAGACTGCGGGCTTCGGTGGGCGAATAGGTCACCCCGTATTTTTGGACTCTCCTGAAAATATAGAAATATATCATATTTAATTAGTCTGCAGACTGAATTGTTGATGAATATGTAAGAAAAATAGTTTTCTTACCTGGCTGAACATGATGTTTCCTCTTCATCCACGGCAGCTTCCTCTATCTGTTTTGCTCTGTTGTTTCCGGCCTGTACAGGATCATCTTTTGACCTCCCAATCACGGAAGCCACCATTTTGCCATCCGAGTTGCAAAGAGGAATGTGGAAGATCTCGTGAACCGTGTCTGCAGACAACAAATAATTATACAAATTAATTAAAGAATTCAGGCAATTTCTTCCTTCACATTTATAATTAATTACCTTCATCATGTTCTAAAAGCTTCGCCTGCAGGCAGCCATCATCATTCTTGTAGAAGAAAAGAATAGGCTGACGTGACATTTCTTCCATCCGTCGTGAAAAAACAATTTCTTTCTCTGTAGGATCTAGTTTTGCTACAAATACAATATTTAAATTAGATACATATGCGACATCCCCATTATTAGTATCATACCAGTAATATGATCAAATTATTTACCTTTTTCTAACATAGCTGCAGCTGACTCGTAACACAGATCCATTTCATCCACCAATTCATTTGCATTTTCATCGCAGATGAGATATTGCATCCAATTTTGGAACATCTCCACTGGAACACTTACAAAATTGGCAGGATTGGGGTGGAACAGCTGCATCTCGAGACTGTACAAATTCCAGTGGTTCATCATTGGGGTATCGCCCCACGATTCCATGAAGGTCACCGTCAGAGGAGGCAGGTGTTCTTTCTGCTGCAGCAGGTGGTACTTCAGTAGTTTTTCGAAATTTTTGAGCTCAGTGATACACTCAGATGGTCTGAGAGAGCAGAAACTGTTCATAAAAATCCTGTGCCACGGTTTTAGGAGATTGGCGATGTCATCGTCTGACGTGACGACATGCAAGCTACGGCTTAAAATGGGGGCGTAAAAATAGCCGTACTTAAACAGTCTCCTACAAAAACATATTACACAATTATATATATTCTGCAGATTGATTAATTTATAATAATTGTAAATGATAATAATTGTTTACCTTATCGAGCATCCCTTCTGCCCTTCTTCTTGTTTCTCCATCTTTTGGCTTCTGTCTCGAGCTGCTTGTACCAAATCCGCCTGGGTAGACCTCCCCACGACTGTCCCTTCAATTTGTGAATCATGATTGGAGATGGGAATCGAGAATATTGTATGGTTACTCAGATCGTCTGCAGACAACCAGAACAAATAATTAAAATTATGGAGATAAATATATAAAGGAAAAAGTATGCAAAACATTTAAAAGTTTGTTACCTTCATCCTCGTTCAGCAGTCTCACTGATATTTCACCCTTATTGTTCTTGAAAAATAATAACGTCGGAGGAAACGTAATTTTTTTCAGGGGCCGACATTTTTATTCGAGGGGATGACAATAAATTTCTTAAAAAAATCTCACGATCAGTTCAAAAAAAAGATTAATTTTCGGGAACGATTTTTTTTATTTACTTATTTGTACTACTAAGATGAGTGAGTGAAGTGGGACTGCAGTCGACAGACACTTTTCAACAAGTCTCAACTTGTTTATCTGCTTGCTCGTTTCAGCAAGAGTCTGAGACGCCGGTGATAAGGTGAGCTTGGCATGGTTGAGCATGTTTTCGAGTGCAAAACATAATATTTACGGGTGGACTGAGAAACATGGTAAGAATGAATATTTGAGTACTGGTCATTTTTAGATATATATTTTCAGATTGTACTTTGGAGAGAAGAAAGACCGTGTCGTAACTTATACGGAATTTAGCCAGTTCATTCACGTAATACAGTCACAAAGTTTTATTTACTAATTTTATTTACTTGCATATTTTACAATAGATATAATTCGTTTTAGATTCGCATGCGAAAAAAGTTACATGTAATTACCAAAATTTAATCTTTGAATATGCACTAGGACTTTCATGAAGAATATGCTGCAGAGGCCTTTCGAAGGTTTGACTCCAACCGGACGGGGTTCATCAGTGTGGACGACTTTTGTAGGATCATGATCACGATTCGATCACATTTATTGACAAGACACGTGAAGGGCTTATTAAAAGACGTGAGATATACGCATTTCTTCATATGAGGGCATTAAATACGCAATTTATGTAATGCGATAAAACGTTTTCCATGTCCCAGATTGTGAAAAAAGTGACCAATGACGAGCAAGTGTCGTTTCCCTTCTTCATTGCCTTCAACACAATCCTGGCGAACGTGGAGTTGGCAAAGAAAGTTTATCTGTTGGCAACGAAAGGCATTCGCGATAGGGAAATCTCGATCCAAGAATTTCAAGCGGCGTCAAACATGATGAGTCAAATCACTCCCCTTCAGTCCCAGATCCTCTTCACCCTCTCCACCCTCATCCACGACTCCCCCACGATGATATACTCCGACTTTGAGAAGCTCGCTCCCGAACAGTACTATCGCAAAGTGCAAAAGAGAATTGTGAGAACCGATACCAAGCAGTTTCATGCGAGAAGAGTCAGCCTGCCTGAAATTATTTTATCCATGCTTTCTATAAATAGGTTGACATCAAAGCAGTCGAGAATCCTGAGGATAGAAATGCATTCATAGAATTGTTAGAGAGTGGCTACCGATTCGCCATCGGGATCATGGCCGGAGGTAAATCATGATGATGAAGCAAGAATAAATTTTCACATAAACTTTGCGCATTTTAGCATTAGATATGCATATCTTTTAGCAATTGGAGCAATTGTGGTTTACCCGATGGACTTGGTTAAAACGAGGTACCTCGTTTACTTAATTAACCGAAAAATAAGTGTTTCAAATTAAATACCCCTACAAAGTCCTGCTACATGTCATATCTATTCTAATTTTTGTAGGATGCAGCTAAATCGCCCCAGTTCTTTGTATGAAGGACGACTTTACACAGGGACACGCGATTGTATTCAGAAAGTGGCTCAACACGAAGGGATCTACGGCTTCTATCGAGGCATCACTCCTCAGGTTGTGGGCGTTGCTTTGGGAAAGGCAATCAAACTTTCGGTCAGTAAAAGCAAAATCACGGATTTGGAGCAGTGGGTCATCCAATTTTTCTTGTCCATGCTCAGGTTAATTTGATTCTAATATAAAACAATAGATGAACGATTGGATTCGCGACAAATTCATGAATCGGAAGGGCGTTGTTCCATTTCATTCCGAGATTTTCGCAGGAGCCGCAGCTGGATTCTTCAATGTGTTTTTCATCAACCCACTTGAAGCTATCAAAATTCGTGTCCAAGTTGCTAGTCAAATTAACCACAACGAGAGATTAAAATCCATAACGGCCATCAGGAATCTGGGCGTATCCGGGTTGTACAAGGTATGCACATATAATTCATCCACCACAATTATAACCAACAAACCATTAACAAATCTAAAAAAAACTTGCTCTGGACATTCCTTTAAAAAACAGGGATTCTTGGCCTGCTGTTTGAGAGACGTACCATTTTGTGCAATATTTTTCCCATGTTACGCTCACATGAAGGTGAGGTTGCAAGATGACGATGGATATAATACTGCAACTTCCTTGCTGATGGCAGGGATCCTCAGCAGCCTTCCGGGAGCCGGTATTTCTATGCCTTTTGACAAGATGAAGACACGATTGCAGGCGGAACCTTTGCCTGGACAATCCAAATACGCCGGAATTGGAGATGTCATGAGAAAAATTTATACTGAAGAAGGACTCAGAGCTTTTTGGCAAGGGACGAGATTAATCAAACCATCGTCCCAATTTGGCGTCACTCTTCTCGTCTATGAAGTTCTTCAACGCTTATTTTACGTGGATTTCGCTGGAACGTAAGATTCATCACCACTAAAATGAGAAAAACAACTAATTTTTAAAATTGAAGGAGTTGTAACAAATTTCTAAAAAAATCATAGGAGGCCCACAGGGTCGGAACAAACTGTATTAGTGACGGGGTTGGAACAGGTCAAGTCCACTAATCCAGACCACATTGGGGGCTTCGCACTCGCACTTCCAATTGTTTCCGGCCTGGAATCGAAGTTTGGTCTTGTATTCCCAAAGTTTAAGCATGAAATATTTGAACTGCCATCGAAGACAAAAAATACTACTTAAAAAGGAACAAGTTTAATATTCAATATTACCACCACCAAAGATTAATAACGATTCTAGTCAAAATAGTAATTTATTTGCTCAAATATCTTTGTATCACGTACTACAATTTTATATTTAGGGTAGTAATGGCTGTTTTAATAGTACGTTGTAGTTTGTCACAATTTTTCCCCGTCGACTCTAGAAAAACAAATGTCTACAGCAAAGAGAGTAACATAGTATACATAGTAGCATAGTGACTACGTCTTAAAAAACAATAATCTCAATGGCGTGCATCAAGAATGACACGCGGTCATCAGGAACCGTGAGCGGACATTGTTCCCTTCCCACAGAAATATTGTATCGTAAACGTTATTATCTCCTTACACGATTATTTAACATTTAGCATCCAAGTTGTGTCCCTTATAGAGTGATAAAGTGTCAAATAATCTTGATCTCCTTCCCTTATAATCCACACAATGCTCCCACGGTTCCTCGGCCTATGTGACACGAACCCCTACCCATTCCTATTATGTGTAATTTACCTGCTGTGATCTAAGTACATACGTGACCTGACCTACGATAGTAGATACGTACACTCAAAGAGTACTTCGCAAATAATACCGCAGCGTTTTAAAACGTAAAAATTTTAAGGCACATTCTTTGTGATGATAATAATCACGGTGGATATAATCTTTGGAATCAAATAAATATAATGTATGTAGCTCAAAATTACTAGTACACCACATCAGCATTTAATATTTTGTGTTGTGGTGTGTTGTATTGTATATAGTATTTAGATATAGCATGCATCAAATAAATATTGCTATCATTAAATGAGAAACTCCGTTTTTGTTGTGTCAATTCGGAGTAGCAAAAAATACATAAAAATTACAATGCTTGACAATTTACAAAAGGCAATTCATGCATATGATACAGCATGATTAGTGATTGAATATTATCCGAGTTACTTATTTATATAATTAACCAAACTCTACTACGTTATAATATTGTTAATTGGTACTACTTACAAATTGTGACACTAGATTCTTTACTTTGTTCTATTAAGCACCTTTTCCGTTAAACTGACCAATTCCTTTTGAAATGGAGAAGATTTAAAATTATTCGCATATCGGACAGCTTCAACACAATACTTTTGAGCCAGGAACTTGGTTTCTTCTAATCCATCGGATTTATGAACCCAGTCTAAAGCTTTCACTACGTCTCCAGCTTCAGAAAATCGCCTCTCAATTAAGGAATTTAATTCAGGGAACTTTTGGGCAGCAAATAACACTGGCGCAGTTGCTAATCCAAGTTGTAAATCTGCAGCTGCAAGGATAAATATTAGTCAGTTTACAAACTCACTAACTTTTCGTTTGATTGCATAATATGCAAATAAATAAGGCATGGAATATGTATATGCTCTTTTACTTACCAACAGGTTTACCCATGGCGTCCGTACTAGAAATAAAGTCCAATAAATCGTCAACTAGTTGAAACGCGATGCCTAAATGTTTTCCGTACTGAAATGCTTTGTCCACCAAGTTTTCGTCTGCTCCCCCCAAAATTGCGACTCCTTTACAACTATACGCTGCAATAAGGGTTTAAGAAATTTAAAATGAAATTAGATCAGTTTTGGCATGAACACGTCAATATGTACAGTACGAGTAGGCATACATTCAACAAGTGTTTAATTTACTTTGTGGTCATAATCTTAATGCTACGGGTGCTCATACTGATGTTTTGTTCTTTAAATGAATTTATGCATGAGTTTAAAACAAACCAAACCTACCCATCAAGCTGGCCGTTTTGTTAAACGTTTTTCCAATGTAGTGAGCAAATCGTTCCGTCTTCTCCTCGTTGGCCCCCATTTGCATAAACTCTCCGTGCACCAAATCTTCCAACACTTGAGCAAATATCTCAGTCACTGCATTATTGTCTAACCTGGCAACCATTGCACCTGCCTTGGCCAGCACATAATCTCCACCCACTATGCTTTTCCTCTGTCCAAACAGGGCATTCACGCTGGGTTTCCCCCGGCGTTTGTCAGATCTGTCGATGACGTCGTCATGGACCAACGTCGCGGTGTGAATCATCTCCGAAACGAGTGCTAACTGCTTTTGACCTGGCAGCAACTCACTGCCGCTACCCTCTCCTCTCAAATGAGCGTTGACGGCACGAGCCATGAGGATTGCCAACATGGGGCGAATAGCTTTTCCTTGGCCGTCAAAATAATATGACGCCACTTCGCACAAGTCTGGCTCCCTTCCCGACAGCTCTTGGCGGATTCGGATAAAAATATCCTTCATGTCGTCATCCACGGAGGACGCGATGGATGGTTCTGCTTTTTGGTGACTCTGCCAAGCCGTGGACAGCTGCCTATGGGTGAGGGTGATGGGCTGTATTAGTCTTCCGGGGGCTGGAGGTGGGGATGAGTAGTTTGAATGGTGGTGTATCGCTCTCTTTGCGTATGATAGCAATTTAGGCGGTGTCGAAAAGCATTCTCCACGACTCAAAATTGGAAAGCCAGGATTTGACTTCAAAGGAATATACTGCTTTTCAATCCAGTTTCTAATAAATAAATAAATAAATAAATAAATTAGATTGAACATAAATTAGATTAATTAATTAACAAATTATTTAATGCAATACCTGACACTTTTAGAAACTGGAGTTTTCCGACAGAAATGAATCGCTGGTCCGAATTTGGATGACATTTTCTTAGAATTTATGCCAAACTTTAGGAAACAATATCATTCCAGAAGAAGGAAAGAGAGGCCCACTAAACACCTAACCTGAAACCAGAAAAAACCGAGGTCTAGGTCAACACATTTAAGTGAGTCCTCGGGGACTTGGGATTAGTGTAACCAACCTTTTTTTTACTTCTCTACATCCCCAATGGTGAATGATGATGATGATAAATTTTGTGATAAATTGGCGAACTAACTAACTGCTGTGTATATTAGGCTACCTAATTTAGGTAGCTTTGAGCTGCTGACGGGGAGGAAGTCCCGTATAAATCCCGTTATGATGATCTCCCAACTCCTCTCATTCGCGCATCTCGTCTTCATCTTCATCTCTCAATCGTCTCACTTATTTCAACTCCACCACCACCATCACACACTTTCCTCATCACGCTGTGTAATGTAAACCACGAACTAACTATTCTACTAAATTTCGCTATTACTAATCGCATAGTTGCAAAAATACATTTATGAGTTGATCCTAAAACAGTATTATAAATTTCACGCACATGCCTCGATCAACGTCAAACGCTCTGTACAGCCACGTAAATTGGTGAAACGGAGAGGTTTCAATGTTAAAGGAAATCATCATCGTAATTCATTTTATGTATTTGGAGAAGGAAATTCATATACCTTTTCCAACTTTACGATTCTACAACCCACTGGGCATTACCAGAGTTGCTAGTGAAAACAAACCGTAGTCACCCAAGTCCACAACCTTTTCACTCATCCTCAGCTTTCTCCGCATGATGTTACGACTAATACATATTTAGAGAAGGACACATGAATTTCTTGCATATAAGCGGATTTTCTCCCAACTTTAATTGATCTGTGCTGGCACATTTAAGTAATAATTTGTCGTAGATATTTCATTTAATTCTGCACAATGGCAGCCAATGGATTGTTGGATACTATTGGAGAAACTCATACAGCAAGAAACATCCGATCAGCTTCTCTCCAAAATAAGAAAAGTAAGAAGGACTTCTTTTGATATAAAAAAGATTTTTATTTAAACTAAATCCATACCTCTAGCTGATCTAAAACACCCTGCCTCAAAAAATTGGCTGATTCATCTCCATTACATAAGAAGGTTAATTAATATGCACATATATGCAATAGAAACTTTGACAAGAGATGCAAATTAAATTGAGGTACAAATTAACTAACTGTGTCTGAGTAGGGAATTTGAAACATGCAAATCTATCATTTTTGAAGAATTGCAACGAACAAATGGCAACTCTGAGTACGCCAACTATGTTTTGGTAAATTATCCTTCATAAGTTTTATTTATATGAAAGTGAATAAGTTACTAACTTCGTTTTGTAATATGCAGTCACTTATCTACCGAAGTGAGGGGAAAATGCAGGAATCTCTGGACAAGTTGCAAGTTTGTCATGAATTGGAACCAAATAATGCAAATACAGTGAAACAAATTGCTCGCTCTTTGTACGGTTTGTATGATTTAATGAAACTAAGTAGCACTAGATATAAATCTACGATATGAATTCCCCAGATTTTTGCTGGGTCGTCACAAGTTGGCAATTGAAGCTTATCAAAAGGCCCAAATATTGAATGACGACTCGGATTCGGAGACGTACTACAACATGGGAATGTGCTACATTTTCATGAAGGACTTGGATAAGGCCAAGGAGCACATGAACCTGTCTCTCCAGGCACGAGATTAGTTTCATATTACATATAAATTAATATTAATTACGTATCTTTATCATCATATACATTTCTAGGCACGAGTGTCGCAGGAGGCTTTCGAAGCTCTTGCACAAATTGCACTAGCCAAGAAAAACTTACACGACGCGATCATTGTTTATGAGAAGGCTGCGAGGTAGACAATTACTAATTCTGCAATTAAAAATATGCATGCGTATATATGCGACTGTTTGCAGAATATTTCCGGAAAACTCTGAACTCTTGAGTAACTTGGGACTGCTTTACATGAAAGTGGGAAGAGATGATGTGTCATTTGTCCGATTAGGATCAGGTAGGTCCATTTCACAATATTTGTTGATAAGCTAGTAAAATTCCACCATCAAGTCTAAGAAACAACTCCTTGTCAAATATGCTATTTTAATATGGAATAAAAAGTAACTTTTCCTCAGCTTTAGCGTTTGATCCTCTCAACTCCAAAGCCCTGGTTGCAATGGCGTCCATGATGCAGGTACGTAATTAGTCAGCAATTTATTAAATGTGCTGGCTGTTTGATGTACTTTAATTTGATTACATAAGACTAAATTATAACCGGACAATTGACTGCACATTCCTTTCATATTATTATCATAGACTCACGAGGACTATGATCATGCGTTGGCCAAGTACAAAGGAGCTATGCAAACTCTTCCCGACTCTGCCTCGGTTTGGAATAATACAGGAATGTGTTTTCACTTTGGGAAACGAAAATATGTTGCGGTACGTTAATGCTGTCTTATCTAATCTTAATTTTGTACGATATTTGTCATGTGCACATAGGCCATGAGCTGTCTCAAGCGAGCCTACTACTTGTCTCCGTTTGACTGGAAGATTCTTCACAACCTTGGTCTGATCCATTTGCATATGCAGGTGCGAAATTAAAAAAATTACATAAACGCATGTATATGCGGATCCGATGCAATTTACATGCGATATGATGACGGCATGTCTTTTAATTTGTAGCAATACGCCTCTGCATTCCACTTTCTTACAGCATCAATCAACCTCAAGCCTCTGCAAAGTCATAATTTTTTTTTGCTGGCAGGTATCATACAGATTTACATACGTACTTTAATTTAGCAGTGTGGGTTTCTAAATGAGCATAAATTCATAAAGAACTCTTTACGATAGTTGCCATAAGTCATCTTGATGATTTGGACTATGCTACACATGCCTTTGAACAAGCTCTAAGGTTGAATTCAGAGGTGATCAACACCGACCCGGCAACGCTATGGCTAAACTACGGCATTTCTCTATTCAATCACAAAAAGTATGCCGAAGCCTATCAAAAATTCAAACAGGTTCATGCCATTCTCTCCAAAACACCAAGGGGGTCCATTGATCCAGATGTAAATACGCATTGTTTATCAATATTACTCGTCATCACGTGAGTATGACATGTATCCAATCGAATAATGGATATGCAAATATTTATTAGGTCAAGTCAACTTTCACTCGGGTCAAGTCTGCCATGAAGTTGATGAATTTCCATTTGCAAGAGGAAAATGAGCCCGAAATACTGTCAGCACCACCGCCATTCGATAATACCGTCGCACCAAACACCGATGTTCCAACAAGTACAAAATTGAGGGACATGGAAAAAACAACAGCAAATAAGAAATCCATGAATTTAATTGATGAAGCTGATTTAGTTTAATTTAGTTAAATACAGATATAATTTTTGCATAATTGGATGGTTGTTGACATTATCATTAATAAATTGTCATACAAAACATGAGTATTTTAGCTCCGTCCTGTCGTACTAATCAGGTACCCCTTACATTCAATTTCTAAAAACAAAAGGTTACTTTTTGATAATTTAAACTTGAAATGGTTTGAAACTTGAAAGGAAAAATAAGTACTTTACTGAATAATGGACAGTCTCGCTACATAATCGCCAACAATAAATTCTAATAATAATGATAAAATGCGCAGCTGCTCGGGATGATTGCTGACGATAATGATCGATTTATCGATATTGAATAATAAATATTGAGTGCGTGTTATCTGCATTTGTTCGTCTCTTCATCAATGTGCCTGTCAACCTATGTCCACTACGACACGACGACAGCGAACTATAAAAGAGGACGTTCTTAATCGGGAAATTCGGCTTCAATTATGTCATTATTTATTATCAAAGACAACTTAATACGACGGATAAGGAGATTTTGGTTTTATTTTCCTCGGGGACCGATATCTCTCCCTCTCGTCAATGTCCTCCTCGCTACTTGACAATAGTTGTCGCTGGATTAGTCGCTGCTGACGGAAGTCAGAATACTTTGTCGTTTTGGGGACGATTCCAGGAGACTGGTTGGAATTAAGGGGAGGCAGGTGATGATTTCTGGACAGGTTCTGGTCTCCCATGGCTGCCATGATCACGCCCCTGTCACCAGAACCAGGTTTACTGCTCCCTGAAGATGACGCCAACGGGGGCAGGAAGCGCTCAGATGGAGTTTCCAACGTTCTCGGAAGACTGCCAGATATTGCTGTATTGAAATAATCATCACAAAATGAACTCGATAGTTTGTGTCAATTATATCATTTTTCTGCGTGTTCTTAGGATTAGTTGCATGTAAATGAGTACAAATGACAGCTAAAGTAAAGATAGGATAAATAATTACTCGTATTTACCACTGATAAAGTGTCGTTGCCGATGAATTATTGCCTCGCCCAGAGCCTTCTGTCTCAAGCACCGAAGTAAAAGAGTGCCACGACGTTTCAACTCCGCCTCAATTTCTATACTCATCTTGTTTAATTGATCCTGTTGCAGTCTGCAAAGCAAACTCAGAATTTCTCGCTGCACTTCCGGCAAATATTGAGATGCTTCTTCCTCAAACTGGGCAATTTTGCTTCGAACAGCTCTCAAATCCTGCTCAACTTCCGTCCTCATGCGAAGCAACTTGTCCTGCTCTTGTCGCACTTGCTTCAGTTCGTTCATTACAGTGTGGATTTCAGACCTTTCAGAGTCAATCTCCTCATCTGAAATACACAAAAGTAACGAAATTAAATACTACTCAGCATGCAAGTATTTAGTAAATAACATGTAGCATATTATTTGCATTTGTACGCACCATCCCTGTTGTCAATTTCCTTGTGGACGTTTTTCACGTTTTCCCAATCTAAGACCATCAGACGAAGAATCTCGCAATCCAATGCGGACTGCAACATTGCTCCGTCCAGTTTCAGGAGATCGTTTCTGAGTTTGAACTCATTATCGAAAAGTGCGGAAATGGTCTGTTTTATGGCTGCGAGTTCGTGCTTCTCATGTTTGTCCAGGTAGCCCTCGTGGTAAAAGGCATTGGATGACGGGGGCAGAGGGGGCGATGGGTGGGACGGAAGTGGGGTGGACTTTGTCGGGAAGTGATGATTAATGCTGGAGGAGAAAGTTGATGGGGACGAACTTCTCTCCTCCAACAACTTGTTCTGAAGTCGACGCACTTCGTTGCGAAGCTAAAAAGCAACGAAATAAGTCAAAGCGTATTGACTTTCTTGGTCGAATCATACAAAAGAAAATATTAATTTCCTCACCTCTTCGATGATGTAGCCAGTCTCAGAACTTTGTCCGGGGTAAATAAATTTTCGGACCCTATTGGAAATTGCGCGTGCCCGTTGTCCGTAAAGGAGGGTGTTTCTGGTCTCCTCCCTTTGGTGGATGGAGGGTGAGACGTGAGCTATCATCACTGTTTTTGAAGGACCTCCCAAGGCAGCCTGCAACAGCATTGGATTTCAGCAACATTTATAGTTTAGTACATATGCATCGTATTATGGCAATCAGCGTAGTGATTGCTTTGAGGTGTGTACTTTGAGAAGACGTGTAAGTTTGGAGTCTCTGTAGTTTATGTATTTGTCATCCCCGGCTGCCAGCGCAGTTATACAATTCCCCAAGGCGAGCAGTGATCGATTTATGTGTCCACCTTCTCTGAGCCTCAGTCCAGAATTCTAATTACATCAAAACGTCACCATTATCATCAGGAAAATTGTTATTTCACTCTCGAGAGTGAAACAACGAGGGTTGTTGTTCGGTGCTGGTGTCGGGTTTTGTTGAAGGAGGACGAAGGTCACAGGGGAAATGATTAATTACACATTTTAGAAAATGGACAGACCTTCGTCGCTGACGCCCTTTCACTCCCAGCCAAGTCGATGAGATACAATTTTCCATCCGTGACCTCGCTGTCGTCTTGATTAAACTGGCGAATAGTGATAAGAAGGATGGCATGACTGCGAGATGAAGCCACGTTGGCAGCGGTTGGCTCCATTGTTCTCGCACGGTTGCCTTTATGCAGCAAATTGATCACCTGCCAATCACCATTTAGCATCGTTTTAAATTACATGTTACAATTTCCGTTACCAATTTCTAACGTTGTGTTGCCTTATTGAAATAAGTACTCAATTTCATGACGAGATTAAATATAGGCACCGTAACACCTGCCATTAACTGACCTCATTTGTGGAAGTTGCACGAATTTCCGATAACCCAGAAACGTGTACTTGCTCCATATCCTCCCTTAATTCTAAGTTTACCCCAGGACGCAGCAGATCCCGAATTTTCTCATTGTATATCTCGAGGTAGGAAAGATACACCTGGTGCGGAAGAACTTATCAATTGCTAAATATTCACTTTCTACACATACATACACGTATGAAGTACATGACTTAATGACACACGTGGTTTGCCACATGCATGGCCCAAATAATTATTTACCTCAGCCTTTGTTTCTCTGTCTGGATCGGAGCATATTAGAAAGATGTCGTCGATGGCCCTCTTCATGATTCCTGGATCGTTCTGCGTCCCCACCATCGTGTACGTCTTGCCACTTGAGGTGGCCCCATATGCAAAAACCGTGGCACAGAACCCCTCAAAAACGGACCTGACCAAGGGGGCGGTCGTATTGCGGTACACTTCCTCTTGGCTGGAATGCTCATTGAACACGTGGTCAAAATCATACACTCGCCCTTCCGTCGGAAATCCGTTGCCATTATTCTGGGTCACCGGATTTGACCTATTTTGTCTGGAAGTGGGTGGTGGATGGGGCAATGGGAGTTGCCCGAAGGAGGTGGAATACACGCTCTTGCCTAAACTACCAGCACCACCGCTTCCGTAGACGCCACTCTCAGGGTCGCTCAGGTTCTTATCCGGACCCGAGTAGTTGGGTCCCTCCGTGAAGACCAGCGTCTGTTGGATGGAAAATGCACATACAACAAAATCTTATGCCAACTAATGATAAGACGAGTTCAATAGTGCGAAATGAGTAATTGGGGTAATTTGTCATCTCTCTATTTTTTCGCCAAAAACTTTCAACACTGACCTTGAGAACAAATGCCAAGAGAAAAGGATGGATTTGCCAAATAAATAAATTATGCAAATATTCAACAAAATGAAAAAGTGTTTGTGAATCAATAACAAGAATGGACGACGAACTTGACATCTACTGCGTGCATCGGATTATGCTGAGACTTTTATACAGTTATCCGCTGTTAGATAAATGCATTATTACACCTCCTCGCTCTCACATCAAATCATTTGTAAACGCATCGCTCTGATGTCATCCAGCAGACAATGAAGACCAACAGCAAAGGACGCCAAGCCCTCCCAGCTTTCTCCACAAGACAGCATTATATGTGCAAGGCTACAAAAGACCCCTGCTGCTGACGAGGAACTAGTCGTGGTGTGAATACCATTGCTTTCTTCTCAGAGACCAGCTGCACAAACAGTATTATTCGCCATTTATAATAATACGAGGACATACTCTCCTCCATTTACTTTTATTGGAAAAGTTGGATAAACTACTAAATCAACAGTCATGGCAGAGAATGAATATAAACGCTGCTGCTGATAAACTTTGTAAATTCGGATGAAAAACTTGGAGGACACAAAGCGAAGGAGAATATGCAGTATAATTCAAGGTAAATTGGTGCAAAATGGGGAAATAAATACGCAACGAGAATCAACGGGTAGCCCTGTTTGACTTTCCCCGTTCATATATATCTCTAAATGTGTGTACATATATAAAGTAAAAGTTTTTTTGCTAATGGCTAATAAATGTTGGGTTTCCGTTTAGTTGCTTCTGAGCACGAACAATAATCTACGTCGAATTATATGTATAAATATAGGAGAACGTGATGGTGAATCGATTGCGTTCTTGGGCTAGGCAAGGATGCGATTGTTGATTTAACAAACTTTCTCTCAAATGAATGTATAAACTTTGACGTGTTCGTTGTTCACACGTCATTTGCTATACGGGGAAGATTAATGAATAGAAGGAATCACCTGGGGTGAACTGATGCATGCATTCATTTAGGAGCAGAATGGATGAGCATATGAACACAATACGTCGCCTTATCAATTAAGATCGAATTGATTACAACTTGAGAATTGTGGTTCGTTCTCCAGCACAAAAAGTCACAGAATGACATTTCTTGTCTCGCCTCAAGTTCACTGTCAGTTCTTCGTGGGAGGCATGTCTCACGACGGTTGGCCATCGCTATATCTTCGCCACGTACATGGTCAAGTGACCAATGTATTTATGCAGCAACTTCTTTTTCGTAGCAGGTTTCGACGTTTCTCTACGTTCTGACGACCAGTGCAAAAATAAATCAATGCAATGCGACTAAGCCGTGTTTCTTGTCTTTCTTTCTTGTCTTTTCTTTTCATGTAAGGAAAAAGTATAGCACGAACAAGTACGGCACGCGAAGTTTAATGCGTCACAAGAAATGAATGGGCAACTAAATTGTGGAAAATAAAACAATTGCATTCCTTGTCTTGAGAAATGTGTGATGTTTTTAAGTGCACAAAATTAACGTACAAGACGCAACTTACCTTTTCACTCAATGCGGCAATAACTCTGTTCGCTTCCGAAAGATGTTCCATGGGACGAATGCGAACTGCAACCTATTTGCATATTCGAATTCGTTAAAAACGTAGACAAAAATTGTGTTGGTATTAATTGTTCGTTGTTAAAAATTATTACCAGGAGCCTTTCATTGTGAGTCGCAGTACTGGATGAAATTTCTTTCGTCATGTCGATTGGACAAGCACCTTGTTATTTCTCCACTGTGGAAGCGGTGCGTCGAGGAAGCGGGTTGATGACGGTGTCACTTAAAACTCTGACACCCGTGTTCCGACTGGGAAATTATGTGTTTGACACCAAAGGAGAAACGATGTGTGAGGTGCGATTAGCATGTCAGCTTTGATGTACAAATCAAGTTGCCACCACTATTGATTAATTTGTCAGAGTTGCAGAGTTATTACAGCAAGGCAAGAAAGTTGCTCTGTCAAATTATGTAATTAATCTTGGGGAATTTAATCTAGAAGTAAATATGCACAATGTTTGCAGTTTAGTTTATGCAGCAAGAGTAGCATAGATGATCAAGTTATTTCCTACTGGATAGAGTTTGATCTGGTAAATCATTGACTAATTCGTGTTCAGAATAAATCTATCTCTTAAATAACGCTAAAAATAAATAAATGTTATCCAATTCTCTTATCAACATTTATCCGTTTATCAAAACCTATTAAAATGTAGGAACGAACTTGGATATCAATTTTTCGTAAATTAACGCCTTGATCTTTAGTGCAAAGTCTGCCCGAGTGAAGAGTCTGCTAGAGCAACTGAAACCGACTTGTTCGACGCGACAACCGACCCCGACTGACCATTTGTTCCCCACCAGCACCACCAAGAAATGAGCAGTACTTAACATTCGCGTGCGCCATTGAGGGAGGAGGTTGACTTGGCAAGCAAGAAAAATCAAATATGCAATCCAAACATCGTGCTCTTTTGTAAGGTGTCTTTTTATCCTTCTTTCTCCAGGATTGGCGTCATTCACACACTTTTCACACTCTGTATTCCGACTTATATGCGGACATGGCGATTATGTTGGGATTTCAAAATATTGTAATTTTGAATTGTATTTTTACCAAAGTTTGACAGTGTGAATTTACGAACAGGAGAGTGTGGACGATCCTTCAGAGGACAAAGTGGACAGAGAAAGTTAAGGAGAAAACGGGAGCCCACCTACGATAATATATTATTTTCTGCATAACAGAGTTAGCACAACTAAATTTTCGATTGGTTCGTTGCGTTGCGTTGCGGCTTTGACTTGACTCATAACAATATAACAAACTCCCCACAATCGTATTATTATATACGATGCATGTTCTTACATGTTGTCACAATGGAGACAGTGGGCATGTGAAAACTCGTACGTATGATATGAATATGCATGCATAGAGTCCACTCACCAATTTTTGTGGATAAAGCACGCTATGCACTATTGGTAGCGCAAATATGCATGTATCTATTTCGCTGATAGTTATAATTCTCAATCTACTCATGCATATATACAGATATGACACTGTATGCACGCACATATATTTATGGTACACGTGAACACCCGTAATTTTCACTTTTCGACAAAAAGTGTTTGTGGAAAGTTTTGTAAACGGTACTAAATTAGATGTTTTATGGGAAATATAACTTTTATTATGTCAATGTGCAATATATAACTAGACGAGAACATGTATTCCTACAGTCTGTCGTTTGGTGATGGCGAAGCAGATACCCCAGAAGATATCCAGTTGGTGCTCGATTGATGTCCAACTCGGTGACCTGTCCTCAGCGCATTGAACGCGACGGAATTGACAAAAAAACATTCATCTTTTATTCATCGTCAAGTGAAGTTACTAATTAATTTACGGTTCCGACCACCAAAAGTCGGCATTGGCAAGTGACATGAGCTGCGGATTAATACTTTTTCTTTTGTAAATCAAATGCGTGCAAGGCTTAGATAGCTGGATTTATATGTAGGGCATTAATAACGAGAGCGGTAGTTTCATTACAGAATCTCGCCAGAAATATAGCACAACAAGCTCAGTAAAATGCTAACCTGAAGCCGAAATAGACTTCTTCTTTGCTCTGCCTGTTTATTGCATCAGATTGCCCATACATGCATACATGAACCTGAGCAATAATTGACCCCGTTAACGGAAACTCGCTCACTCATGCTTTTCGGTGAAATATGAATTGTCCAATACACATATTCTCGAGTTGTGAGACCGAGATTTCCTTCGTGGGCAGAGGTGAATTCTTATCGCTCCAAGCATCTTAGATTGATTTAACCCACTAACACTAAAAGTGAAAGTGGTGGTGCTTTTCATTCTACGCACTGTTGACCCAACTTGAGTAGCAATACAAATTATGCAAGATTTTCCCCCTACCATGTTTTTCTCCGATAAGTAGTGAGTTCCACATACATAGAATCACGAACGCAAGCACATTAAGACTACTAGATTTGGTCCAAGGCCGGTGAAAGTGAGGTGAACGATTTTCGTTATTTCACGATCTATAATTATTATTCTGGAAAGAAAGTTCAAATGAAAAACTTGTCAAAATGAGATTTTCCTACAAATGAAGGATTTACATCATTTCGTGATATTTATGCTGTAACATTTTGTCAACTTTAAAGCCTGAGTCAAGGCCCTCGTTGTATCGACTCTAATAAATTTTGCACACATGTAGTACACCAAATCACCCTGCATGATTTTTGCAAAATAGAAAACACTTTAGTACGTTATCAAGATGGAAAGTTGCCAATACACATAACAGCTATGACTCTGGCAAATAATAAAAATCCCAGGTCCTTATATTCTCATTATTTATGCATGTCTAATTGTATTTATAATAATGCATTTAATGTATATTTAATATATTTATGATAATGCAAAAAGTAAACGATGGTCACGATTTCGAACACTTTCTCCAGTGCGCGTGTGTATGTTATACCAGTAGGTCTGAACTTATACGTGTCCTAGGAATAAGGTTTTAATTGCACCTTTGGCCAGGAGACTCGTAGTAGATCGGATTGGAGTTAACTTTAAACTGGCTAACTTTAAAATGTAATTCTCAATTTTGGCTGTATAAGAGTGCCTTTAAAATGATTTCTTTATTTCAAATAGGCCTTGACCTTTTAGATGTGCACAATAATGCACATAAGATATACATAAGACACGTAAAGTTGAAACCCGAAGATATTTAGTCACGTGCTGAGAGAGAATCCGGTGACAAGGGTGACGAATAGGATGACATGTTTGGGGCTCCCGATTTTCACGGTGCTTCGATTGCAGAGCATTTCACCCTTATTTTCATCATCGCAGACACAGAGGGTGGCTTTTTTAGTCAAGTCTCCGGTCCCGGAAGTCGCATCCACGCACTCTCCAAGCTTCCCTTGCTGCTTGAACGAATCATCTGTGGGGTTGAAGCATCCGCGCTGGGTGATCGCCGAAATCACCATTTCCTTACCATTAGGCTCAACTATTTCTCCAGACAGTTTGAAGCATGCTAAATATTCAAATGTGGCCTTACTACCCCGTACGACCCGCTATACCACGACCATTTATTCTTAAATGTGGAGCTACTCACCTCGATACCTTGAATCACACTCATCCTGTGACCACTTGCCTTTGTCGGACTTTTTTTTGGAATCCAAGCACGGCACTTGTTCCAGGAGGGGCCTCGGAGGTTCGGTTGTTACATTCTGAAATTCGACATTTCTTGATGATCGTACGTTTATTACTTATTACGCGTGTTGGGATGATGAACAAAAAAGTCTGTTGTTGCTTACGGGGTGTGAGTAGTTGGCACCCGGTCCACTATCGATGGGTCCAGGTTTGAAAGTCGTGTCGTCGTTTTTTGCAGTTGTTCCTTCAACCATAACGAACGGGATGGTTTGAGTTTGACCTTCACCCTCGCTAATCGTAACGGTACTGATGGTTTCCTTCGATTCACAAACGTAGCAAATTATCCCTGCAACCACACAAGGAACGAAGACTTTTATACGTCATTTAGTTAGTTGAAACATATCTGGTTGTTGACCATTGTTGTCTCATTTTCTTCCTTCTTCCACAAATTCTTACCGTAGGAGGGACGCAAACAAATCACTAGAAAAATCCACAGCAGGATTTGGGTTTTCATCTTAAAAAGAGCACCGAGACACGACGATTTTTAGCAAATCAAACATCTAATAAAACGACGAGGGGTATGAGGATCTATATCCATGCGTTGAGCGCTGGAAAGTTAATTATGCTTGGTGTGGAAGAAAAACTCATTCATGATGATCAGTAATTTTGCAATGCACATTTAAGAGAAGTTTTTTTTTCATAATTACAGCATTTTAAGAGAAGTGACAGCGTCATAGCTACAACTGCTTTGATAATTATGCATACCAAAATAACTCCTACTAATCTTACACGTAGTGACCATGTGCATTTTTTCAGCTGCAAATTTCCGGCGAACTGTTATTTTTATCGATCTGGGGGTATTTGGCTTATCTCAGTTACAAACTATAAGCGCAGTAGATGATTTTTGTATTTTTGTCTGACGTGATCATAATTTATTTCAGTTAATGTGTTTTCATAAATAGTTTGAATATTTGGTATTTATTTCAAATAAAACGCATTTTTATGATTTTTCATGATTTTTCCGAGTTTAAATTACATATTATTCAGCATTAATAACAGTAATAAGTTAAGAGAAGAGAATTACGATTTGTAAGTATTGTAACACTGGACCATTCATTACTGAGGGTTTTGTTGCCACCTCAAGCAAAAGCCAACTGACGCATCCATATTTGCTGCAGCTATTTCATTGCTGTCAGTTCTAAAGTGGAGAATGAAGGGACGAACAGAAGCTAAAATTTTCACATCAATGCAATTAATCCATTAAGTAATCATTTCACAATGAAAGTTGATTTTCGTGTTTATTATCTGGCTCACATCGAACATAGGCTGAAGTGACTGCTGATGGGAAGGTCAGGTCGCAGAATCGGTCGGTGATTGATGTCCCTGAAGGTATGGCTGCAGTAGGCGTCCCCATCGGATACGAGACGCCTGGAGATGAGAAACAGGGCTATTATTTAACTATTGCTAAATTTGAACACTTCTGCTATGCACCGGGTTAGATTGTCAGTTTCTTTGCATAATGAATAATAATGAAGTCAGTTTGTGCTATGTACCTCCCATGATTATGAGATAATCTGGAATGGGTGTAGCTGCTGCACCGCAAGGCATCGGCATTGTAGGGGACGTTGCCGGCGAACCTGAAATCCTTACGTCTCCTGGACTGCAGGGGGCCCACTGACATGACACAAGTTCACAATAGGATTAGTTTCATTAAAATGTTCAACTAATTAGTCTATTTGCTATTACGTCAATGAATCTCATGCCATCCTCAGGACGAACGCCTACAGAAATTAAACAACATTAAAAGCTTCATGAATTTTAGGCTCAACTTAAGCTTATTCAACAATTTCTACTCTACACCGTTAAAAATATTGAATGTGCTACTTACAAATGGAGTAGTCCATGTTGGAAAGATGCTATCACAAACACATCGACAACAAAGTTATGCAAATTTGAAATACACAAGCTGCGTATAATGCTAGGTTGATGCTGTACATAGAACAGCAAAGAACGCCTGGACTTTTTTATGCACTCGAAAAATGAGTACTTACTGTTCCGCCCTGAAAGTTGAAAGATTGTACTTGACCAGAAATCCCTGTAAAGTACTGCAGACATCCAGGCGGGGCTAGAAATTGTCAAGGCAGTTATACAAATGTATATCAGTCGGTGTAATACAAATGTCCACTAAAGTCCGCCTCACCTCGAACAACGGAGAGGCACGGAATCGTCAAAATCTCAATGTTCCAAACCCTTTCTCTTTGCACAGTGCCACTCATGAGCAAGTTCAACGTGATGGTGTCACTCGTCCCATAATCGATGTAAACTGAAATGTAACGATTTTTTACCTCGTAATAACTTGCATTAATTATAATTTAATTATTTATTACTATGTTGTCCGTTGAGGTTGCCGCACAAGTTGGGAACAGTGCCACCTGAAGCTCTAATAGCAATTTTTTAAATCAAGTCTACCTCTGCACATAACATAAGAAAAATGGTGTCAAAATTACGTAATGGCGAGTGAGTCTGTTTTGCAAGCACCGGCATCATTGGGCGCTGTGTTGGTGGCGGTTGGAGCTGGGACTGGTCCGTCAATGTCCAAAGCTATAAAGTTGAGCCGGAGTTGGCAGACGTTGTGCGGACGGCGAACTCGCACCTGGCAAACGTTCGAACCGTCCGTGGGGGTGAATCTTGAAGGATAGTTTGGGCTTTGGAACGATGTTCCGTTCTGAGTTATAATTGCGCCGCACTGGACGACGAATCGGCAGCAGACTCCTGGACAAAACGCAGGCATTTACATACACACGTTTCCGTAGATCACACTAGGAGTGGGGTCTGCAATTTACATATGTGGGTGGATCTGTTGTTACCTAAACCCTGTGCGCAATTTCCAAGTGCCAAACCCCCAGCCGCAGCGCATTGCGTTCTGAAATAGCAAAACGGAAACAAGTGACACCAAACAGTAACACACGACGATAAGAACAATTACAACTCTGGTAATAACTAACTTCGTATGACAAATTCCATGTTCTTCACTGGAAGTCCTGCAAACTTCATTGGTGAAACGAATGATAGTGAAGAGTGGAAAAACTTTGACAAAAACATAAAAGCACACAAAATATTAAATTGGAATCACTGGTTGCAAATAATTAGAAAAACCAGCTCTTGACATACACTTTGACTGTCTGAAATGACGTTCTCTGGAACTCAAGGCAAATTCAGCATTGTCAAAATACGAAGAATTCTGAAAAGTGGGTTCGTATTCCTCCTTCAGCAACTGACTCCTGTCACTTTTGTAATGAGTTCCAATGGCGCTGACGGCATCACAGAGAAGCACCACACCCACAATCCAGGCGACCACTGAACTCTGCCGGAACTTCATTATAAATCCAATCGTACAAGGAAATGCCAATAGGAAACCAAAGGTTGTCGTATCAGTCGTATGCCAAGAGCAAAGGAAGTGACCCACAAGATTTCCCCAGATAACGCTTATATATACGAGGTCACAAAGAGGAGGGGCTCCTCATCTGCGGATTTGCATTGGTGCGAATTCTAATCCCTTTCGCATCTCCGTCGTTCCTTTACAGACTGAAAATCTCCACTTGTTTTACCATCACCATCATCATCTGTCGCCCGCATAACCATAATAATTACAACAATAACTCGTGAATTTGGCACAGGTGACCTGATATTCGATTGTATTTGGTAGTACTGCGTCCCAGCGTCAATGCTGTTGGTGCATATCATACGAAAAACCGAGGATACATGCATTCAGTCATTAGTAGGTGATCAATCATCATGCATGTTTGTCCTCAGGCTAAGAAAAAGTCCTCGTTCAATTTTAATTGTCACTGAGATAGGTAAAGATCACTCATGTATGCATTGGGCCTTAGCCATTCATTACGGTGTGCGACACTCGCAGTGATACGGAGGCACAGACATGCTTAAGTAATTGGACACATGACATGCACCGTTGCATTGCCAATTTACCAACTTACCGAATTCGGCACGGCAGAGTCTCCATCGTCCACTTGTCCATTGTTTAAAGAGGATGGCCAATACACACACATAGTATGTAAACATAGGCATTGAATAATTACAGCAGTGCCGGTGGCATACTTTGGCTTGGCGATCTCTTCTCATTTCTTTTATTATTCCATCCGCTCCCAAACTTCTGCTTGATGAAATAATTGAAAAAAATTAAGCCTGTATACCGTAAGTGGCAGCAGGCAAAAAAATTCGTATACCAAAATGTTAATATGATACTCTGTAAATTTATCAAAATCTAATTTTGGTGTTATTTTTTATGGTACCATTTAATAATAAGTCGCATTGGTTATGGTCCAAGTTTAAGCCGATCTTAAGAGAAAGTATTGGACGCTATAAAAATCACTGAGAAAGTGTGAAGTGAACTACAGTGAGACGTCATTAGTACTTATTTTATAGTCATGTATCCTTGTGAAGAAACCCTGTGCTAAAGGACGATTAAAGGGAGAACTTTATCGTTCAGGCAATATGCATATCTGCATATACGTTATGATTCAAAGGTATACACATAGTTTAGTACTGAACGTGAAATCCACTGCAATGACTTCCACCCAAGTAACCCCTTGATATCGGTCATATGTAGTTAATTCATTTAATCTCCACAAAGGCAGACGAAAAGTAAGTGAGTGCAGAAGTAAGTACAGAAAAGTCTCATCCGGCCTCTTTCTGGAAAGTCATTGCTACACCCTTCCGATTTCTTCGTAAACTGGCTCAAGTATGTCCTTCCTAGAATTAAAAATCTTCACCAATCTCATTACATACCAATTTAAATAATAACACAACTGTTCAAATAATGCATGTAAAATCCCTGTTTCGAAATCCTGAAAAATGTCAAGATTTCCCTTGATACAAGTGTTTTGTAGTTACCTGTGGTCTCTCTTTTTTAGTCGACTTTTCTTCATCCTGGACTATTTTCGAGATGTGATGCTATCGAGACGCTTAAGAGTTGCCTTACTGTCACATTGCATTTAATGAATCAGCACATGCAATGCAACTGCAATGCACCCTCCTCGTCTCACTTTTCCCAGTGATGCTTCCTCCGATGAGATGAGAAGACGTCGATGGATGGAACGTCGAATTATGATGCTCAACAAAATAACGATTAATGAGTGATTGGTAAACTATGAAAATCAAAAACTTTGTTAAATCCGTTAAAAGTTTAAAATGGGTTTGGAATCACTTTTGGCTGGCTCCAGGAGGGTGTTTGGTGGTGCTGTTGGGAAGGCAGAGTGGAGACGACGAAGGTCTGCAGGGCATACTTATAAGAAATCAACTTGTTCACCGGAAGCTCTAATTAATATCTGCCCGTTCCCACAGGAAAGTCTCTCGCCTTCTACACAGAGAGATTTCTTACCTGTTTTACTTCCTCCGAGTGCACTTATCATCATGATCACACAACGCATACGACGACGACGATGGTGGAGAAGAAAGAGGAGCTGAAGAAGAAGAAGAGGCAAAGTTTACAAAAGTCAAGTCAACAGCCCGACTTGTGTCAGTGCTTGGCTCCCGTCCGTTCATTTGGCTACCTTGTGTCATGTCATGAATTATTATACAATCGGATGCCCTCTCAGTGTCTCATTTATTTTAACATTTCAACCATTTTCTTCACTCTCTGTCCGTGGTTTCGACACAATTGCCATTGTTATATATGAATGCATCACGTTTAATTGTTTCAATAAAGTGGAATAGCATTACGTATATACGTGTTATGTAATGTTGCGGAATGATGTCCGTGTAAAATGCTCTTTAAATTAGAAGACCACTCCAGATTGATTGTACGTACAGTTTCCCATACAAAATCATAACGACGATAACAAAATAAAATACAGAAATGCACAGTTCTTGCAATTTGTGAAAGATATGCAATGCAATCATCTCCTTCCAATTGATGACTCGGCTGATATAATTCCAGGATCAACCGTTGGTGGTTGGTTAAATTCGTTAATGACCATTTTTATTCCACCATAAATACATATACACGTCGCAATTTGGAAATATCTCGGTCGTAAAAAATCCCCTCTTTCACATTCGTTAAAAATGTAATTGTAGCATATCGTAAACGGTAATCAGAGAGCAGTCCTTATGATTTGGCTAGTTTCACATGGAATTAAACTGAGAAATGGCTCAGTTTAAACCCACTGCGCCTAATAACCAAATGGCAAAGTTAAGTGGAATATTATCCTACGTGGTAATGTAGTCATAAGTTGAATTGTGTGAAACAGGAAACTTTAGTTGCATGCATTCTTTTTCGGCAAGGAAATGAATAAAGTCAAAGGCATTGCCATATTTTTCTTTCCTCACTAACCAGTCAACGCTCGATTACGAATAATTATTAAAGCACACACACACAAACACATTACATTTTACATATCTATTTGAACTGCACTTTTCTGGCGTCGTAACAATAAGGAAAATCATTCATATTATCATTCATACCAGAACTTACCACCCAACAGCATTGGACAAGTCATTCTGCGCATGCAGTATCAACGGTTATCAGGAAACGGTATAGACAGCAGCAGCCCTTGTGCAATACCCAGGCAGTGTTGATGATACCACGGGTTGTGATCCTGATACGTTGGTGTTCTGCAAGTATGTAATAAAGGAATTAACGAATCCGGATTGTTAATTTAATCTCGTCTGATGGATGGCTATCAGTCAGTTATTCTCAAACTTGCTCACAATTTTCTCACAGTCAATTCAGTAATGCAAGTACGTAAACGTATGTATCACTTGAGGAGGAAGAAGCCTTTCGTGTTGCAAAACCTTTCAAGTATTCTTGCCTAAAAACCTCTTTAGAAATTTGAAAAGTTATGAGCAGGACTACACGTAAATGTAGCTGCACAGTTCTCCTGAAGTTTGTTCTTCCCTTCGCCAAGACCAATTGTTCTTTAAAAATTAAAGGCCTGGGCAAGGATACCTTTTAAGTGGGATGGTAATGTATGCGTGAGAGTTGGGATTGCGCAAAATATCGGGAGGAAGCCTGACCTCTGTATCTGTCCGACGGGGTTTCCGACCAGCAGCAACTACTCTATGCAAATACCATTACAATTCCATTACTGAATATTAATGAAAGGTGCATATGTAATGATTTGGTGCTTATGTACATAGATTCGCAATTTCTTTCTTGACCTCGCTGTAAGGATGGCTTACTTCCATTTGAAATTAACATATGAGACTTTATCGGACCACCCTGTTAAGCTAAATTATATCTCGTAGAAATTGATCGCTATTAAATGAATCATTTTCTTTTGTGTGTGGGGGCATTCACACGAGGAAGTAGGAAACTTAAAATTACGTATTTACTTAATCAATCAGGTTAAGAGATCATACTTAATTCCAAGAGCAAGATGTAACGTGGCAGAGACTTTTTCTGTTCGGGAAAGACATCGAAATCTCGGTTCCTTGTATTGTCTGTTGTCTGCAGTCCGCATCATGTGCTGGAATGATGCTTACAAATAAAAGCTCCCTTTTTAAGGAGATGGAGAGGATTTTTAAATGACCATCTGGCATCCTGTTCCTTTCATTTTTTTAGATCTACATTGCCACCTTTAGTATTTATACTCCAAATGCCACTTAAAGCAGTTGTATTTGTCCCTCAGATTCAGGATCAGCACAAGTGGAGAAGATATACACATTTGTAAATGGATGTAATGGTTTCCGATCTCAGAGAGTCCATCCCACAACCGGCCCAACAACGCCACACAATAAAATGTATCCACATGTAACATTGTAGATGACGAACAGATATTTTTGAGACTTATCAAATAAATTCTATTAATTAAATTAGCATAACCACAACTAATTAAACATTTACCTGAATTAACCAGTAACCGCCTAATGAATGAGTAGTAATGAGAACGCGTTGCAAAATCGAAGCAGGGTTCTACAGGCATTCCGTATGCTTGGTTGGTTGGTTAGGTGCACATTTCCTTAAAATAAATTCCAAGTAAATATTTTGGTAACGATCACACTAAAGCACTTCAAATTAATAAGCCGCACGTTGTTAACAAATTGACAGAAGGTAGTTTATTATGGATGTAAAATTCTCAGTTTACAACAGTATTTTAATACGAAAACGTATGGTGAATTTCAAGGAAGTTGCATCATCATTACAGCAAGCAATATGCATACAAACTGAAGCATCGGAGAAGCAATTGGAAAATTGAGTCACATCAACCAATACCAACACTTTGCATCGGTGCACATATCTAATGTGTCTCCAATTATTAAGAACACGTCGAATGTCAGCATATGCTTGCTTTTAATGAAAATATATCACAAGTACATATATGCTTCACAGCTCCTTGCAGGGAGAGACGGGGTTCAACTCTACACACTCTCTGTGCAGATTCATGGCAGTCAGTAGATATAATCATACAATAGTTTCGCATAGTGTACGAAATATGACTCTCTGACCTTTGACATTCCATTTCAATCTCATTTGCACTCCTTTCAATGAGGAAATTCGAGTTGTATAACTGAATACTAAATCACTCGTTTAGAGATAAAGTAAATTAGATTACATCACGCGGCGCGGTACCCCAGAGCGGAACTTGCTAACTTGCCCGTTACTTTTTTAGCTTTATATTCAAACAAGTACTATGCATATGGTAGACTAGCAGTATTAACTTTTACTGAAATTTCACAAACCCAGCACATGTGTATATATTATACAGATATTTAAATACAAGAGCAGCTAAACCGAATATTATGCAATAATACTACCTCTGGGGACCTTTTTAAGGCTAAATATGATTACAAAGATTAATTGTCGTGCCTATCATCTAGACACTTTTACCATAGATAAAATTACAAAAGGGATATATAACTATTTATAATAAGTATCTCTCTATATATAGTATTTAATGTTTCGATGATGAGTACTTGTACAATGTAATCTGTGCTTGACTTTGTTACACGCATAGACCGGAGGTACTGCACCGTTAAATGCCACAAAACAACCGCAAATGAATCAGACTTATTATTATTGGTGGTGATCTACATCATCATGTTTCATGTTGGGAGCTTGAATCGCCGCATTTATAACTTCTTTTTGAGAAAGAGCCCCATCGGGTGACTGGTCATCCTGTACTCCGAAATCGTCTTTCAATGGTCTGTCACCATCGTCTTCTGCTGCATCAAGATTTTGCTCAGCGTGCACCGGTTGTTCAGCTCGATGTCCTGGAACCGGTAATACGCCAGGCTGTGGGCCAAAGTCTTCACCGCCACCGTTGTTGTTGATGTTCCCATCATCTTGCGTTTGAGGTTTAACTAGACTATCCGGTTGTCTAATTGGGGACGCACCACCAACTTCAGGCTTCATTTCATTTTCTGAAATTAACAATTCATATAAAAAATAAAAATTCAGATTAAAATGAGCAATATACAGATTTATATATAGCCAAATAGCTAAACTAGGATTTATTAGCTACACAAGCAAGCTGAATACACAAAAATAATTACTTGGGCGATCCAAAACACTGAATCTGGCTTTTAATCGTGGGAGATTGGGAGGATCAATTATGATTACGGGACCCATACCTCGGCGCCTTTCTATGCCGCTATCACCCTCATTTTTTATGATAACTTTTTTTGGATTGCTGATGGAACCATGAGATTCCATCCACCCTATTGGATAAGGCACTGGAAAGCAAGAGCATGCAATTAGTTACAGACAAAGAAGGACAAACGAGTTAGAAAACAGAAACATTTTTTTCGCCCCAAATTTTATGACCAATGCAATATGTACAAAAAATGAACAGCGTTTAATTTGTTAAAAGCAAACGATTTCAGATAAAACGAAATGGAAAAATATTGATATGAAAAGTTAAATCATGCTCACCCGCTGGATCGTTAATTAGCACAGGTTGTTCCTGGTCATCTTGATGAGCAACTTCAATGGCTGGGGCCGGAACTGGTCCCTTTTCTCCTCCCGATTTGGCTGTACTACTGCCCACCAGTTTCTGCTTTACTTCTTTCTCTAGTCTGGACACCTTATTACTTTTTTCAACTAATTGAGCCTCAAGTGAAACGATCTTGGCTTTAATTTCAGAAACTTCTTTATCTTTGTCTTGCATCTTGGCTTCTGTCTGTGTCTGCAACATTGACAAACTTGTTGTAATATTATGGTTAAATCAATGATTAATAATCATTGATCATATCATCATATGCACATACACATTGACCCCCCGGATATTTGTATGCACTTACAAGTTCATCCCTACAATTCTGGGTAGCCTGCTTAGAATTTTCAACATCATTCAAAAGTGATTTTATTTTATTCGATTTCTGGGCAATTTCCTCTTTGGCTTTTTGGTCAACAAGTTGCTCCTTTCTCAAGTTCCCTTCGACTTTATCTTTGATGTCTTGCACCTTGTCCAAACTCGCTTGCAATGCGTCATTCGTTCCGGACCTACAAAACAAGTTAGAAAACAATCTCATTTTTATTTCTTTATTACCAGTTGTAATTTACAACATACGCAAAATATTCAGAATTGTATGAATTATGAACTTACACTTGGATTATACGTGCTTCAAGGGTGTGTATCTTGAGTATCAGATCATGATTTAGGCTGGACACGGTCCAATAGTTGTACAAAAGAACAACACAAAATACGGTAAGGGCCCCAAGAAGGATATTAGACGTGCATTTGCCATGGGTGTGCATCCTCATTTTTATGTTTTGGTTTCTACCATAGGCTTAATTGTCCAATAACTATTGACCTCAGTGACAACAACATGCGCCACCGACAAAAAATATTTTATAAACCTAAAAAATAAACCTGACCACTGCACTTTCACCTTCACCACCAGCAGAATTAGAATTAACAGATTGTAAAAATTTATAGCCAGGTGGAGATCAATTAATTTGAATAATTATGTATATGACTGCAACAAAAGAGAATGTGCAATCCCTTCAAAACAAACTGATATTATATTATCTATTTCAATGGATTATCATATGGCCGTGCTAACATTTATTTACTTTTTCAAGGCAGCTTTGCCGCATACTGTGTTGCACTGCCAAAAATCACGACACATCAACAAGCAAACCTTTATGCACGCAACCTGAATCGCATTTTCCCCATGCTGCGAACTTCGAGTATCACCAATATCATTCACACGAATCCGGTCTTCGGATGTTTTAGAGATATGAAAGGATAACAACAAGTGCAGAAATTGTAGCTGTTGAATAATTCGTTAAAGTAATTTGAACAACATGTCGCTATTGCGTCGCCTGGTTGTGCCAACCTACTTGTCCCAAGCGTTGACTCGGTTTAGTTGTAAAAATAATGTCGACAGGCTTTTTTCAGCGTTATTTTTACCCAAAAACGCTTATCGAATGGTGAGCACCACCACCACCAAATTTGATCTCATGGAGTTTTTTGATGACAAGAAAAACTGGGGCGAGGGGACTGTGCGAACTGGTCGGTCTTGGACAAAAGACGAGCTCCGGCTTAAAAGTAATACAGATATTCACAAATTATGGTAAGAAAAGTACTACATACTCAAAACAGTACACACAAATAGGAATATATGATATGTGTAATCTGTATGAATATTAGATGATTGTTAAACAAAATGGGGTGAGGGTGATTGATTTGCTTCATTTGCTATATTTTCACAGGTACATTTTGCTGAAGGAGAAGAATATGTTGCTTACTATGGAACAAGCTTGTAAAGATGAGAGCGAATTATTTCCAAACCCTGAGCGTATAGATAAAGTGAGAAATTGACATTGCGTTATCGGGTTACTTACTATTACGACGACTAATGACTAATGTTTTCACCGTTTCACAGGTGGCAGAGAGTATGACGAATTTGGAGGAGGTGGTGCGAGAGAGGAACCGAGCATATTATCTTCTGGAAACGGGAACAACGGGAGAAAGGCCAGGGGCGGAGGAAGAAAACTTTCTGGGTCTTCCTGAATATAGTCAATTTAATGAATACCCCGTCCCCAAGGAGGAGAACAAGGACTATTTGAAAGCCAAGAGTGAGGAACCCGTAGTGCATCCATCCGAAAAGGCCTGGTTTTTAGTTCGGCTTAATGAGAAGCGAATTAAACAAAAAAGATGGGAGAGAAGGTATAATTCGACTGAATGATTTTATAATGCAACATTACATGCACAGACTTGGAGTATACGTACTCAGCATTACATGTCTAAAATTATTGTGGTTATGTATAACTTTCAGAGAGGCCAGGAAGGGAGTAAAGGAAATCATTGAACACTTCCCAGACGTGGACCGAGAACTTATAAAAGAAAAATTTCCAGATATCAATGTTGAACGTGTAATTGAGAGAACAAATAATAGGCATCTCGGCAACATAAAACCAAAAACATTCAAATGGAATAGGTGCTAGGACTATGCTAAACGACGGTAGAACATTTAATTACAATTGCATAACAAAAACAAACAATAAATTGAAACATTTTATGGCAAAAAATGTGTACTACTTTATTATATTTTAACTAGACTAAAGGCACAGTGGAGTCATATTGAGCGTAATAATGCAGTCCAATCTAGTGTCTTGTTGAGAACTTCATTATATGCATATGATTAATTCTGAGTCATTAATCAAAGGTAAAAGTATAAAAGTTATAATAAGTTAGTCAAATAAAAAGTGAAGACAAATCTATTGCTGTTATTTGTATGCTTAGTTTAGTTATCTCTTGATTGCCTGTCCTCGCTTGATTCTGACATTTCGATATCGGGATTAGTGAGGCTTCCAAACAACGACTTTGGAGTGCATCTTCGTTTTATTGCTGAAACTGGCGTTGTTTGAGTAAGAGACGCGCCAACCGTTTTGGAAATCGGTGTCGTTGCCTGAGGTGTATTAAAATTAACGTAATACACGTATATTTGACATTGACACATCCTTGTTTCATTAATCTCACTAACCTCAAATTGTTTACTTCGGTACTGAGCAAATTCCCTCATTATCTTTGTCCGGGAAGAATTAGTAATTCCAAATGACGGCACTCCAGATTTACCAAGGTCAGCTGCCTGTAGCTGGCGACGTTGCCTGAAAGGTGCATCTAGATTGAATGGCTCGCTGGTATCTTCCCTGAATAGTTCCGGAGTCAACATCAGCTTGATATTTTTCTGCAAGGATGCCCGAATCGCAATTCTTTGAGACAAAATGCTGTGGCTAGCCGACTTTGGTTTCCTCTGGATAGCATCGTTTTGACGCCGACCCAGTGTGAGTGAACGTAGATGACAAGGCGTTGTTACCGGTGTTTTATTTTTGGAGTTCAAAGTGGAAGGGGAGACCGACAAATTCCCAAATTCCAAGTCCTGTGCAGACAATCCACAAAGAAATATAACTTTTAGTTTCTAGAATAAACATGTTTTGTTAACATAATTGAACTAAACCAAAACGGTTTGGTTTGGTTGAGTTTGTTTTTGTTGTCTCACTAATTTTTTCAAGATGGAACCATGATCCCCTCGAATCAACTTGGTCAGAGCATCTGAATTTAGATTTTCATTCAAAACTACTTCAATCATTTCTTGAACTTCCATTTAAATATATCGAAATAAAAAAAATAAAATTGCCAGTTTACAAATGTAGAAGTTATCAATATTTCAAAATTGCAAATTTGCAATGCGTGTACATGAGCAGAGTCCCGCCGCAGACAGCCAAGTTGAGTCGTCTGCCTGATCGTGCGTGAGCCATGTTGTACCGCCCGCCATCTACCATCTACCCTATGCTACCATACAGCATCTACTTTTTTATCATCTACCTTTTTTCAGCATCTACCTTTCTAAAAATCTCAAATTCCCCAAAAATGTTAAAGTGCCCCAAATCTTCGGTATTTATAAATCCACCCCCACAATTTTTATGGGGCAACGTGAGATACATTGGGGCAACGTGAGATTTTATTTCATATTGGGGTATCGTTCGTTTTTTAGCGAGCGAAGCGAGCAGGTTAGGTTAGGTTAGATTCATTTGGAATGGACTTTTTCACTCATTATCCCTTAATTATTAGGTTAGGTTAGATTTACTAGTTACGGGAAAAGTGTGAAATGCTTAGCTAGCTAATCTAGCTAGCTAGCTAGCAGAGCTACCTAGCCTAGCTAGCTAGCTAGGTAGCACAGCTACCTAGCCTAGCTAGCTAGCTAGCTAGCACAGCTACATAGCCTAGCTAGCTAGCTAGCACAGCTACATAGCCTAGCTAGCTAGCTAGCACAGCTACCTAGGTTGTATCTATCCTAGCTAGCTAGGTTGTAACTAGCCTAGCTAGTTAGGTTGGCTAACTAAACATTTCACACTTTTCCCGTACCTAGTAGATCTAACCTAACCTGCTCGCTTCGCTCGCTAAAAAACGAACGATACCCCAATATGAAATAAAGTCTCACGTTGCCCCAATGTATCTCACGTTGCCCCATAAAAATTGTGGGGGTGGATTTATAAATACCGAAGATTTGGGGCACTTTAACATTTTTGGGGAATTTGAGATTTTTAGAAAGGTAGATGATGAAAAAAAAGGTAGATGATAAAAAAGTAGATGCTGTACGGTAGCATAGGGTAGATGGTAGATGGCGGGCGCTACAACATGCGTGAGCCTTGTGACTTGACGAGCGGGTGTTTTTTAGTTAAATTATGCTAATAAATAATAACAAAAAATAAAACGAATCTGAATATCAGATTCTATAATCCAAAACTAAATAGACATCAACACGGATGGATTTAAATTTGAAATTTGTGTTCCCTGTGCAGTCTGAGACGATTATTTTTACAATTACTTTGCAGGTCATATAGGTCATATGCGTAGGTTAACCATTTTGTTGTCAGTCATGATTTGATTTGAGTCCTATGTATGTACGTAATGCACCAATTGGTGATTCACCATTTTGTAGAGTACCATTACCATAAACATGCAACTACGTACGCAACTACTTCGGTGAGACGAGAGCGAGTCTCTGCTGACATTGCGGGACGATTTGCTTCATTCTCGGAATCCTGTGAAACACCCACTTTGCTGCCTTTTCAACCTGTTTTGGTGGAAGGAGGATTCATATTATTTCACATCACGGGAATATTATATTCTCCTGCGACGACAGTGGAAGGTAAAAATTAATCAGTCACTTTATTACCAAATTCTTTAAAAATACAAATGTGAGTAGGTATTTGTTGATTTAAAGCTTATTCTGTTTTATTTTTTAGACAATAGAAACCCCTCACTGGGTGGGTTCTTCAAAATCAAGAATGATCGGCGGCCTGTTCATTTACAACCACAAGGGGGAGGTGCTGATATCACGGGTGTATCGAGATGACATTGGACGCAATGCAGTTGACGCATTTCGGGTCAATGTCATCCACGCAAGACAACAAGTTCGATCCCCCGTTACAAATATTGCTCGAACCTCCTTCTTTCATGTTAAGGTAGACAAAAAGTACTGAACTTAGAGAATTTTTAAATTGAGCTAAATAAAAACTATTTTCAGAGAGCCAATATTTGGGTTGCGGCAGTCACAAAGCAAAATGTCAACGCCGCAATGGTTTTTGAATTTTTGTTAAAAATCATTGACTGTATGCAATCATACTTTGGAAAAATTTCGGAGGAGAATGTTAAAAACAACTTTGTTCTCATTTATGAACTTTTGGATGGTACGCTACATGGTTCAATATCAAAAATCACATTTTACATTTCTGTATGTGTATTTTAAATAGAAATATTGGACTTTGGCTATCCCCAAAATACGGATTCTGGAGTTTTGAAGACGTTCATCACACAACAAGGGGTCAAATCACAAACAAAGGAGGAGCAAGCACAAATTACATCACAAGTCACGGGACAAATTGGCTGGAGGCGTGAGGGGATCAAATATCGAAGGAATGAACTATTCCTGGATGTTTTAGAATTTTGCAATCTCTTAATGTCACCACAAGGTAGGACAAATTATTATTCAAAATCTAACGAGCTAAAACAAAACAAGATTACTGTCGGAAGGTAATTGACTGCAACATAATTTGCAATTGATTTCAGGTCAAGTGTTATCTGCTCACGTTGCTGGAAAAGTAGTAATGAAATCATTTTTGTCTGGGATGCCCGAGTGTAAATTTGGAATAAACGATAAGGTTAGAGCGCTAAAAATAAAAATATTTTCATTCTTATAAAATTGAATGGTCTTTAGAGGAATTACAAGTATGATGATGGTTATTACTTTGCAGATCGTCATGGACTCGAAAGCTGGGAAAGGGTTAAACACTGATGAGCAAGTTCGAACCTCTGGGAAGCCTGTCGTGGTTATCGATGATTGCCAATTCCATCAATGCGTCAAACTCTCAAAGTTTGAAACTGAACATTCCATTTCATTCATTCCACCTGACGGAGAATTTGAACTCATGAAGTATTTCTAATAACTTTTCTTAACTGCTAGACTTTCATTTACTCATAAAAATAATATTACCCCCTTTTAAAAATTAGGTATCGTACAACGAAAGACATTTCTCTTCCTTTCCGAGTAATTCCACTTGTTCGTGAGGTTGGACGCACTAGAATGGAAGTGAAAGTGGTTCTCAAATCCAACTTTAAGCCCTCACTTCTTGGACAAAAAATAGAATGCAAAATTCCAACTCCACTGAATGTAAGAAGTGAATTTACATTTGATGTTGCATGAAATAGTTTTATGATTTATCACTTGATTTAATTTTATTTGTTGCAGACGTCTGGCGTGCAGTTGATCTGCATGAAGGGAAAAGCCAAGTACAAGGCTTCAGAAAATGCTATAGTTTGGAAGTGAGTCATTTTCATGATATTTGCACATAATAAATTCTCAAGTTTCTTTTAAAATGTATTTTATGCAATTTTTCCTTATAGAATCAAGCGCATGGCTGGCATGAAGGAAACGCAATTGTCTGCAGAAATTGAGTTACTTGAAACGGACACCAAGAAAAAGTGGACGCGTCCTCCAATCTCATTAAACTTTGAGGTATTATACATACATATAAATAATATCCATTACATACGATTATATATTTATACTCGTACAAGAGACATTCTGATGGTAAATTCAATTATTACTTCAGGTCCCGTTTGCCCCTTCTGGCTTCAAAGTCCGATATTTAAAGGTTTTTGAATCTAAATTGAACTACTCTGATCACGAAGTTATTAAATGGGTGAGATATATTGGACGAAGTGGATTGTATGAAACTAGATGTTAGAGGAAAACGCAACTAACTACCAAGACAAATTACACTCCTGTCGCTCTTGTTCTTTAAAAATCTCAAACTTATATTTTACCAATCAGAATTTCTTGTTGAAATTATATTTAAAAAATTGTTAATAAGTTATTAGACTTTATCTTGAAGAAAAATTAAGAATGACTCCGGTGAAAATGTCCAAATATCTCTATCTATAATTATTACATTTCTTTGGGTGAACCTCGAATTGTAGAGGGTTGCAAGTTTTTGTTTCTGAACACGACGATGGCAACATATAGAAGTATGGACCAGGGACAGAATAACAAAAATGTTAATAGATATACATCAACAACAAATGTACCAGATCAGATCTATTAGTGTACAATCAAATGTGCTGAATTAGTAAAACGACTCACAATTACACTTGAGAATTAACAGTATTACTTACGATTAGTTTATTCACATCTATTTATCATCAACGATGCATACGTGGACAACAAATCATTCCATAGTAAATTCAATTTTCAAACATTATTGTCAGTTATTACAAGTCAAGCATGACTTTTTCCAATCGAATGGTGATCATAACCATTGGAATATTGGAAATTAATAAACCATTTCAAAATGGAAATGTACATAAATATTTGTAAGTATGAATGTACTCTGATTATTGTAGTATGTATGTAGTCGTAGTAGACGTGCATATGCACAGTACTGTTCGTACTGCTCCCACGTGGTATACCCCCTCATATTGGTTTAATAATAATACGAATACGACTAGGAAAATCTAATTAAATTAATATTGACCAAGTTCATACACGATATGATACAGTAGATATCTTGTGCACAAGTCGTGGATGTTTTGTTTCTTTGGACGACAAAGAAATGGCATATTTACCATAGCGTTCTGCACACAAAGGGCTTTCAGACCGAACGGCTTGAACCCATGTATATCCATCCATCCGACTAAATGAAGAGATAAGTTGATTGGACTTTATTGTCTTTCGCAATCCGACGAATATAATTATATTGATCTCTCCGTACACTCGAATTATTCGGAGAGTTCGGAAGCATGTGAGGACTTCACCCGGGCAAAGCGGAATCTCCCGACTTTCACGTTTAAACTGTGCTGCCCGTCGTCTTCATATTTGTCATTGTAACTCCACTACTTCCATTCACTATTTGTTTATGTAATTTATTGGATATCATCCATCATTAGCTGGGATTCAGCGAGCCTAGTAATCCGGGATACATGCACAGACAGAAGAGAGGTGACCTGACTTTTGTAGCGTGCCTGTGCTCGTATGGAGAATCATAAAAATCAGCAGGACTGATTTGTTTAGTGTTAGAACTAATTCCTATAATTTAAGAAGACTGTTTTCAGTGGAATTATACGTAAAGCGCTCCTTCATCATCTTACAGTTTCAGCCGAAAAACTTTGTGGCCACATGTTGGCAAACGCTTGTGATTTGTGATGACAGAACTAAAGACTCTCTTGTCGTGGCGTGGCTATTCCTCTTCTGCTTTCACTTTTCTGCTCACAATTCACTGACGAAAGAAATCATGCTGTGGTAATTTTTAAGGGGATTCTATAATGGAGACAAATCATGACAACCTCACAGAGAGAGAGCTAACTGGGTCAAGGTATACAAATATGTAAGCAAATAGTCAGTCAGTTTAATACCTTTTTCTTCCACCCGTGTTTTATTTCCCCAATAATTAAGCTCAAAATATAATGCATAATGCATAATGCTACCATTTCACCTGCCTGCCTGTCCATAATTGATATTAGTGAAAACCATTTCAGTTGAAACACCGTCAAATGCAAATGTTGTCACACTCATTGTTTATTATTTTGCATAATTCGTTGGCAGAATCATGAACACTAATTCAAATTATAGGGTGACACCCACGGTACATAGATAAGCAGCACGACAGAATTTAGGAATTCATAACGTACTTCTCCTCTAATGCCGTCATATGAATGTATTGTCTCACATTGTGTTACATTGTGCGAGTGATTGTGACATTCTCGCATTATTATCTTAAAAGCAACAACTAAATTTACTCTGCTCGTGCAAGTTGACCTACGAGATATCGATTCTAAAAATGGCATTTACTGCAAAAGGACACATTTTATTACTTCTTCTCGCCGTCGTCGTCGTCGTCCCTCTTTTATCTCGTCTTGCCTCTCTATCCTGTGTACGATAGGACATGTACATATGCACACTGTGTGCGTATATGAGACTACAGTGCATACTTATCCCTCGTGAATTTTGCACTAATGTTTTCTCAAACCGGGCGATTTCTCCTTCATTTCACACGACACAACCCCACACAAACAAGTACATAAATATTTCTAAACGGGGGTTTTGTTTCAGTCCTGGTAAATTGGGACGAATAATGTGGGTGATGTACGCAGGAATGGAATTGGGACGAACGTGAATAAATTTTGTGCATACAACTTCAACTGTCACCAAGTTGTAATCTACTACCATTTGGCACGAGCTGTGCCCAAATGAGAGAAAGTTATTACCCGACTACAGTGTGTACTCTCGTGACGATGCATATACGTACGTACGTACGGGCAGGCTGTGTAATAATAATGATCATCTGCCCCCAACGCTCAACTTCAAACTTTGATTGTGATACGAATGGAATGGAATTATTCTTTCTGATTGCAACGAATGAGGAGGACGAGACATTCTCAAAATGGAGACAAAATCAAAGGAAAATAGGAAAATGAGACTTTCACATCAAGCTATTCACACACTGCCTCGCGGAAACATGATACTGATGCATGACGACTGGCGGAATTGAGCTTTATAACTTTTTGGGCTGATATCTGATTGGATTCGAATTTGAATTATTTTATTGCATGTCGCAAATAACTGATCCAGTCCCGACTCAAGAAATTATAGTTATTTCTTCCATTCACTGCAACCCGGATGGAAATTGATGCCAGTGCAATGCATTAGCCCCGGTGTCGTAGTAATACGTACAGCAATACTACTGGTGTGACGAGGGGATGTAGCCGCCTTCATGATGTGATGTCTTGATACCAGGCACAAATTACTCTTTCTCTTAACTACAACTTTATACCCAAACACAGCACGGCACAAAGTAGGAAGTACGTAAATACGTACGAATGCATGTGTATGGGTATCATTGTACGTTAACTTAATGGACATTTGTTCAACAACAACAATAACGTATTCAGTCACATATTTCTCATGATTTGGTGAGAAGGTTGTGCTATTCTGAGCAGAAGTTGCTTTCTCCATCTCCGTCTCTATCTCTCTCTCTCTCGCGTCGTCCATTAAGTTCAACTGAATGACAGGGAGACTTGTCGGGAACTGTGTCAGAATGGGGCCATAATAGCCAGATTTGATAAGACGACACATCGCAATAAACGCCACGGTCCCTTTGTTCTTTATGAGAGCAACCTATAGAGGAACCATACAAAGGGAATTCTCAGATTGGATTGGAACAATAGGCCCATCTTTGTTTGGTGATCCCATTTTTGAGAACAAGCAGAAAAATATGTGAGAGCACTTCTCACGCACTCACAAGCCCGACGTATGTACGAGGAGTGAATAAAATGCTGCTTGACTTTCCTATTGAGATTTGCCGTTTACATAAGCAGGGAGTGGGAGTGGGAAATGTGTACAAATAGCAAGTTTATCGTGACTGCTGATAGAAATATTAAATATGAACAAGCTTACCGTTCAAATTTGTATGAACAATTGAATCATGATGCAAAGCTGGGATGAATCCATTTGCATAATACCAAATATCAGGCTATTGACGTGAAGTAAAATATGCAAAGGCTGTTTAAGATGAGGAAAGAGGACCATGTGAAAGCAATTGGAAGGATAAAGGTTGAATTATTTTTTATGTTATGCGATACTGCTCGTGTACTATGCAATGCTCTCCCATCCAATGTTGTGTAGCTGCTGGTTGAGCAATCCTGTCATGTCATGAATGAATCCTTTGACTCGAATGAGATGGTTCAAACTTTCATGATTTTTAAAGTTGCGTTGTTATTTGCCCGAGAGAGAGGAGGGAGAAAGCTTTATTGCCAAGCCATGCTTTCATCCATCCGTCCGTCGCATCCATGCTGATGCTGGTTGTGTTGTTGCATGTTGTCCAAGTGTGTACGAGAGAGAGAGAGAGCGAGTTCACCACCACTACCGCCACGACGGACCAACTACTGTACATCATAATTGGCAAGGGACACTCTCCAAGAACTTTCTCCAAGACCACATTCTGAGTTTCTCTGAAAAACTTTCAAGCCTGTATCTGTTCTATACGGGTTGGTTGGTTAGCATGCATCTCCTCATTCTTGACTTTGTGGTGGACGAGGAGGAGGAGGACTCGAACCTAGTTTAATATGTTATGCGCCTTTATGTGCTAAATTTTGGATCGGCCTATGGTGTGGTAGTGGTTTCGTTGAGGAAGAGACTCCCATAATCATCCAAAGTATTCCAAAGTTGCAATTTGGTCCGAGCTCAGCTAACTACTTTTCCAGCCACATCCATCCACTTTGGTCCACGTCCTCCTCCGTCCGTAATACTTACACTCCAAGGCCCTCACATACATACAACGGGGAAGTAATTTCGCCTCATGAAATCCCAACAGGACCAACTTACCAGCACTCACGACTTTCTTGCAAATTTGATCCCTGCTCCAGAAATTACCAGATGGATCAACTTTTCTAAATTTGGATGCCCATGTACTTACGCCATGTGCTTTTTTGTGTGTGACGACAGTCGAACGCGTACCCTCGACCCCATGAGCAATTAACCGAGTTTAAAGTACTAGCATTGTTTTTCTTGCTGCTTTCACTGTAGAATTTTATTGTATTTATTGTATTGATGACTTGTTTGATTTGGCACACGAATAATATTTTTCTCCTGACTGCCATACGCGTGTACATGATGACAAAACAAGTTGCCGCAAAACAAGCCGTCGTCGTAGTTCATCAATAATGTAGAATATTACCCTCAATTGTGATTCACCGTTAGGAAGGTTATTGGCAATCAGCGTAAGAATTGCAAAAAGGAATAAATATTTTTACAGCTCTGATCACATATCCATAAAATTAATACCAAAACAGATAAACGACCAAGCTTGTGCGCCTTTCTTTGAGCAAACCCCTTCCAATTTAATGTAATGTCGAGAACGTTACGCAGAAATTGGCTATATTTACATTTCATAACAAGAACGACAACTGAAAGGTTTTAATATTTTATCGAATTTCCGAGACTAGAAAATTGTGGACGTCACACATTCTCCATTGAAATGAATGATATTGCTGCTCCTTCAAGGCTTGCATAACTCACCTCGATTACCCACTTCCTCTGCCTACATGTACGTTCATACATCATTGTTCTCCGTTTCTTGTGCACATTATTTTCAGTTGTTTATTTTCGACATT